GGAGGGGGAGAGAGGGGTAGGGGCGAAGGTTACTTTCTTACATTATGCAAGAGCGAGTCCAGGACATAACTGCGGGGTTCAAAGTACCACAACCCGGGGTTAGCGGGAAGGGGAGGGGAAAGGGAAGGGGGACCGCAATTTAGAACATGAATTAGTTACATGTTTTAGTTGTGGAAGTCAACAAACCTCCATTTTGAAGCTCCGAAGCTGTCCAGTGGGAGTGGGCGTCTGTCTGTCTGTCTGCAATTCCTCCCATCTCCATGCTTTCATCTTTCTGTCTGTCCGTCTGTCTGTCCGTCTGTCTGTCTGTGGCGCACTCCACACACACACCCCGCCCCCCACCCCTATCATTCCCAGATGAGTCGCCGCGAGGTGGACGGAGTGGTTCTGGGTATGGGCGGCTGTGTGGTGACGGAGGAGGGTCTGTGGGTGCCCCCCGCCAAGATGACGCTGGGGGAGATGCGGGTGGAGCTCACGGCGGGGGGGATGGAGGCCTCGGCAGCTGCGGGGCTGGCGAGGAAGGAGCTGCAGAAGCTGATCAAGGTGGGTACGGGGGCGCACGAAGAAGGGGCAGCCGGGGGTAGATAGAAGCGAGGGGAGGGGGAGGGGCAGCCGCGGGCAGATCGTGTACAGCGTTCGGTGTTAGTGGGGGCCTTGTGCCGGAGTGTGTGAGAGGGGGACATTAGGACTTCGTTGTGGGTGGCCATATTGGAGGGATTTTCGGGGGGGAATAGGTGTGGCGCAGGGGCTGAATTGGCAGCCGCACGGAGACTAGGCTGGGAGCGGTGCTGTAAGATGCGACGGGAGGGACCATGACCGAAAGGAGGATGCGTGTAATGCACACAATTGGACAGCACGGCGCGGCGTGGCGCGACACGGGGAGACAGCTGAACGCCATTCCGGCAATGTTCGACATGTTGTTCCTTCCTGTGTACTATCCCTCGTACTCAGGAGCGCCGCGAGCGGCTTCCCAGCAACCTCTTGGAGATGCAGGCTCGGTTGGAGGCGACGGTGGCGGCTCAGGAGGAGGCGGAGGAGGAGCGGCGGGCTGCGGAGATGGAGGAGTGAGTCCGGGGTGGCGAGCGGGGGGGGGGACGGGAGGGGGCCATGCTGGCTGTGGTGGTGGTGGTGGTGATGGTGGGGGTGTGTTGAGCTGTTCGTTCGCCTATTGCCCGGAGGGGCTGCCGCCCGCACTTGTACGCCCCCTTCCTGTACCTTTCCCCCATTCTCCACGATGAGGGGGGCCTCGGCTCGCATTCCTTCCCTGCCTCCCTACCTCTCTCTCCTCCTTCCCTACCTACCTACCTACCTACCCTCCCGACTGGGCTGCATGGCCTCCTGCCCTCCCGGCTGTTCAGGAATGTGTACGAGGGCGAGGAGGAGTACGACGATGACGAGCCGGATATGGACACACTGGATGTGGTGAGTGAGGGGTTGGGGGCGGGGGCGGGTTTCACACCGCCGCGTCCAAGTACTCCATTCTGCCCCACCACACACACACATCACCCTCCCTCACCCCTGGAGCACACGTCCCCGCTTCGCCCCTTCCCTCTCCCCGACGGCTGCTCCGTGTCCATGAAAAATGAAAAAGTTTCCCTTCACCCGCATCTCCACCGTATCTCCTCCTCCTCCTCCTCCATTCGCCCCAAACCCTAAGTTACAACCTCCTCTTACCCCCCCCCCCCGACCCCAGTGGTGCCATGGCCGGCGGCAGCTGATGTTTGTCCAAGCACACATGCACGCTGCTGTGCCATCATATTAATCTCCCTTCCCGTTCACCCTATCCCCCTTTTCTCTTCCCGCTCCAGAACATCGCCAGCATCATCGCGGACGAGGGCACCTTCGAGGGCGGCGACTCCCTGGAGGAGAGCGCCACGTTCCTGGCGGCGGCGGGGGGCAAGCTCGTGCTGACGGAGGAGGCAGGGAGGGCGGAACGTGCTGGTGCGGAGGGGGACGGAGAGGAGGTGAGAAGGGGTGGCGAGGGGAGGGGCATGGAATAAGATCATTGGATTGGGTGCGGGGTGCGGGACATGGGAATTAGTGGCTTGGTGCAGGATTCATTTGGTTGACGGGAGGTTGGTGGTGTGGTGGGGAAGGGGAGGTTGTGGAGGGGTCCCGTCCAGGGAGGGAGGTAGCCGCCGGGTACAATCCTGTATTGTTAATGCATACTGTTCCACTCGTGGACAGGACGAGCATGATGACGTAAGAGACAGGGTAAGGGGGGTTGAGGGGGTTCCCGGGAATTTGAGCTTTCACACACATATAATACTTACATACATAAGTAGATGCAACTAACATGCCTACGCCTAACATTTCGCGTTCTCCTCCTCGTTCCTTTTTCTTCTTTCTCTCGCGCGCGTGCGCGTGGGCCCCGCTATCACCCACCCCCTCCCTGCTCCGGAAGGACGATGACCTTGACGAGGAGGATGATATGGAGGAGGGCTTCGCGGAGGATACGCCAGCGGCGGCGTCAAGGAAGCGCCGCCAGCGGCGCCGCCGCGGCGCTGCTGCCGCCGCCGCCGCCGTCGACGATGACGATATCGCGGATTTGGACCTGGAGGACGAAGATGAGGAGTACGACGACGGTGATGTTGATGACGACGACGAGGAGTTGTTGGGTTTGGAGGATGACGGATCCCCCCCCCTGGGTGATGGTCTGGGTCCCGCCTCCTCCGCTGCCCCCGAGGACCTGGACTGGGAGGTGGAGCGGGGTGGTGGTGAGGAGGGGGAGGACGATGCGATCATCCTGGACCAGCTGCTGAGTATGTCCGTCATGGACTCGTCGCGGTACAACGACACGGCGGGTGGGTGGAAGAGGGAGGGTTGCGGGGTGGGGGCGGGGGTCATGGGGTGCTGGGTTTGGGGAGTGGCGGGGTGTGGTTGCTGCGGGCATCTCTTGCGTGTGTGTGTGGGGGGGGAGCATCAGCGGGAGGGAAGAAGCTGAACATGGGTTGGGGGTGGGGGTGGAGGGTTTAGGGGGTGTTATGAGGAGGTAGGGTCGTACTGGGGAGTGTTGCCTGATAGGGCTGGCGGCAGGAGGGCAAGGGACGGGGAGGGGAGGGGAGGCATGAGATATGGACGGCACACGCAGCCACCGCAACCCCAACCCACACACCACCACCATCTACCTCAACCCCAATCCCAACCCTGCAGGCATGGTTGTTGCCATGCGCATGCTGGAGTTGTGGGTGGCTGTGGGTTGCTCCCCCACCCCTCCCGACCTGATGATGCTGTACGAGGGAGCCACCCTCGAGGAGCACCCCCGCTGCTGTGCGGACCTGGCGGAGCAGCTACCCGCACTGCTGGTGGCGGGGGAGGTCAGCCGGGAACAGGTACGGGCCAGGAGGAAGGGGGAAGGAGGGGGGCGGGGGGGAGGAAGGGGGGTAACAGTAAGGGGAAGGAGGGAGACAGGTAGAGGGGTTGGTGGAGGGAGGGATCCGGTTGGGGAGAGGGAGGGGGTGCGGCTGGGGGTGGGAGGGGGCGAAGTTAGGACAAGGTAGGAAACCATGCTCAGATCCTTTTAAAACTAGTAACACACATACATACACATACACATTTGGTGGTTACAAATATAGCCTTTTGACGCCGCAGCCCCCCTCTAACCCCCAAACTCCCCTCTGCGCCACCCTCTCTGCCCCCCTTTCTACATTCCCCCCAGTTATCCGAGATGTTGGTCACCCTGGCCAACGTCTGTCTGCGACCCGGCAGTGCGGACAGCGAGGCGGCGGACCGGGTGGTGACGGTGATGGAGGATAACAAGCTGCAGGTGGGGCAAAGGGGGGAGGGAGAAAACGCAGGAAACAGGAGGATTGGGGAGAAGGGGGTGTGGGGCGGGTGTGTGTGGAGAGAAGGGGGGGCTTGGAAGGGGTTAAGAGGGCAGCGAGCGCGTGTGGATGTCAGGGAGGGAGGAAGGGAGGGAGTGTGCGCGTTCGCAGTCGTATTTTGCGCCGCCTGCGGACGCGGAGGACATGTATGTACGCGTGCTCGCAGCCCTGTACGACATCTGCGGTACGGCAACTTCCCCCGCAACCCCCAACGCCCTCTTCCCCCGACTGCTGTCCCAACGCCACGCGGCTGCCTATCACTCCCTGTCTGTCTGTACGTCTGTCTTTCTGTTTCGTCCACCTTCCCTCCGTCCTGCCGTACCAGGTCCCTGCTGACGTGTACTCCGGGTTGGAGGCGGCCCTGGGCGGTCGCCCCCGCATGCGGGACTCGGTGCTGGGGGTGGCGGGGGGCAGGCTGGAGGACACCGACATGGACCTGACGGGTGGGTGAGGGGGCCGGGGGGTGAGGGGAATGAGGGGGGCCCGGGTTTAGGTGGGGGTTAGGTTTAGGTGGACCGCGGTAATCAGAGGGGTACGGAGTGTGGGGGGAGGGGTAGAGGTAGAGGAAGGAATGTGAGGAAGCGAGATGCTGGCAATGTAAGGTCAGGTGGTAGGCGGGTCGGAGGATCGCGAATTTCATCCAGCCTGGGGCTGGACCAGTCCAGTCTATGGTGTATGGTGGGTTGCCGTATGGTGGCGTGGAGGGGAAGGAGGTAGGGAGGTTGGGGGGCACCCCAATGGGGTGTTCCCCGGGGTGCATGTGTGTAGGGTGTGTGTGCTCGGGTGGCGGTGGTGGTGGTGCTTACATACATGCATACATGCATACATGCGTACATATATGGAACTAACCCGCGCATTACTGCCCATCCCACTCCATTCCTCACCCGTCACCTGACTCCGCACTAACCCCCGGTTGTACGACAGGTTCGGGGCTGGAGAGCAGTGTGTCCGTAGTGGGTGATGAGGAGGACGAGGGGGAGGGGGGTGAGGGGGTATTGGAGGGGGTGCTGGGGGCAGGGGAGGGAGAGGAGGAGGAGGAAGAGGAGGAGGGGGGTGCGGAGGAGGAGGGCGAGGGCGAGGAGGAGGAGCTGGAACTGTACGGCGAGTACGAGGAGGATCCTGCGCAACTGGAGGCCGAGCAACTGGAGGTGCGGGCCGAGCAACTGGAGATGGTGGTGGAGGGGAAGGGCATGAAATTAGGTGGTGCACGTGTGGCATGATTGCGTCCTTGGGAGGTCATCCGGACAACGTCATGAGTATGACGACCCTCGTGTCCCCCGGGCACCTCACCTCACCTCACCCCACCTCACCTCACCTCACCTCACCTCACCTCACCTCACCCCACCTCACCTCACCTCACCTCACCTCACCTCACCCCACCTCAACTCAACTCAACTCAACTCAACTCAACTCAACTCATCTCACCTCAACTCACCCCACCTCACCCCACCTCACCTCACCTCACCTCACCTCACCCCACCTCACCTCACCTCACCTCACCTCACCTCACCTCACCTCACCTCACCTCACCTCAACTCACCTCACCTCACCTCACCTCACCTCACCTCACCTCACCTCACCCCACCTCACCCCACCTCACCCCACCTCACCTCACCTCACCTCACCTCACCTCACCTCACCTCACCTCACCTCACCTCACCTCACCTCACCTCACCTCACCTCACCTCACCTCACCTCACCTCACCTCACCTCACCTCACCTCACCTCACCTCCGGGGGCCCCGCCCACCCACCGCCATCTGGCCCCGGGCGGGCGCTGGGGGCTGGTAGGGGAGTCGGGGTGACCCCTCTCCTTCCACGGGTATACGCCCATGTTATGCTGCGTGTATACATTTACATTTACATTTACATTTACATTTACACACAGTATCTATATCTGTGTGGCGTCATAGAAATGAAACCCGACGTACGGTAATACTCCTGTGTGTGTGTTTTCCTCTTCCCTTGGCACTGCTTACCTCCCCCCCCCCGCTGCCCGGTCTCTCTCCCCTTCCTTGGCCTCCCCCCTACTTGGAATTGCACGTACATACAAATACACGCATACACGCGTCCACGGCTGCAGCTTCAGCGGCTGTTCCAGCAGGATGGTGAGGAGGACGATGCCTGGTTGGACGAGCTGGACGACACAACAGGTACGGCCACAGCCGGGCGGGCGGTCACACCTGCGCCCTGAGCCCCTTCCTCCTGAACCTGTTTCCCCGTCATTCCCCCGCTCGGCCCTTCTCTACTCCATCACTCTCTTTTCCGTATCCGCACAGACTTAGAGGAAGTACGAGCAGCCGCTGAGGCCGAGGCCGAGGCTGCCCGCCAAGCCGAGATGGTGGCGGCCACCCTGGAGTCCGTACGAGCACGCAACCCCCTGGCGGCGGCCCTCCTGGAGCGCCAGTTAGCGGCGATGCAGCAGGCGGCGGAGGCGCTGGCGGAGGCCGAGGCGGCGGACGAGGCCGAGGGCGAGGAGGAGGGCCAGCTGCCCGCTGAAGCCGGCACGGAGGCCGGAGCTGGCGGGATAGTGCCGTACGGCGCTGGCGGCATGGACGGGGCTGAGGGTTGGGAGGCGGAGGAGGATGCAGAGGAGGGAGGAGAGGGGGAGGAGGAGGAGGGCGGGGACTTGGCGGATTTGGGAGCGATGGCTATGGAGGCGGAGTGGGATGCTTCGGCGGTTCTGGAGCTGCCGCCGGTGGTGTTGGCGGAGGCGGCGGCGGCGACGGAGGCGGATTTGGACGAGACGGGCGGCCTGGAGGAAGAAGACAGGGTGGGTGCTGGTGTGTGGACGTGTGGACATTGCAGAGAGGACACCAAATGTGTGTGTGCATGTATGTATGTATATGGGCGGGGGTTAGGTCCCCCTATAGGTACTGCGGGGGTGTCCTGCCACCTCAGTGCTGCTGTTTTGTTGCATCCCGTATTGGAGCCCGTACTGGTAGGCTCTCCTTAGCCCCCCCCCACCGCATGCGCGCACTCTCCCTTAAGTCCTGTTGGATTATGCACGATTGCATAAACTGTTTTTCCGTTGTACGGCATTGGAGCACTCCCTTCCTTACTCCCCAACCCCACCCCACAGATACTGCTCCGCCGTATCGCCAGCAAGGCCCGGGTGCTAGCCCAGCTCAGCGCCCTCAACGACATGGCCGCACAAGCACACCCCGACGGCGCAGCAGCGGCGGACGCAGAGGTGACGGAGGCGCTTCGCCGCGTACGACAAGCTATGGCGGAGGGCGCCGCCGCTACCTCGATCATAGCCGCCGCGGCGGCAGCAGCCGGCGAAACGCCGGCCAGCTTGGCGGCGGCGGCGGCCGACGAAGCAGGGCTTGATGCTGTGGGATTGGAGCTGGAAGAAGCTGAGGAGGCCGAGGAGGGGGAGGGTGAGGATGTGTTGCTGCCGGAACATTTGGAGCCGGGTGTGGATGAGGAGGCCTTGGATGGGCCGGCTAAGGAGCTGCTGCACAGTGTGATGGCAGAGGCGGAGGCGATACTGGCGGCAGAGGAGGCCGAGGAGGAGGCCGAGGCCGAGGAGGAGGATGGCGGAGCGGGCGAGGCGGAGTGGGAGGAGGAGGAGGAGGAGGGGGCTGAGTTTGATGGGTTGACGGTGGGCGCGGAGGAGACGGCGGCTGATGCGGCGATGTTGCGGCGGTTGCTGGAGGCTGCGGACCAGCTGGGTCCCGAGCTTAATGAGGAGCAGCAGGAGGTGAGAGGGGCTGGCAGGGCTGTGTGCGCGTGTGTATGCCCGCGTATGCCCGCGTATGCCCGCGTATGCCCATGTATGTATGTATGTATGTATGTATGTATGTATGTATGTATGTATGTATGTATGTATGTATGTATGTATGTATGTATGTATGTATGTATGTATGTATCTGTGTGGGGGGTTGGGAAGGTGCGGTCTGTGTGGAGTTTGGGTGTACGTTGGGTGTGTTGATGGCACCCTGTGTGCTCTTAGGGGGAACTGGAGGAGCAGGAATGAGAAGGGGAGGGCGGGAGTGGGTTGCGGTGGAGGTGGAGGTGGAGATGGAGATGGGGGATTACCGGATTTCATTGGGTTGGGCCGTTTGCCGACACCGCCCTGAGTGACCCAGGTGACTCTGGACATGCACGTCAGCTCCCCCCCCCCTACTTCACATCTTCATCCATCCATCCCACCTGACCCATCGCAAACCTGCCGCACACGTGTCATGTAGTTGTACGACATGTTGGAACGCGGTGATACTTCCTCCCTGGAGTCCAAGGTCGGTCCCGAGGTGATGTCCTGGCTGGCGGAGGACCTGCAGCGGCTAGCGGCACAGGAGGAGGTGGGGCGAAGGGGGGAGAGGGGGGGGTCCCGAGCTATGTGGAGGAAAAAGCGAAGATGGGGGAGAGGAAGCTAGCCTGTGGGATAGGGGGGAGAGGGGAGGGCGTACGTGTATGCGTGGGGCACCATGTGTGTGTGGTAGTGGGGGGGAGAGGCGGCAAACCACCCGGACAGGTGCGGAAGCTTACATGGGGTGAGGGTTACATCTCCGCACCTAGAGGGTCCATTACCAGCCACCGTACGCCTAAGGGGCTGCATCGGACCCCGCGCCGACTTCACCTCCCCCCGGACGGCGGCGGCGTCGAACTCCTCCTTCCCTTGCATATGTTTCCCCTGGCCCCCGTATTTTACTTTTCCTCCTACAGCAGGGGCCTTATCTCGGAGTATCGGTCGATGGTATCTCCTCCTCGTCAATCGTCTGTGCTTCGTCGTATCCCTCTGCCCCCTGTCCTTTGTCGCTTTTTCCCACTTTCCCAGCCCTTTAACCCCTATCCCAACCTTGCTGAACCCCCGTTTTCGCAGGTTGAGCTCCAGGAGGGCCCTATGGGTGGGCTGGCGGAGCAGCAGCAGCAGCAGCCGCAGCAGGGCGAGGAGGAGGAGGAGGAGGAGCTGGGCGACGGTGTGCCCGAGCTACCCCTGGGCTGGCGCCTCAACGACCGCTTTATGGACACCTTTGCGGCGGTGCTGCGGGAGCGGGCGGCCGCAGCGGCGGAGCGCGGCATCGCGGACGACGGCCCCGAGGTGGCCGCTGTGGATGCGCTGCTGGCCATGGCGTATGGCTACCGGCCGCAGGGCGCGGCGGACCTGCAGGAGGAGGAGGAGGAGGAAGATCGGTGGCAGGGTGAGGGTGAGGAGGTGGACGAGGAGTTGGAGACAGTGCAACGGGAGGCAAGAGAGGCGTTGCAGGCGCTGGCAAAGGAGATGGGGGGCCCTGGTGAGGCGGCTGCGCGGGAGGCGGCGGAGCGGGCGCTGGAGGAGGTGATGGCCGTGCAGACGGAGCGGTACGAAGAGGCCAAAGCGGAGGAGGAGGCGGGGCCGAGGGTGCAGGTGCCGCTGCCGGCGACTGCGGCCGCGGCGGCTGCGGCAGCTCTGGCGGCGGGCGGGTTGGAGGAGGGGCCCGCAGACTGGGAGGAAGAGGGCGAGGGCGAGGAGGAGGAGGGGGAGGAAAGGGGAGGGGCCGGCAGCGGGTTTAAGGTTTCGGAGGCGGTGCCACCGGAGGTGGCGGCTGCGTTGCTTCAGAGCCTGCGGCCGGTTGCGGGTCCCGTGTATTTTGGGGCGCAGCAGCGGCAGCAGCGTGAGGAGGAGGAGGAGGAGGAGGAGGAGGATGGCGGGCTCGTGGGAACGTCCACAGCCGCGGTGGCGGAGATGGCGCCGCAGGCGGAGGAGGAGGAGGAGGAGGCAGAGGAGGAAGAGCCGCCTGTCCGAGGCAAGGGGCGAGGGCGGAGTGGCAGCGGGCCGGGCAGCGCGCGGGCGCGGAGGGGCTTCCGGTAAAAGGTTGCAATGGTGTTGATTATGCGGAGTGGGAGGGGGGAAATTGCAATTTCTCTTACCCGAGATGATGTGGGTACTGTGGATTGGGCTGTACACTGGGCATCGCGTAGTACGTCCACTGTCGGTCATGTTGCCGTCCCTAGTGCCGTGGGGGTGCCCTCCTGGGGCTTCATAGGTGTCGGGGTCGGCATCGGTAAGGGGTTAGTGCATCAGATGTGTACGGATGCAAGTGCCCTTCCTTGTCGATTATGGTTGTGGGGAACGCTGGTCGGTGGCAGGACGGTGGCACGTCAGTCTGCGTAGTGTAGGGAAGGGGGGGGCCTGTGTTTGACTCAGTTTAAGGCCTTTGCAGAAACGGTGGTGGCAGTCCGTACTCAGGGGCAGCAGGCGGCAGGGCATTGACATCAGCACCGGGGCGAGGGCGCTTTGGTGGTCGTGGTGTGCGTTGGTACTGGGGGGAGCCCTGCGGGCCTGCAGAGGAGGGAGCAAGCGGCTGACCTCATCCAGGGCGGGGCGACCGCACGTCTCGTCTCTACATATACTTGTAAGGCTCATAGGGCACTTAAGAACTGCGCACTGAGGCAGCTGCAGCGATTGCGGTTGAGGGCAGGTGAGACCGCTACCTGGCGGTGGTGGTAGTGGGGTTGCCACATGAATGGAGCCGGTGGAGCGCTGTCCGTGTGGGGAAGGACACGTATCAGGCGCGTCCTCTTGTCCGTCTCAATCTGCAGACGTAGTCCCTGCCACGACCAGCTCCGTTGCCGCTATTGCACCACCACCGGACCGCGTTGGTTCACCAGGGTATTTGCCGCGAAAAGTTGAAATGAAGTTAAGTGACCTTCACAGGGGCCCATCTGGTGGCTGATGTGGTACAACTATTGCCATGTATTCAACGAATGGTAATGGCGCGCCTCGCCTAGTGGTGGTTCAAGCCACTGACTATGCACCCAATCGCCTAGTAGCCCGGTCCGGAGCGCAAGGCTGTAGCGGTCGGTAAAGTTCAGCTACAGGGTCCGCAGCTTAGCCGAGAAGAACGCCCGTTTGTGTGAGTCACGAATTTACGGCCGAGGATGGCGCCACGTGTGAGTCGAGTCGGAGGGTTATGAAGTCATGTGGTACGCGGCAGTAGTTGCTTGCAAACGGGGATTAGGTGAGTGGCTGGGTAGGTGGCGTTTACCGCGGCCCCGGGCATCACGCAGCAGCAGCAGCAGCACCCTCAGTGTCCGACTGTTGCTTCAGATTCTGCTGGTGAAAGTGGGTTGTGTGCCCGTCACCAGCTGGTAATTCTGCAGCCGCACTTGCCCGACTATGACATCTGGGTCGCTTGCCTGTACATGTACGCAAGACGGAAAACAGCTGAAGGGGGCTTGAGCACCCTGGGGTTGGTGTCCGTCTGCCTGCTTGCCTGCCAGCAATAAAATAGTATACCACAACAAACTCAAACTGGCGAACTCCCTATGGAAGCCTTATTACACATTGTAACATCCTCTTTTAGGGGCTCCCCAACCTTATGGAGGTGCCGTTCTGCTGAAAGTCAGCAACAAGGACCGCAGAGCGTGTAATTTTGTTGCATGATTGTTGCTGTCATGAAGTTGCTGTCAAAGATTTTCAAATTTATCTTCCGAATATCTGGCCCCGCGCTTCGCTTGAATTGCCGAACTATACATATCGGTTACTTATGCTACCTCGATGCATATGGAGTTGCTATATTTGTGCGTTTGGGCGTATGGAGGGCTCCTTGATGGCCCGTTACCGATAAAACAACTATCGGCGAACACCAACCATCGACCATGACACAGTTGCTTCTGCAAATCATGCCAAGGTGGTGGGTAAGGCCATGCTTGCACGCTTGCATATCAACACAGCAATGTACGAGCGGCCCTACACGCCACACCGCTCACACACAATGCGCGCATATCTCATACCCTATGGGAGTGGTTTAGGTCCTTTCAGGCTTGTCCACATGGCTAATGTGCAGCACATTAACAACATAGGCCTGGCATTAGTCCACGTGCTTAAAACGATTGATGTCCACGACTGGCACCGTGTCCATATGCAAGAAGCACTGCCTGACCCGCTGGGACGTTGGTCGAAGACGTCACAACCTCTGTGCGTGCATGGACACCAACAATATATCGTGACAACCCGTATAAGATCTAGTCCAACTTGCGAGCAGTGCTCATCGGGGTGCGGTCCGGTCGCCTACGCCTTCCGTTTTGGCGGTAAGCAAGACTTCAGCATGCTCTAGTCAACTGTTCGGATGTATGGGGACATTCTTACATGGCGCTTAAAAAGCCGTGTGCACAGATGCCGATGGACGTTCCCACGGCATTCGCGCAACAGTCGACTCAGAGGGCACTAACAGTCACTGTTAGGACTCAGGATCCTTGTCAATCTGGCAGAGCGTATTGCTCAAGTTCATGACTTCTCGTTTACCTAAGATTCTAAACGGCCGTATGGAAAACTCATTTGTTCGAGTGTGCTCCGTACGGCGGGGGCCTTGCGCACCATCTTTCATGGTTTTAAGGCACTGTGGTCACGTCGGAGACTTTAGGGACACTTTTGTCGCTCATTTCCACTGATGTCTCCTGCTCAGCTGATGAAGAGTGCTTCTCGCGCGGCCGTGCGCCCGGCGCGTTCGGCCGTCCGTGCCTTGGCGCAGCAGCGCACGCAGGCCAAGTCTGCTGGTAAGACTACAAATGCCAATTCTCTTATCACAAAATTTTGATTCCATTTCCAGTAGTGTTGCTTCCTTGAGGCCTGATTGGTAACCACGGATTGCTCGTTTGGCAGCCCATGCATAGAGAGGAATGAAGTATAAACCATACTGTAGTAGGGCCTATCCAATCTGTGGAACGCAGCCAGGGTGCGGGGATTTAAGGGGTTCGTCCAGACATCAGATTGATGATTGTGGGTCATAGCCGTCGAGGGAAGTTTGCACGTACACAAGTGTGCCGCTCTTTGCACACGCTTAAGTCGGACTATTTACTGACGGGTTGCTGATCTGTATCATGCAGTGCGTAAGTCGCTCGCGACTGGTCTGCTCGCCAGCAGCGTCCTCCTTCAGTCGCAGGCTGCGCGCGCTGCGGAGGCGGATCAGCTGGACACCACCGTCGAGACCGTTGTTGGTGCTGTCAAGGTCAGTAAGGGTTGGGGGACATAGGTTCGTGTTATGCCGTGCCGCGTTATGCTGTTTGGGGAAATGATTCCTTGCTCGAGTTAGATGCTTCTCGCTTTACTCACCATGACAAGCGACAATGGACGTGATGTATCACCTCCTCACGGACTTTGGTCGCATATCTTCATTGCTGATTCCAAGAGAAGTGATTGTTCTATGACATGAAAATCTTCACTGCATGCTTGCTGCAACTACCGCGGCGTAATTTCATCCTAGCATTGGACACGACTGTAGGCGAGCGTTACGTGTCGTGTGTCGTCGCCCGGCAGGTCCCTGGCGAGGATATCCCCCTTATAAGTTACTCCGATACATGTGCGAATTCTAATATAATTTACATCCGCTGTTTACGCCCATGGCAGGCCACTGGTGAGGTCGTGAAGGCCGGTATCTCCACCATCCAGACCGGCGTGAAGATCCTCAAGGAGGTATGTTCGGGATAAGAATTTGAGGTTTGGGTCTTGTGTTGGTCGCTTGATAATATGTTGGCCCCGTGAGAACAGCTACTGATGCAATTATCTTACGCGGTTGAAGCCCTCGACTTGCGCAGGGCTACGATGTGGCTGCCCCAATCGCCAAGCAGGCCGTGGACACTGTTGCTCCCGTGGTTGTTGAGGCCGCGAAGAAGACTGTCGAGCTGGCACAGCCTGCGATTGATGCCGCCGCCCCGGCAATCTCGGTATGTTGGATAGGGCCTTATTGTGGCTACAAAACCCGGCTGTAAAGTAAATGGGTAGTGCTTCCTCATTGTCCTGTAGTCAGTCAATATACATTCTCTTATACGCTGGATTACGGCAATCCATGCGATCCGTGCGTGCGTGCTAACTCTTACGTCCCTTCTCCGATCTCCCACTTCACTCGTGCACCCCAATCTCCCAACCGCAGAACACTGTCTCTGATGTGTTGGAGAGCACGGGTGTCGACCTGTCGGCCGTGACGAACGCGGCGGGCACCGTTGGCGAGGTGGCTGGTACCGCGGTCAGTGCTGCCACCCCAGTTGCCCGCTCCTTGGCTGAGGTCCTCGCTAGCAGTGACCCGGTCACTCTGGGCGAGTACGCTCTAGGCGCTGTGGCTCTCTACTACCTGACGCCCGCTCTGTTCGGGCTGTTCCGGTGAGGCATTGGGATGGGTGTTTGATGTGCTTGCCTAGTTCTCTTTCAGTTGGATGTTGTAGCCGGAGTCGGTAGACTATGAGTCGGACCATATTCACTCTTTGGTTCCTACTTCGTGTTGTTTCACCCACAGTGGCTTTGCTGGTGAGCTGACTGCTGCAGTGGCTCTCGACACTGTGGTGAACGACGCCTCGGCCGTGCTGATTGACATCCGCTCAGCCCGGGAAAAGGAGGCCAGCGGCGTGCCTGATGTGCCCGGTGCTGCCTCAAGCAAGGTGGGCGGTTTATGCAGCTTGTTGCTGTCTTCCATGACCCTATATGTTGTTCATATCCCGAGCTAATATTTGGGCACTCCATACTTATTGCTCACGAAGATTTTCATGCAGAGAAAGTGTCCGTACTCCGTTAGCCAGCCAAGGCCCACGTCGTTCTGACTAAGGGTTTCCTTCTGCTTTCCCTGTACTCTTCAGGTTTTGGAGGTGGAGTTTGCCGCCCTGGAGGACAAGAAGCTGCGCTCTCAGCTGAAGGACCCGTCCTTCATTGAGGCGCAGACCACTGCCCTGCAGATTGCCTCGCTGCGCCGCATCGGGACTAGCAGCAAGGTCATCCTTTTGGACCGCTACGGCGCTTCGGCGGAGGCTGTCGCCCGCGAGCTGGCCAAGAAGGGCTATAGCCGCGTCTTCATTGTGGCTGGTGGCTTCGATGGCCGCGCCGGCTGGATTCAGTCGAAGCTGCAGATTAAGCCTTACACCGCAACGAACTTGACATTCGCTGCCCCGGCCTTCGGTGCACGCACCGGCACGACGTCGACCCGCCGCCTGCCGGCACCGCGCGCGTAATGAGCGTATGAGTGCACTCGCCCATGGTGCCTTTGCTCGAACTGTGCATCGGTAAGAAATGTTGCACTTGATAACTCAGCTTTGTTTTCTCTGGCTATCAAGGATGGACGACTATCATGGGCAGTGCCAATCGCGATATCGTGGGTGTATGGAATTGACGTTGGCAAGGCTGACCTGTTCATGACATCTGTATGACCGGAAACTTGGTTCGATTGGACCCGCGATTTAGCTCCAACGGGTCGATCGTATCGTGAGCGAGCTGTCGGTGGTTGTGACGCAGGGCCATGTGCGTGGTTGACCCTAAGGACCGCAGCAGCAGCTGCAGAGTGAATAACGGCTGCAGCCGCATGGGCGAGAAAGACGAAATTCACATGAGGGTAGGCGAGGAGAGGCTTGTTCAGCCATTAACAGCCCGAAGTATTGCGCCCCCGTTTGTGTGGATTTTGGTAGATCGTGGCGCAAGTAGCGTAGGTTTCCAGCCTGTGGGCTTATATGTTTCAGACGATGATAAAAGTGTAAGAATACGGCAGTGAGTGGCACCTGGCTGAGATGGGTATGCACATGTTGCGCATAGCGAAGGACAAGTTTTTGATGCCGGATTAGCTAAATGGCTGATTCATGTTTGACGCACGTGTGAAAGGGTGTTTTGACGAGTATCTAACATGTATTTGTGAAATGCCATTTTGATAGATAATATTCCTGTGCCAGAAAGATGAGCAACTATTAAAGGGCAAACCTGCAACCCTCCAAGATCTGTCAAGTGTAAGCAAATCGTTACCTACCTAACACTTGACAAAAGCTTATTATCATCTTACCACACGATGCGTGCATTTTTTACATATAAGATATACGCTCCCATGTGTTTGGACGATTAATCAGAACCCAAAACCACATCATACAATTACAACACATCTAACCCATCCAGCCCTACGAAACCTTGACCCAAAAACCACATGTACCCACACTATCTTACATAAAATAAAGAGTACTTCATCTACAGTCCACACCCTTCCGCCTTATCAATCCACTCTACACGACCTGATGCAACACATGCGCATACTACCCTACTGCAACCCATGTTGTAACAGCATCTCAGCGATAGAGCGACTCCGTTCGCAGGTTGGTGGCAATCTCCGTCTCCCAACGGTCACCGTTCTCCAGCAGCTTCTGCTTGTCGTACAGCAGCTCCTGAAGCCCATGGGGGATTGCAAATCTTATGAGAGTCCCCTAGGGCTTCACAAATGGCAAGTGCAGCTGTGCCGACCATGATCCTTCAGCTCGCTGCCATTTGTGCGCTCTCTCAGGAAAAGATAGAGCGAGCCACGTCGTCACTTCTCCAAGCATACTTCCAAACAAGCGGCACAGGCGGCGTCCTATATAACCAAAGTAGAGCCCCTCAAGTAACGCTGCATCGTCACAAACTCGCCCAACAATAGCAACAATAGCAACCGCCGCGCAACGCATCCTAAAGGCCGCGGTGTGAAGCGCTCCCCGACATGTCACCATCACCGCAAAATGAATGATGCACAGGCAACCCTGCCCAGCTATCCCGGGATTAGCCACCTTGGGGAAAACCCTTATCCGCTTTGAAGCCCCACCTCAGTCCCCGCCCACCCACCTCGCGCGTCTCAGTGGAGAATTCAAAGTTGGGTCCCTCCACAATCGCATCCACGGGGCATGCCTCCTGGCAGAAGCCGCAGTAGATGCACTTCGTCATGTCGATGTCGTACCTACAATGAGGAGCGCAGTCAACAAATCAGCACCTATGAGTGCCACACTGGGAGTGCTCGTTGTGTGGCGACGAACTTTGAATAAAGCCCTAGGCCTTAGGACGGGAACGGAACTAACGATAGACATATTTGCCTAGCCCTTAAATATGGAATTAACTGTGGACGTCACCCAAACGGATTTAATATGACCCAAATCAACGATTTTCTGACAGACCAGCATGCCACGTTGACAGTTCTTGCCCCGCACCGCGCTACCCTCCGGCCACCCGCGGCACCCACCTAGTCGTCCTGCGGCTGCCGTCCTCACGCTCCTCCGCCTCAATGGTAATCGCCTGGGCGGGGCAAATCTGCACAAACGAAGACGCCATGCAGGGGAAGACTTTTTGGCAAGGTGAAGCTGTAAAGACGCATGCCGCTATGTTCGTGGTGCAGCTGCACAGTCTAGCTCTGCGTGTCTGCCACCCAACTCAGCTCAGCTCCATATCACTTGGGGCCCGCGGGATGGGCTAGGATGTCGACGCGACATGTAACATGCGAAATTGGCAGCGCGGTGTGGCCATTCGTTACCAAGGTACTTATCCCGCCGCAAACAATAATCTTCCCTGCTCTTCTACTGATAATAGCCGAGCAACACGCACACGATGCGCCTGTTGCGAAACTACGGTGTACAGGCATGGACAGGGATGCGAAAATCGACGGGGAATTCCCTGAGAAGAGTGTCCCTGTTTTGTGGATCCCATGTGTGACAACAGCCGTCATATACTTTGAAGTCTTCCGCAAACCAAAGCTTCATATTCCCCCGGCGGAACTCTGAGAGGCACAAGTAACCGAGTAGTGCTCCGAAGACATCGTGATAAAGACCTACCGCCTCGCAAAGCTTGCAAGCAATGCAACGCTCTTCCCCGGTTGGGTACCGCCGTAGGGCGTGCTCTCCACGGAAGCGAGGGCTGACCTGCCCCTTCTCGAATGGATACATGATCTGCAAGCAAGGTATGCCGGTTAAGGCGACGTGCTTGCAGGCTGATCTTGAAAGCAGCTGGTCCATTCGCTGCTGTACACAGTAAGGACAGCTAAGCAAACCCTTGTCGCCCATTGAGTACGCACCTTTCCACCTCCTCCCCTCACTACTAACCCCTCCTGAGCAAGCGCTGCCGCATCCTTGCTCTCCAGGGCCCTCGACTTACCGTGACCTTCTTGTCAAAGAAAGCCCCCAGGGTGTAAGCCATGCCACGCCAAACCTCCGTCAGCAGCAGCATATGCGCGCTGTCGTCGAGTACTGTATGAGATGGAATACCCGGGGACTATAAGCCCTAGCAGGAGTGCATGTAAACGCCACGTAATCCTTACCCTCGGCCAAGTTCTTAGGTGTTCGCTTGAACGTGGGGTCATGCTCCCAGTCGCTGGCATATCGCTGCCGCTCAACTGTAGCAGACGTATGGATATTTTCATTACGCATGCAGGCAAAGGCTCACGAGGCAGGCTGCGTTCAGTCTGCTGTGTTTGCATCCTACCCTGCTTCCAAGCTCCGGACTCTCCGGGACGGCGCTCCGTGCCCATGCACCGCATAAACTCCGTCATGGCACCGCAGCTAGGAGCAGCCCATGACGTCAAGAGGCTCTGCGCCGCACGCCTTACGAGCGGCATTGTAGCTGGGTCTGATTTCAGCAAGTTAAATTAAAACTGGCTACAACGCGCACCTAAGCCTAGCAGATGGAACAGTTTTACAAATTCCTTGCTGAAGCACGAGAACCTGATGCCGTGACTTCAGTACCGTACAACAGCTTGCACCAACGCTGTTTCCGAGTGGAATTTTGTTTACGTTACCCGTTTGCTTCAATCTGCAATCCCATTTATCAAGTAAATATTGCCAACCATGCGTTCAAGACTTTTTGCTTGTAATCGATATCTATTGCCATTCCTTTCTACACAACAAAGTCAATACATCGCGAGTTGCAGCGCATGGGCCCCGCAATACTCAGAGCCGACATGCTCACCCCGTTGCGGACAAGAGGATGATATACGGCACCGGCTGGGTGCAGCAAGACAAGCGCGCAGCATACAGGGCTTTGCACGTATTGCGGAGACGGAAGAGGGCATGACCAAAATCAGCGGCTACTACGGGGGGGGGTTTTACATCAACAACGTGCAGGCAGGTGGCCACATGGGGCAATGCAACGGTCGGGAAATGCGCCTGCGAAGGTGTTTTTCGCCATAATTCGGGCTCGGTCGAAACGGAGAGGGAAATGGTGGCGGATTCCCGTGCCCTACAGCACGCTGTGGGCGATTGCCTTGAGTTACCCGGTTGTGTAGCCGCGGGCTGTGACAGCGCAGATGTGACCAATATTCATGCAACGCCTGCTCTTCCTCCCCTTTTTCGTTATCTGGCATCTCCCAGCTGGTCCGCCCAGAGTTCCCACCCGGTGTAGCCCAGCATGCAGCTATATGCCACCAGGACCCCTTCACACGCTACCCGCACGCAATCCTTCCGGAATTGCTAGCAGTGAAGTAGCAAAATCCTTCGCTCCTGTATTAGGAACGACCTGCTGTGCAACCCAATCCACACACACACACACACACACACTGCCTCCCCTTCTGCTCCCCTTCTGCACTATTTTCCCCACAGTCCCCACTGCCTCACCACTTCACACCAAACCAAGCTAGTTCAATTCACCACCTACATACCCCCTTACCTATCCCCCCGCGCAAACGCGCGTCCTCGACCAATTCGCAACCCCACGTACTCTGCCACCCACACACCCACCCATCCACCCGCGCAGCAGGTCCCCGGCTCCGTCATCGTAAGCCACGACCTGTACCTCATGTGGCGGCCCCGCCGCCTTTCCGAGGTCACCCCCGACAGCCTGGGTATTCTGGAGCTGCTCAAACCCGCACCCGAGGTGCTGGTGCTGGGCACGGGAGCGCAGGCGGAGCCGCTGCCTCCGGCACTGCGCGACTACCTAGGCCGCATCGGCGTGCGACTGGAGCTGCTGGACAGCCGCAACGCCACGGGGTACTTCAATGTGCTTAACGATGAGGGACGGGCTGTGGTGGGGGCGCTGCTGGTGTGCGACCCTGATGCACGCATGCCGGAGAATATGCCAGAGCAGAAGGAGCCGCTGTGGGACAGGCCCAGCATCATGCAGCGCAGCGGCATCGTGTAAAGAGGGAGGTTGAGGGGAGACGGGGTTAGGGGGATGCCAGCAGGAGGCGGAAGGGGCTAAGTATGTGCGTCAGCGGGGTTGAGGTGGCGGCAGGTGGGATGTTGCTGTGCAATGGAACGCCAGGTGGATGCGGCCCGAGTGGGGCGTGGCGGTGTGAGGGGGTGGTGTCGGGGAGAAGCGATGGCGTTGCAATATAGGTGCAGAGTCCCTGTACACTGACTGTAACCTGCCGCTGAATTTAAGGCAGCCGCAGCGTCTACCTACTTTTAATTGCTTGACGTGTGTATTGACGAGGAAAGCATCCATGGATCCGGTGGTGCAAGCAGCCGAGCAGACAACCGGGCGAATGATAAGACGAAACGAAATGGTGCGTAGTGATGTCCTTGATGGCGACGTTCGGGATATGTCCCCGACGCCCATATCCATGTCCATAGACATGTTCGTACCTTGGCAGTCATGCGGGGCCAAGGGCCAAAATCGAATGCTTTGCGGGCAGCCTTGACCGCCTTGTCTACGGAACCGGATAAGGGAAAAAGCGCCGTGGCGACCGGCGGGGAGGAAAACAGTAAGACGGGTGGCAAATTAAGGTTCAAGAACTGGGATGAGCGGCCGTGCTGCGCCGATTTGGGCAAACCTCTCAGGGAGTCCATGGGAATGGCTGCTAGGAGGTTGAGCACCCGTTGTCGCTATGTTTCGGCTGGTTCAACTGATAGGAGCGGGCCACACTCTGTCAGGTTCGATTATGACGGCTAGCTAACGACACGCAACGTTTTCCAACAGTTGTCACTATTCAATCTTGGCTACATTAGATTGGCAGTCGGAGTACTCGTCGTGCGCTCGACAAGCTCCACCCTCATGTCAGGTGGCGGGAAACACAACTGGAACAGATGCGTGAGATCAGGTGGCCTCCCGGTAATACCCACCGGTTTTCAACCCGAAGGACCCGATCCCAACCACGGCTTGACGGCTGCAAACACAGCGCGCTCCGAGGATTGCCATGCTACCTTCGCGTCACAGTACACACGTGACAACCTAGTCAGACAGCATGCAACATGTAATCGATGGCGGTGACAGAAACGGCTCAAGCGTATACAACCCAGAGGCACACTCACTCAGCCTACTCGCTGCCAACGCGTTGTGCCGTCTTGCGCTTAGCACCACATACTTCACGCGGCAGCCGGCACGCAGCGGGTTGACAGTGCGACACACATGCGCTACAGAGAGTCCCAGTTCAGCAGAGAAGCCCACCGGATGGAAGTACCACAGCCCCAACGTGACTACCTGTCCTTTGTGGACTATGTCGGCTGAATTCACTACTGCCTTAAATAGCTGTGGGATGCGACACATAGCCTAGCATGGGAGCTCATTAACAGCACCACACTTCGCCGGCTGCCATCACGCATGCTGCATGTTCGCCGGAATCACAAACCTGAAAATAACTTTATATCGCTAACTGCACACTTGGTTGTACAAGTCGTATCGCGCAGATCTTCAGCATGCTTTAACAGCAGAACGGCGCTATGGCTAACCGTTGGCAATCTGACTAGGCCTATTCGACGCGGCATCTCAGCACCTATGGAGCATGCCGACATAAAAATGCAGTTTCTTCCTAGCAAACACGTCGCACAGTGGCAAGCTGAACCCACACGGCGGCGTCCAAACGAAATAAGCTATTGATACAATGGCCCCAATACTTTCCTAGAGCTGCCCCCGCTGCGTTCGTCACCTAGCCTGTCCATGCATCTAGTTATTATGGTACATGCGGCGCTCCGTCATTCCCCTCCGACTACTCCGCTAGCCCCGCGCACGCCGTCGCAGCACCCAGGACGGCACCGTCGTCAACATCGCCATCGGGTGCAGTTTCAGCCTTGCCAGTGCATGAGGCAGCGTTACCCGCCCCCACCCCACCCATGGCTGCAATTTCCTCCAGCAATCGGCGGATGACGTTCTTGCCCTTGAATAGGTTGGTGCGGCGGATGCGCTCGTTGGCCAAGTGGCAATTGTCTGAGGACTGGCCCATGGGTATCATGATGGCGGGGGCGCACAACACGCGCTCCAGGTAGGAGGCCACGGGCATGGTGCCGCCTGCAAGGGTGAATCGGGTGAATCGGACAGTCACGCCGGGCCAGGGGTAATCAAAGGCGTGTTGACGCAAGCAGTCCACGCAGGAGAAAGAAGGTAAGGGAAAAGGGGCAGAGACATGCAGCAGGTTTCCAGTGGAGGCGGGGTGGGTGGGACGGGACGCGCACCTTCTCGCACGTAGAGTGGGTGCACGCCCCACTCCTTGTGAATGGCCGCCTCCGCCATGGCGAGCCAGGGGCTACCCTGCCACACCTCCCACCACTTGCCACGGGCCTCCACGTGCAAGTCGATCTTGTTGCTGCTGCCCAGAGCCGCGAACGACTGCTCCACGTGGTTCCTGTGCAAAAGTGGCCGCCGGGATGGGAGGGGTGGCGCAATGGGTGCCGCAAAAAGCCAGCTGCCAAAGGGCGTGAAGAGGTGCTGCGGGCGGCTGCCTGCCTTACAAGGACTGGCTAGCACGGGGTCTCCGTTGCTCGCTGTCACAGCTTGACAAGCGCGGCATGCCAACATCATGCAGCTGCGTTGTCAAAACTTGCTAATAAATATCAACACAATCCAACTGTGTAAGGCAAGCATGGAAAGTGGCAAGGATAAGAGGAGCAAGGGGATGAGGTCGTACCTGAGGCACGCTACAAGCTGGTCGGCATCCTGGTTGGGCACGAATCGCACTGACACCTTGCCCTGAGCTGCCTTGGGAATGACACTGAAGCGGGTCGGTCCAAACCTGCGGCCGGGGTGCACACAACGAGGAAGCCAGCGCCGTCCAGAGGAACGGTCAACATGAGCAAGAGTGTGAACAATTAAACCCGCGAGAGCTGGTACTGGATGGAAACACCGTTTCCCTGGCCCCTCTATTGGCCTAGTCCATTTCCCAACCCCCAAAACACACCTGTAGCAGGTGCTGGTCGGCTCGCTCTGCTGACCCGGCATCCCCACGGGTGCTCCCGGCCGCATGTCCACCACGGACAGTGAGGGCCGGCACCAGCGAGTGACAAGCAGGTCCCGCTTGTTGGGCGGGGCCGTGAGGGCGGGCACACCCAGCGCCGCCTGCAGCACATCACAGAGCGAGAAATGTTCCCACGTCAGCCTGTCCGCTACCTGCACATGCTCCGTGGCTACACAGCTACAGACCCAATGATGTGACATACAGCAGTCCCCGTAACGTGCTCCAAAAGCCCCAGAACGCAGGGCCCGCTCAGCGGTCGGGCAGCCTCCTCATGCAATTCCTCCCTCGTTCAAGTCCTCCTTCGCCCCCACCTTGTATCCCTCGAGGGAGAACTCCTCACTGTCCTTCAGGGAATCCCATGCCAGGTCAATCAGGCTGGGCTCCACATTGTCGTAAAAGCCATCAATCTGGCGCATTAGGTAGGTGGTTGGTTGGGGATATGTGAAAGCGGAATTGGGAGAACAAAACGTCGCAGCCCGGGTCGGAACCTGGCTGAAGTGGAGGCCAAAATGCAACAGGATTGCGGGTGGATCCGTTGTGGATGAGGACCGGGGGTATGAAATCCTTGCCGTGCGAGATGGCGACTAGGGTGTACTGCGGCCCGCCTCCGTCTTCCCAACATGGTCGGAACTGCTCAATCCCTCCCTCGTAGGCAGTCTGCACCGTCGCCCAGCATGCATGTGCTTGTTCGCATGAGCGCCAGGGTAAGGCGAGCGCCAATGCACCCCGCAAGTTAAGCCCTGCCTCACCTGTACCTTGCCACCTGACCCCACCAAGGTGGCCATCACCCGCAGCAGGTCCACCATGGGTTCCGCAAAAACTCCACCTTTAAGGAATGGGGGATTACATGGGTGGTGCCGTCCGCAAGAACATATTGAGCTACTGCGTACATCACCATGAAATGTTCACGGGTGCGTAATAAATGATGCAAGGCCTACTGGATGCTAGCAGCGCTCAAGCACGAGGAGTGCAGTTCATAGGACGGAAATGCGGCAGCTAGAACCATGGCTCGCTATGCTTATGGACACAGAAGAATGAAGGAAAACGCTCCTTCTGTGCCACATATCCTGAGCCTTAGGAACATGCGCAGTCGAGACACAACAACACAGACTAAGCCAGTGGTGGACGCGCCCCGCGCAGCATGAGTGGCACAGCAACTGCGTACAGCCGGGTACCAGCAGGCAACACACCCTCACTTTTTGCCCCTGAAAAACCCAGTTCTTTCCCAACCCCCTTATGACCGACTTAGCGCCTCACCGTCATTGCCGCTGTGCAGGTCGCGCTCGGGGCCGGTGATCTGGCCAAGTGGGGCACACAAGATTGACCGTTTAGCGTTGTTAGGTCAAGGTGCCTTGGTATAAGGGTGCAGGTGCCGCAAGAGCAACGCAGGCGAGGAGGAATGGGGAAGCGACAGCCAGACAAGGATGCAGCTACACGCCACAATTCATCTACCGGAGACCGATAGGCCCCCTACGTCGTAAGCCCCCCTCAGCCCTTGACCCCGAACCCAACTGCCGCCGCACCTGCACTGTTAAGCTTAACATGCCGCGCATTCCGTAGGTAAGGCAGGGAACGTTCTCCCCCACCCACAGCGTGTTGGAAATGATGATAAGCTGCGTGCCCTCGAACCAGCTGGATTGGCCAGGGGAAGAAAAGGGAGATCGAGCGCGGACAATCACCAAGCGCAAGCTTAAGGCCAAAGGGCCCAGATGAAAGCTCAGGCGTACTTAGGACGGTTTGGCGGCATCCATCCGCTCCTGTGGCTTGTTAAGCTAGTAATCTGGGTTCCTAAAGCGGGAAAGCTTGAGGGGGCCCGGACAAGCCCTTGACCGCAACATGCACGACAGTAGCTTGACGACCTGCCCCAGCACGCCAAGGGCAGGAGTCCGCCCTCGGAGGCCAGCCAATCGGCGATAGCACCCGCGGCCTTACACCCTTGGTGCGGACGCAACCCCCCTCAGATTCCTCCCCTCGAACCTGAGGTTCCGCATGATGGCATGCGAAAAACCCCTGGAGCCGTTCTCCTCCTCCCCCTCGAAGATAAATGCGACGTTCACGGGCAAGCGGCCCAGGCGCCCACCAGCACCTCCCCCGCCGCAGCCCGGGCCCGGTGTGTCGCCGCAGCTGTTCATGAGCTCGCGCACCGCAAAAATGAAGGCCAGGATAGGTCCCTGCGGAAAGCACCGGCGACAACCCGATCCATTCAACTAGGGATCCTTTGGCTTTGGTGATACAAACACCGCGGCCGTTGTGCAATAAGAGTCGAGCGCACGCCACAGGCAAGGAAGCGATGCTGTAACGTGTCGTGTCCACCCTCCGCCGGCATCGACGCGTGCCCCACAGACCCGAGCCGCAATCCTCGTCGCCGCATGCTGCAGCTCAAGAGATACACACTTGCAGCGTCCACACACTCCCTATCCTTACAAGCTGACCGCCATCAACACCTGCTCCAAAGGTGCCATAACCCTGCACACCACGCTCCCGTGCTCGCCTTGTTATCGGAGACACCCCTGCCGTAAAGGTACTCATTAACGGAGTTAAGCTCGAAGGGGTTGGTCAACCAGTCGGGTTCTGCCGCGGGTTGTACATCGTAGTGGCCTACAGACACAGCGCAAGCCAGGTAATGCCAAACCACGGCCAGAACTCCGGCACAGACGACCGCGTGTGTGGATGCTACGAGAAAACCGAACTGGGAAGGAAGAAGGGCTTAAAAGCGCCAAGTAGGAGTGAAGATTTAAGGAGCTAGATGGGCAGTTCATGACCCCAATAGGGTTATCAAAGGGAAACGGCGTGAAGGACGCACCGTAGAAGGTGACAGTGGGCTTGTCCGGGTTGTGTCCCAGTCGCCCAATTACGACGGGATTCTTGTCCTCATAAACCTGCGACGCAGAGAGCAGAGTTGAAACCCCAAGAGCGGCTTAAGAGACATAATAGGGACATAGGAAAGACAGGAAGAGGCAGCAGGACAAGGACACGGAGGCCTGTCGTCTTGCGTGTCAGCCAAGACCGCGAAACCTATGAGCAGCACCAGCAAGGGCGGCGGGCACTTCTCGTGTAAGAAGCACAACCCGTATGGCAACCAGAGGACGACCTTCCGGCGAGAAGAATGCCTACTGCTGGCACAGTAACAGGTGACTGCGCACGCACACGCGCGCCCTGCATGCTGGAGGGCCTAACGACCCGGACAGATGACTTACCTGCACGACCTTGACATCCGCGCCCAGCCCTTCCAGCATCTTAGCCAGGAATTTTGCGCCCTTGTGGCAGTCGTCACGCAGCTTGGGGCTGTTGCTAACCTACGCAGAGGTGGTTCACGGTGGAAATTGAGGCAAGGGGGTCCAAAGAAGCGCGAGACGGCGCCACGTCACATCAGCCGCGGAACGCATAACAGAATGGCCAAGTAGGTATACAGGGCCTTGCTGGGTGTGTAAATTTCGAGAGGCACGTGTGGCCGTAACGATGGCGACACAACCCTGCGAGCGGTCGCCCTCAGCGTATGATGACTGGAACTCCGTGAATAAGACGGCACATAATACTTGGGTACCAAAGGAATGCTTCCACTCGAGGCCCCCATGAAATATCGTCCGACGGGCCAGGGAAGGCGACAGCCAGCCGTTTGACCACCCACCACAAACCAACTCACCGTTTTTATTCGTACAAAGTCACGCAGGGCTGCCTCAAGCTGCTGGTCGCTGGTTGAGCAAAAATGGCCATTGCGCGTTCCAATCCGTGGCAGTAGGCTGGGTGGCTGTCCCAGGGATAGCAACGCTGCCGCCGCCGCCGGTGCTGCTGGTGTAGCTGCCCCTCCGCCTGCAGCGGCGGCTGTGGCTTGCGCGCAACCGCTCACCAGCGCGGCCATATTGACCATGCTGGCCCCTGATAGCGGGCTGCGGCGGCCATGAATATGGATGGGAACCACGGCACCCGAGGAGGCAGAGGGCGGAGCCTGGGGCAGCGCTATAGGGCAGCAGCCTGGGGCTGTACAGCCACCGTCTACAGCCGATCCAGAGGCCTGCTCCACATGGGCACTCAAGGGCTCCCCGCCGGTGCCTATGTTCATGGAGACCGGCACCACCTCTGCAGTGTCATCGCTACCAGAGGCCCGCTGCTGTTGCTGTTGTGACGCTGGAGAAGAGGCTGCATTCCGTGCTGGTGCGGCGGCGGGGCTGTCGACCTCCGTTGCCGCTGCGCCGTCCACGAGGCCGCCGTCCCCTGCACTGCGGGGCGAAAGCAAGCTCAGAGCCTCCTGAACACCGGCTCCCCCGCCGGTGCCGCGCCGATTACCGCCCGATAGCAGCGTTGCCGTCGCCGTCACGGCGCCCCGCGCGCCGTGTTGCTGTACGTGGGCCAGTGCCGCCTGCATCCCAGCGGCACGGCTGCCACCACCGGGAATCGCCTCGGACCCAGCTCCGCCTCCATGCCCCACACAGCCGCAAGAGCCCTGCGACGGCAACTCCGGCTCACTGTAGCAGGCGCCGAGCAAGGCGCGGTGCACATCGTCGATGTGCCACAGCCGCACCTCCCCATCCGTGTAGCCGGCCATGGCCATATCCGCGGACAGGCAGCCACAGAGCGCCGCTGGGACGGAGGACGAAGCAGGCAGAGAGAGGATGCACAGGCACGCCCAGGAGGTCGACCTACAGGTCCAGATAACAAAGGCGGGTTAGGATGAAGTGCCCAAAACCGGGAGGTGGTGCAGAAACGATGGCCGAGATGCGCAAGCCATGCTTTATTACAGTGAAGCCTTCTTAACCGGCTGGGCGGAAAGGGACAATTGCGGCAACGAGGCTGGATGGAACTGGAAAAAGGTAAAAGAACGGGATTAATTGGAGCACCATGCCCTTGCGGGCGCCGTACAGTATGATGAGTGTAACTAGAGGAGCCGTCTCATTCTTAAATTTGTATTTTGTGAGGACAGAGCTGCGCATGGAATCCTGTCCACGCCCCGCACCCTGAACTCGTAGCCCTGCAATCCGCAAGCACAGCCACCCACCAGCTGCAGGTGGCGAAAGCCGCTGCCCTACTTACCACAGCCGCACAGTGCCGTCGGCGCTGGAGGAAGCCAACAGGGTGGACGCCCAGGGGTTAGCAGCGCCACGACTGGTGAAGCTGCCGCGGGGCCCTACTGGCCCCTGGGTTGTGGCTCCGGCAACCGTGCCGGCGCCAGCGGCACCCCGCGGCTGCGGCTGCAACGTCAGCGTCGCGAGGCCGGTCACATCATCCTTATGGCCGGTGAGGGTGCGGCGGCACATCATGTCCATTTCAAGGTCCCACACGCTGCGTTGATGCGGTGGTGGCAGGTAGACAGGTAGGGTGGCGCGTCGGTGAGTGAAAGTTGCGAGTGATGAACCAGCGTACATCATGACCATCGAGGGGCCCCGCAAGGTCGGCAAAATGATTTTCCGCTGGCAACGTTGACTCAATGTTGTCTCAAAAAGACTTCTTAGAATCATTTTAGTTTTCTAGCAAGGCTGCATACATGGCTCTTGGGCAATCGCCGCGGAGTGAGATTCGACTCGTAAACTGGAACTCGCCGGACTTGCATCTGACGCCGACTTTGACCATGCCAGGTGCACGCAGCGTGAATCCCCTACCGTATCGTGTTATCCCGGGCGCCACTCAGCAACGTGGAGCTGCCCAGGCACAGCAGGCACAGCACGCTGCCGCGGTGGCCGCGCAGCACGCCGATTAGCTTCAGCGTGGCAGCATCCCACACACGCACTGTTGCATCGCCTGCGGGCACGGCCGAACCATATTCGTTAGGATATCATCGTCCTCTAGCCCCCAAAACATGCCACTGAGAGTCCGCCTTCCGCTTGATAGCCACCTCACAATTGCCTTGCGAGGACTACTCCAAAGCAGAAGACTGCCTCCATCCCCAGACCCTGATTAACAGCAGTTTGCGTTCCTTTACCACACTAAGGTCTACCGCTTCCCGTATCCCGCACCGCCATTTCAACCGCGCGGAGTCCTGTCCGGGTTTAATATACGCGTCCTAAGCCCCAACCCTTCCCTGGTGTCCTTGCTCACCACCTCCCGAGCACAGGTACCGCCCGCACAGCGCCAGGCAGTTGACCGGGCCCACGTGCGCGCCACCCTCCGCCGCCGTCACCATCAGCGGCGCCAGGTCCGTGACGCCTTGCTCCTGCTCTTCCAGTGTCGCAATAACACGCGGCGGCAGTAGCGCAGGCGGTCCCAAGAGGCCAGTGACGGACATGCGTGAATGTGCCCTCGAGTTCGAAACGAAGGGCGACGGCGGAGGGGTGGTCACACTGGCGGCCCGGCTGGTCGGTGGAATGCGAGGCCCCGACTGCCGCTGCTCGCCGGCAGGAACGGCAAGAATCCCTCCTTCCAGAACCGCCGCCGCTGCGGCAGCCGCCTGCGCCGCTGCCGCTGCGGCTGCCGCCAACAGCTCATGCTCATCCAGCGTGAATACCTTGACAGTCGTGTCCTGGCAACCCACATACAGCAGCGACAAGCTAGAAGCACCACTACCACGACCTGAGCTGCCGCCGCCAGCGCTGTCCGGCGCCGCAGTGCTCTCTCGGTCACCTGGCACATCCATGCAGTTGTCCAGCAGCACCAGGCCGTCCGGCAATCCAAAGCCGAAATTCCCGCCATCCATCGATGAGTATCGGCAACGAGTCGGTATCGTCATTGTGGACGCCGTTTCGTCGCCCGTCAGTGAGCTGCGGCCGCTGTCAGGAGCGCGGGCCGTTGGGCCCGGGCCGCTGGGCATCACACCGTCGGGTTCCTGGCCCCGCGTTGCTGGCAATGCGCCCGCCGGAGGGCGCGGCGGCAGCTGCACGCCGCACACCTCGAAGCAGCGGATGGTCCCGCATGAGTCGCTTATCTTAATAAGTTGCAGGCAGCGAAAGCCGATTGCGTCCCACACGCGGATCTTGCGCCCGCTAGAGGCCAGCAGCAGCCGGCCATGTGCCCGCAGGCGCATGGCGGTGACCGGCTTGCGCTGGCCAATCATGGTATGCAGGCAGTTATTGTCACGCAGGCTCCATACCTGGCACAGGTGCGCAGGATCAAGCAGCGGACACCAATTGCCAAAGCCCAAACATGCAATCGCCAGGATCCGGCGAGCACAGCAGGTGGTAGGCGCTTGAGGCAGTTTGGAAGCCGCTGATGCGGCGCAAAGGGAAACGCATTGCTGGGGTGTATGGGAGGCGGTTTGCGGTCAAAGGGACGCAGATGACCAGAAGATATTTGAGTAGCAACCCCATGTGAGCACGCAGGTACCCTCCCAGCTCCACCCACCCACCCTGAGGCTGCAGTCCACAGATGAGGTGTAAAGGCGGTTGGTGTGCGAGCAGACTAGCATCGCCATGACGGGGCCTGAATGGCCCACCAGACGCATGAAGTCATGCGCGTCTGCATCGGCCTGGGGAGGTGCCGCCGTCGCCGCATCTGCCAGAGGGCACCGAGGGCACATTCAGGGGACCTCTGATGGCGAGGAGCTTTTGGCGGTTGGATCGCATAATGCAGGGGCTTTGGATGACTTGTATACAGCGTAAATTAATACACGAGACGAGGGTGAGGCCGTCTCTGCGCACATAGGATGAAAACAGGCAACAAGCCAAGGATGCGTGCATGGGGCAGTAGAACGCCACATGTGGCAGATTGGCCAGTGAATCGTTATATGCCCCGGCCAACGGGTGTCAAGGCCACCAAGGGGCCAGAGCCTAGTTGTCAAGGTCCTGTACCCCACGGAATACCGAAGAATGCCTATTTTGCAAGCGACAAGAACATGACTTACTCCAAGTGTCTTACCCCGGTACTCACCCAGTCCCAGGGAGCCAGCACGGGACGCCGCCGGCATTGCCACAGTGGCCGGCGCCTCCAGCTGCAACGGCTGCCCGCCCAGGCTCTGGCGGTTGAAAGCTGCCAGGGCAGAAGAGGTTACCGGGGGGGAATTGAGTGGCAATTGTAAAGCCAGAAAGGCAAGGAAGCTAGGCGCAAAAACGCCAAGGTTCATCATGCGCCGACGACGGTGCTGTCTTCGTCCGCAGAGTCGCAGATCGTCGCCGCGTGTCGTACCAACCTTAGCTTCCCGCGCGCTGACCACCACAACACCACAACGCATATGCAGATGCTCCAAAACAGCTGTGTTTCCACGCCTCGCGGCAGCCCCACTGCGGATTTCCTTTCCAAAGGACAGGCCGTGGCGGCCGAAGTCTCTAACTATGAGATCGCCCTGAACTCTCGGTGGCCCTGAACTCCTGAACCGAGATCCTCTTAACTCCCTTTCCCAAACCTACTGCGCACGTACTCGGGATCGGGCCCGCTATAGACGGCGGTTCTTGTAGCATGTCGAGAGGTGGCTGCATGGCCATAGAACTCATGCCGCCTGTAAGACCATTGGGTCGATGCGCCAGGAACGCCCTGCTCTTTGCCGTGATGCCGCGGCTGAGCGCCTCAAGGCACAGACGAACGTCGCGCTGCGGGTCGATGAAGGGCGGCGCCGGGCCGGAAGCAGCAGAGCCGGTGCCGGAGGACAGCGCCGGCGGCTGTGCACTGACAGGAAAAGCTCCCGCGCCACGCACGGCACCGGCAGGAGATGGAAGGCTGGAGGGCAATGGTGACTGCGGCGGCTGGCCCCGTAGGGGGCACCGCATGATATTCAGGAATCCACCCTTCTCACGCGTCACCACCAGCGCGGTATTCTTGGGCACCGCCACCCAGTCCGAAGCGGAAGCTGCAGGGAAAGATACACCTTTATCAGTCTTGAGCTCTATTTTGTGAGATTGCTGCCTGAGGCTGACTCCCTGTCGGGAACCCATACCCATCGCATGACGGTGTAATCGCAACCTCAAATGTAAGCCCCGCTTCGCCAGCCGTGCTCCTCAATACCGCACGCGGGTGTATTTCGGCATTGCCAGCAAAGCATCATACCAGACATACCAGCAGAGAAACCCATGATGCCACAGCTTCGCCCTACCTGTGATCGGCTCCGACGCAACGAAAACCACTGCCGGTCCCTGCACGCTGACGCCCAGCTCGTAGCTGGACTCCTGCGTGATGCTGCTCCCGGAATTGGCACTACCGGAACACGGTGCGTAACCAGGCCCAGCGGCGCCGCTGGCCGCGGCGGTGCCAGCAGGCTGCACCGGCCCAGCGCAGCCGCCAGCGGCAGCCACAACAGCCGCTGGCGTTGTTGGTTGCGCACCTGTGCGAGCAAAGCCGGCGCCCTCCGCATAGTACAAGGATGCGGGCCCATCCGATTCGGGTGATACGAAGCGCGTGGCGATCAGAGTAGCACCGTCGCTGACCACGTAGTTGAGAAGCGAAGTGGCAGTGATGCCGTGGCGGCGCTGCACGGCACTAATGGTTGAGATGGTATCCTGCGTCCCCAAACGAGGCAAGACAAGGACGCAGAGTAGTCTCCGCACAGGCCAGGCGAGAGCGTGGTGGCTTGGCAAGGGAGAGGTGGTGGCCGTGTCGCACGGGCTGGGTAGCTTCGGCCGCGGCTGATAAGCCGTGATAAGCCCAACGCGTTATCCGGTTCGCAGCTGTTGAGGTGGCCCCGTGCCCGCTGTCTGTGATGAACATTGTGCACTTGCATTTGCGAAGAGGCAAGTAACGCATCATTGCAGACGCGCTGCATGCACCGCTCCAGGGTTCCAGGAGCCAAAGTCGCATCTCTAGCATATGACAGGATCCTCGCATCCAGGCACAACCAGCATGCACAGACCTTCCCACACGACGCACCTCCATCGCCTTAATCAGCACCTCCGGCGCCAGCTGTGCGCGCATGTCAGGCAAGTGGTTGAGGAACACCGCAAAGCTGACCGCTGAGTCGGAATGGAAGGACGCCACCGCGTTGTACGCGCAGTCCGAGAGCGTCTCGAGCAGGGCGCGGCGAATCTGGGGACCCACATCAAGAAAGCCACACGAAGGACATAGTCACACTAACCCAGTGCTAGCGATGTGGGTCGCAAGCCGTAAGTCATCAAAAGCGCAAAAGAGAGAGAAACATGCAAGGGGTGCACACTTGCGACCTGAAGCTGCTGGGTACTCCCCTTCCCAGGCAAGACAACGCGTAACTGAAGGTCAACGACCTCTTAGGCCCTTGTGTTGTAGAGCTAAGCTTGTGGCGGTCAGGCCTCTGAGTGAATTGGTTTCGGTGCCATGCCGTGCAAATTGCACGGGATCTCTAGTCTCCTGCCTTATTAGTCTTTGCGTCTTATCTCTCAATCAAAAGGTTGCATGCAATACGTGCTCAAGCAACAGCATTGTTACCCTCACGACACCTTACCTGCAACATCCCCAGTAGCAAGCATGGTAACTTGGGTATTAAGTGAGGGTACGCCTTGCTACGGCCAACCACACCGAGTAATCTTTGGCAAAACACGAGAGCCCTTCCGATAGCATGTTCCCTGTGTCTTACCCTGCCCGTGCCTTACCTGCGCGAAGCCCGCCACAACGCCATTGTGCATCCACATGTACCGGCTGAACTGGAAGGGGTGGCAGTTCTGCTCGCTGCAGCCAGTGAAAAAAGTGCGTGACGGGCAGGGCGCCACTAAAGTAATAAATTACTGCTGCAGAAGTACTAAAAATGCCTTTAGCACTCGGCAACCGGCACTTAGAGTTCGGTCAAACTTCGAATATCCGTAACGCAACCCTTCCAGCTGCTAACTGGATTCCATCGAGCCATCGCAGCGCTGTCTTCCTTTCGCCTTTCCCCCGAGCTGGAAGTGGCGTGCGCACCTGACGGGCATGCCTGGATATGCGGCCCGCACGTGCGCAAACACGAGCGGTGACACAATCTTGCAGGCCAGGCGGCTCAGGTTTTCATTGTTCCTGCATGCAGTGTCGAGATGTTGAGTGCTGACTTAAGGTAGAATCTGTCAGCTAAGCGGGTCCCAGAACTTTCATGCATCAAGGCCTCACCAGGCCGGGGTGATGCTTGTAAAAACGCATGGAGTGGGGTCGCGCTCCCGACGCTCATCGGTGCTGAACCAGCCGATTCCAAAGCCGTCACCATTGAGGTTGCCATGGCCTGGGGGTAAGCGGGTGAGGCGCGAGGCTGTTCGCTCACACAGTCATCGGGAATGCTGCTGCTGCAAGCAACGTTTCGCTAGGAAGAGCCCTCTGGCAATCCAAGCGGCCAGAGCACTTGCAAATGCCAATCACCATGTAATTGCCAAAATACCAGCATGCAGGGAGCCAGGTAAAGTAAGTTCCGCTTACGACTGCATACAGATAGGCTTTTGCACCTATCTGTGCTCCCAGCACCCGAATTTCCTAAGCTCCGCTACGTCGTAATTTGCGACAAAGAAGCTCGTTAATGTTATCTACAAGTCAGCCACCTTGCTCCAAGGCAACTGCACCGTTCGGTCGAAATTCGCCAAATCGTACCTAAATGGAACGGTAGAGTCGGATCAATTTTCCTCTCTCTTGCATCGTAGGACTGAAAAGGAGCACGCAAGAAGTTACTGATGGCTGGCGCTGTTGCCGTTGAGTCGACGAGGTGTCGAAGAGAGGCACCCAGTTTTCAGCAATCTTATCCAATTTATCTTTACTTATCATACCTGTTTGATTATGCTCCTATCAGGCCAAAGGACGATGTCGGCCAGCAGCTGCGGACGGCCAATATCACCGCTGTTCACTTTCAATCCCCAATTTGCCCAATAACTGGGGAATAACTATCTGTACATACCTGAGGCTGGCCGACATATGCCATTAGTCGACACATTTTCCTCTATCCTGGTAAACGTCAACGCCTATACCGGCCTACGACTCTTGAATGCATCCTTCCATTTACCATCGGTTACTACAGACAACATCATTCATCTCCAAGCAAACATTGGAGAGAGAAAGCCGGCAAGAATGTAAGTGCCGTACTTATTTCGTTTCTACTGTGAAGGGGTCCCTTGCTGACTTCACTACAACAAAACAATTTGCTTACATGACTATCTACAGACTGTAGAAATGAAATTAGGGGACCGTTAATTACAGGAAAATGGGCTGGGAGCTCGGAGGCTGGGAGGGACTGCCTTTACCTGCCGAGGAGTCCGGAAAGGAGGTTCCCAGCATACTGAAAGCAGAGGAAGAGATAGCAAAATTTACGGTACGTTGGAGCGGCAACTTTTCAGAGAGACTGCTTTAGCAAACATCTTCCGCGCCTGTACAGGTCGATGAACACCTCAGTGACGTTGAGCGTACTGTACTTTACCTTAACGGGGGTCATCTTATCCAGCAACGTCATGCAATCGCGAAGTAAGTCCCGCGGACTGCTCCATACCTCTCCGAGTTACATGCCGATTTGGTTTCCGGCGCCGTGTGCAGCTTGCCAGCCGTCCTAAAAGGGCGGGGACGGCCCGCATTCGACGCCATATCACAACCGCTTAAAGCGGCGCTTAACAGGTTGGATTCGGAGGCGCAGGTGGGCGCGGGGTTGCGGGACATGGCAGCTGGCCTCGGGGTTGCGAGACACCGAAATCCCAACGACATGATGGCACATCCTTACCTTCATCGCAGATTGCCACAGCAGAAGCGTTTGCGACTATAGCCCGCGAGCGGCTGCTGTCGCCGGTGGATCTACAGGTCTGCATCCTACCGACCGTCACTCGGAATATAAACAGGGAAAAGTCTGAAGAGGTATGCACCTGGCATCGCACCGGGTTGGACGCCGTCACGCGTGCCAGTTTGCGCTGTCAATTTACCCATGGGGCCTCCTGCTGGATGCAGGAGACGGACGCATGGCTCAATACCCTTTTCGAACTTATACCCTTGATGGACAAGGAGGTGCTCAAAACCGAGGTGCTATCTCTGGCGCTCTCCAAAGGGGACGTGGAGGGTGTTGTGGGGTCAAAGACCATTTGCGTGCGCATCCTTGGCGCGCTGGCACCGCGCCTGGTGAGTAGGGTATAACATGGGTTTGGCAGCCGGAAACGGCCATGCGTAAACGGTATGCCAGAGCTGCGGACTGTCTTTCAGTTTGCGAGGGTTGCGGTGTCCAACACCCATCCACGCCATCCCAACCCACAACAGACATGGGAGGAGATCGAGCGGACCTTCTTTAAAAAGGCGCTCAGTATGTGCCAGGATGTGGACCATCATATCCGCATCGCATCGTGCGGACAGCTTTCCAGCATTGCGCGGATCGCTGGGCGGGACGTGGTGGCCAAAACTATTCTTCCGGAGCTGTTCGAGCTGCTGAATGACGAGGAGGTCCAGGTAATGATAGTTGGACAGGCGCTTCCCTCTAAAAACTCAGGTTTTTGCTGAGAACATTGTAAACTGGAGCATGATAACGGTGGACGCAATGTTCGGAGTGTGATGTAACAATAATCGTCCCCGTAGGGTATAAGGCTCACAATGGGGGCCTGTCTGCCCGTGCAAATATGTGCATGACCCTCGCGTCTCAAGCAGAGCGCAGTCCAGCGCAGCATCCAAGGCAGGGGCAACCCCTATCTTGGCGCAACGTCGGCCGGAATACGCAATCGTGTTCAGCGGCGCAAAGGCAGACAGGTCAGAATCTTACAGGTCGTTGCGAAAGAGTGAGATGGAGCCTGCTGACGATGGTACCGTGTTTCAGAGCTCCGGGAGCGGCGTTGGGGTGCAGGATGGCTCCGCCAGGTCGTTAACGCCTGATCTTTGAACCCCCTTTCGTTTCCCTTCCTCTTTTCGGGGGCCTCCACGAGCAGTTGACCATTGCATTTGGTCCTCGTTCCGGTTTCCAGGCGCGGGTTGCATCCTTGACAACGTTGACCACGATACTTGACCTGGTGCCAACTGAGGTCCGAAAGGGGCAGGTGATGCCCATCCTGCGAAATCACATGCAGCCGCTGGAGCTGGACATTGCGATGCAGAGGTGCCTGGCGCGAATGTTCGGGCAACTGGTTACTGTGGTAAGTATCACATCTGGGACCTTTCTGTTGGGCTTGGTGGTGGTGGCAGTGGTGTGGGCGCTCGCTCCGGGCAAAAGTCGTCGGCATGATCTTTACCCTTGGTGCTGACGTCAGGGTTCGAAGTGGGACTCGGCACGAGACCTGTTCAGTATGACACGCAGCTGAGACTAAGCTGCGGTTTTGACGTAGCCATGGTCCGCCCATGGGATGAAAGGAAGGGGGGAGAGGGGACGTGAAGGCGCGCAGACGGGAATCAAAGGCGAATGGCTTTAGGAAGCGAGAGACGGGTTAGCGTGGGGGTCTGCAGGACAGGCACGCGGATGCCGACCCGGCCAGATGGCTGGTGCACTTGTCGCAGCGGCCAGGGCGCATCCGTAGGGGTCCCCCCTTTTTGTTTTCGCGAGCCTGTTTCCGAGGCCTTGAGCGGGCCTGGCTCCGTGGCCTATGAAGCGGGTCAGCAATGGTCTGGAGTGAAATCGTCTGTTGCTGGATCTAAGCACGTTGCTTGCCATACCAGCAGAGGCGATAGAACGCCGCCGCCGCCGCCGCCTCGACGGCATTAACGACTGCTCAGGTGTGGATATTGCATCAAAACATCACCAACAGCGCCGGATGAAAGGAGGCCGAACGAACACGCGCGCACCCTGACGAAATGCATCCCCTATGCACAGGTTTGACAGAACATTGGAGTAGGTTTTTGGAGTAGGATTGGAGTAGGACCTTCCCGTCCGTGTCGACCTTCATGACACGCTGGCTTGCCTGCACACAACTTATAATCCATGCTTCATGGCTTCCAGCCACCACCATGACCTCCGCACACGCAACCCACTGCCAGATCAAGGCGGACTTTGAGCACGACGACTCGGTATTGTTCTTCTCTTGCTTCAAGCACCTCGCAACCAAATCCGACGTGGAGCTGCGGCGACTGTGTGCGGGGCAGCTGCCGGCGGTGCTGCGCGCCGCGACTGCGCTTTCCACCACGGCCTTTGCACAGCAATTTCAGGACACACTCATCAGCCTGGCCACTGACCCGGATGTGGATGTCCGCAAAACCGTTGCGGCGCAGCTGCACGAGGTGGCGCGGGTAGTGGGAAAGGACTGCCCGGCGCAGCTCACGCGTCCGCTGTGCCGGCTACTGCGTGACGAGGTGTCGGCGGTGCCGGCGGCGCTGCTGCCGACGTTGCCGCAATGCCTGGGGCATTGGCTGATTCGCGACGACACCCGCCGTGATACCGCTATAGGCGAGCTTGCAAAGGCGCTACTGGAGCTGGAGGCGTCGATGAGGCGAAACTGGCGCATGCAGCAGCAGCTGGCAACGGCATTTCCCATCTTTCCGCAGGCACGTGTGTGGGGCTGGCGGTGGTTGGAAGGAGGGCTGGAAGGGCCCCGGGCGGGATTGTGTGGGGTCGGGTTGGAGTGGGGGAGAGCGTACCGGCATAGGGGCGCCCGAAGGGTGTCTGGGCCCGATGACGGGCGGGGCTCGCGTTGGATGAGCAATCGTGGAACACTTGGCGGCGCGCGAAACTGATAAGGCGACGTGTAGGGGAGTTGCGTTGCTTGGGATGTGGGCTGGCAGGTGCAAGGTGTGGTGAGGCACAACAACCGGGAGCAGACCTCCCGACCGTCAGGTCAATGATGGTGCCGCTAGCATGCGCAGTGGGCGCAGGCGGAGTGGGCACCCGAATGCAGCAATAAATACTTGACCTTTAACCCAGGTTGGGGCTTTACCTGGAGCGAACGGCGTGGGCGGACAGTAGCGGCAGCGGCGACCGGGTGCTTGACCGGGTGCTTGTCGACTGAAGGACGGGCCTGCTGCTCTGCGGACGGCAGCCGCAGCGGCGCCATTAGGAGTGCCCTTTATGCCTCATGGGTCACAGGGCCCACATTAATCGTGCGGGAGGGAACGGACGCTCGCTTCCGCTGCATTCCCTGCTACGAGCGCTACTAGCACTATAGTAGTAATACTGGGCCGGGTCACTGCGCCTCTCTGCCCTGACTTAAAAGAATGTTTTACCCCTTCTCCCCGCCCTATAAGCGTCTCTCTTTATTTCCTGAACGACCCGATTCGGTATTCTGCAGGTATTCTCTAGTGACCAGATCTACGAACAGTTCTTGCCTATCACGTTCCGGTACCTCACAGAGACGGCCGCCGCGGTGCGGCCGGTGGCGGCGGAGGGGCTCGTGTGCTTCTTGCGCTACAACAGGTGCGCGCCAACCGGGGTGCAGCGGGAGATGCGGGAAACACATGGACTTCCATATCCATCGGCTGCGGGTCCTCCTCCCCCGTGCTTGCGAGCGCGTGCGAGCTGCACCTTAACCACGGTTTGAGCAGGAGCTCAGAGTGAGCGCTTGAGTTGCTGTATGGGCTGCCAGAGGTGAAAGCTCATGAGCGGGCCCAACCTTATGGACGGAGCAACGGTGAACCTTTCAGCTTGGGTAGAATTGCCCTTGCATGTGGGTGGCCAAGGGCAGCTCAGGTCTGTAATGCCGCAGCCGGCTGTAATGCATTCCCGGCACTTTGGCGCGTTCCTTAATCCTAGAATTTGGCACACCCATGGCCCCACGTTAGAATGAGCGGAAGAAGGCGCTCAGCATTTGTACATAGACGGCGGCTCCCCGGCAGCACACCCAGATCTGCCTGGCAAACAAACGATACAACACGCGTGACCCCATCCTCCGCGGGGTCGCTGGCTACTGTCACGATGCAAGGGTGTGTTTTCCTCACTGGGCTTCGCATGCGGCCGCTCATCCAATGCAGGCGGGAAAAGCAGCGGGCGGATATTATGCTCCGCATCGTCCGTGAGTTCTGCCGGGGGCGATCTTTCGTGGCACGCATAACATTCGTGGATATTGCGGCAGCGCTATTGCGGCGATTCTCCTCACGGTTTATAAAGGAGTATATCTTTGACCTGGTCCTGGAGCTGTTGTACGATCCAGTGCCTAACGTACGACTGTCGGTGACTTCGCTGCTGCCAGCTCTCAAGTCGTGCATCAAGCTCCCCGAGGATGTAGACCTGCTGGAGCGGCTCAACAGCGGCATGTCCAACATCATGACGGACAATGACCGGGACGTTTCGCAGGTGGGTGGCCTGCTGGGGTTGCGGTCGCCACCATACATAGGTACGGGTTAATGGAGGCCCATGCCTTGGGTGCTTGGCATTTAAGTAACTCAGCTTTCCTCTACATGGCGCTCGTGCTGGGCCATGCTGGCCGGGGCTCCGTGAGACATGCGCTGATGGCCGAACACGTCCCATTTTGTTATAGCAAGACTTATCATAACATCCAGCTCCGCCCCACGACACGCTACCGATAGGGCTAGGATGTCTACCCTGGTTCCTTTAGCCCTCGTGTCAGATCCCCTCGCTCCTCTCCTATCTTCATGTAAACCACGTGTTTCCCCGCCCCTCCTCATGTAGAACGCGCGCTCCACGAATGAGCAGTTCAAAAAGACGCCGATGCGGATGGGCGGGGCGGGCGGTGGAATGCTGGACATGAACGGCAACATGGGCTCACTGTCCGCTCCCGGCATCGGGTTCGGGCTGGGCTCCCCCTCGCCTAGCATAGAGAACGAAGACCGGCGGAAGGAGGACGAGGAGTCGGACTTCACCTTCTCACAGGATGACACCAAGGAGTAAGCCTAGGGCGGTGGGGAGTGTTGGTGGGGCCCTGTACCGGGTAGGGCGCATAGGGGTGCCAGAGCGGTCCTGGCACGCAGGCGCCGGAACCGGGATCTAGTAGGGGCTATTGCTGGGAAGACATATTCATGCCGGTGTGTGTGTGTGTGTGTGTGTGTGTGTGTGTTAACGGTTCGATGTGGTGGGGTCTCTGGAGGAGCCCTATCTGGAAGCGTGCGCGCCTCCTTGCTCCAGGACTGTTGGTCGCTACAGAGGAGTGGCTGACGGTAACCCTTGAGCCGGCCAGGCAAGGACTGTTGTGCCAGCCCGACTTTGCCAGCCGGAGCACAGTCCTCCGCTGGTCCTTGCCTTTGCCCACAAACCCGCTATTGCTGCACCGCCCACCATGCTGGACGGGTAAGCCTAGCTGTGTTGCTACGGTCAGGGTCTCATATTCTCCCTCCTGACGCTCATCCCCTGTACCCAGCCCCCTCCATGGAGGCTTCCCTGCCTTGGCCCCAATTGAGATTGTCATTGCTTCTCCCTTGAACCCTCGCGCTGCCCATGGACAAACGCGCAGTATTAAGGGGGAAATCTTACAAGTAGGGCCCATGAAGGGCAAAGGTGCCCTCTCCCCATTGGCCGGCAAGAACTCGGTTCAGCGGCGGCCGGGGAGTTTGACGCCAGTGGGCGGCTACGAACGCAACTCAGGCATCGCCAGTCGGCAGCAGGGCTATCCGCGACGGCCGGGCGCCACCAACAGCGAGGACGGCAGCGGCCGAACCCCACCAGCCGTTAATGCACTGGGGGCGGTGCGTGCGCCTGCAGCTGGGACGGGTGTGTCGGGGCCCGGTACCCGCATCACCCCCGCAGCAGGTGCGGGTGGGCCGGGCGGTAAGGGCTTCGGCATGGGCGGCGGTCCGCCCACTTTATCCAGCGCTGTCAAGTCTGCGCCAGCCATGGCGCGCATATCCGCCATGCCTGCAACGCTCGCCAAGCCCAACTCCCCGCTACTCAGCGGCAACACCTCACCGCCGGGATCCAGCGGTTCCGGCACCTCGGGAAACAACGGCCTGCGCCTGCCTGCCATCACGACACGATCGTCACCTTCAGCATCGCCCACCACTGGCATGGTGAAGCCGGGTAGCGGTGGTGGGCCGGGGAGTGCCGGACGGCTGGGGGTACCGGGAGCGGGTATGGCGTCGCCTGCCAAGACCCCATTGACCACATCACCGGGTGTTGCACGGAAACCGACGAGATGACTCCCAACAGTTGCGCCAGTCGTGGTCAGCGTCCTGGCGCAGGGGACCAGCCGTTCGGGGCTGTGAGATGTACGGCTGCCGGCTGGTGGGCATGTGAATGCGTGTGCATATGTGTGTGTTGGGGGTCTGGGTAGTTGGGCTAAGCTCTATTCACCTAGCTTGAGGTAGGCAAGGCGGAGGCTGGGGCGAGAGCTGTGAGCTGGAGGGTATCATCTGGATTGTGGGTTTAGGCGACACGAGGACGCCGGAGGACGGAATAGCAGGGTGCCACGGCCCGGGCCAGGACCTGTGTAGGATGAAATAACTGGGGGCTTATGTTTGGTTGTTTGTGGACAGATGTGAATGGATCTGCATGCGACTCGCATCCGTCTCGCCGGCTGGACGCATACGCGGCCCGCGCCAGCACCATCGGCCGTACCTTCACGTGTTCATCATCATGATCCGATGCCCGCCCCTATGTGTGGTCCGGGGCGACGGCCTGAGCGTCCAGGGGATTGCGTTGGGCCGCGGTCCTAGTGTGAGTTTTGTCCGCATGTTCGTTGTGTTGGGATTTTGGCCCTCTCCTGAGGGGCAGTTCTGCGAGCTGATGATGACTGTGATGTTGACCATGACGCATATGTGATGAGGAGCTTGACCTCAAGGACTTGACACCATCATTATGTGGCCGATCAAGAGATCAATACGGCGTTTACGGGGGTAAAAGAGAACTGAACACTGGTGGCAGTGCATGCGGTGCGCCTGTCGGAGGCAAGAGTCCGGGTGGCTCTTTTCCGGGCTTCAAGGGCCAGGTTGAAGGCGATGCTTTGCAAGTGTTATCTGCACAAGGGTTGAAAGGTAACCCCACGCGACGCGTGCTGATGGCCGTCTTCTTGGGATGCTGCTGGCATGTGTGGGTGGTGGTTATTCCTAGAGTCTTTCTTTCGCCACATCATGTGGTTCTTGGGGTTCAGAAAGGGTATTGAGCAGGCGTGAGATTTCCTTGCGCCTACACCGGGTTAGGTTGCGGCGGTTGGATGTGCCAGCCAGATGCATGTGCGGTACGGCAAGTTTCTTTCACTTCTTGGGCCTGTTAGGACCTACACAATTGGGGGTTAGCTGCCTGTCCGGCGAGCAATTTCGGCTGCGACGCAATGACATGGTTGGGACTATGAGATAGGTTGTGACAAACAATATACAAACTGAAAACGGAAATTCTTATTCGCATTTCCAGCTTTAGGTTGACCATCCTGTGTCCAAACACAGTTCATCCGAGAATCAGATAGACCATGCACTTGGCGGCTGCGACTCGTCCTTGCTTACACCATGGCTTACTTGCTAGAGATTATCCAGCATGCATATCAAGGAGCACAACAAACAACAACCCGTTGCAACGTATAGCGGCAGTTGATGGCCCCGATAGTCCTCCTCGAAGGACAAACCGACAACCCACAGAAAATCAGCTTCTTCGGGATGCTAAAGGAAAAGATAATCCTCTTCGTCGGGGGCGGCACGCTGGTGGGCGCGGAGGTGGACGTGCATTGGAGCGCGTGAACGTATCTAGTAAGTTGATCAGTCGCAATATATTACCCAAACAAAAGCCCGAATTATTAGTTCTCGTTAGACGCAGGTGTCACAAAGCGGCTCATTATACCACCGGACAACTCCCAACTTCCCAGGCTAGATGCATTAATCATCGTTGAAGGCTTCAACGACTGCATTGCCGTTCATCGGTCGGTTCGATCGCCGGTGAGAATTCATCTATCAGTCTTTGATTTGTGCTTGGTCGTCGGTGCCTGTCAAGGGTACTGCGGGTTTTGCGCTCTTGAAGCTTGCGGTGTCGCGCCTATGCGCTCATCGTAAATGCCATGATGCAGGTGTACGTGCTGAGCGGTGGCTATGCTTTGGCCGAGGAGATGAAGCCGGAGCTACGTTATGTTGCAGGGCTAGCTGCCTCTGGACAGCTCCCCAGCCAAGTGGTCGTCTTCACGGATCCTGACTGGCAGGGGCGCATGTTCCGCACGTACTTAGATGATATCTTTCGGCAACCAGCTTTGCCCGCAGCGGATCAATCACTGGTTGCCGCTGCCCCACTCAAGGGTATGAAGCCGGGGAAAGGGTTAATAGTACGACACGCATTCCTGCGAGTGGAGCAGGGGACAAGCGAGGTCGCCAGCAGGTGGGTGATTCATATAAAGTGATGGTAGTATATATCAATTTACTTCAGAGGATTAAGTCGCAAGCGCTAGTACCTGATCCCCAAAAGGCCATTTCGTTTTGAAATGTGGCCATGCCGCCACCCTCGGCGCACATCCCAGGCGGCCGTCCCCATAAGAAGCGCTTCTACTTTAATAGCCGTCCCGGAGTTGCACCGCCTATTGCTCCTTGCTTCAATACAACGCTGACCGCTCGTGCTGTAATTGTTGCACGGAGCGTTCAGTCAAAATCAAGCCCAAATCGATGAGGCCTCCTAGGACCAGCTAGGCCTACTCTGCGCAGAGCTGCGCTCGGATTCCCAGCTCGCCAGCCCGCGCCCCGCATATCCCACCTTGTTTCGTGCATGCCCTACTTGGGCAACCAGCCTGTTTGGTTGCGTGTGGTTTCGTGCCCATTTTCCCGCGGTGTGCCAGGTACCACGATGCCGGGAACGTGGGTGTGGAACACGCCTCCCCGGAAGTCATCCGCACCAGCCTCGTGCGTGCGCGGCCCGGCTTTTTGCCTGGACGCACGGAGTTCAGTGTGGAGCAGCTCAGGGCAGATGGGCTCATCGGCAGTTGGGATGACAAGCAACAGGTGATGTCATGCTCTGTGGGAGTCATTGCTGCAGGTCCCGCAGGTGGTTACACGCTGCCAACTAGGCAAGGGGATTTGGCCATCTCTTCATTGTACTGATGTGCGTAGCTAAGCTGGGAAAAAGGCGCTACGAACCAAATTATGAGAAGTAGATGGTTGAAGTGTCCGGCAAACCGGCCGTGGTGGCGTGCATGTTATGGCGGTGCTTGACCCTCCCTCCGCGAGGCGCCGCCACAGCGTGGTTGTGTAGTGATCAGTACCTGCGAAGCACCTGAAAGCACCTTTGGTACCTTCCTAGCTTCCCTGGCATCACAAACACTCTGCACTTTGCTCGAGGACGGCAAGGCCATTTGTGACCCTACCTAGAGACATGACATGCTTCGGAGAGGGGTAGTTCGCCCAGGGATTGGGAATTTCGTGCTTGGGCAGGGAACGGAACTCGTGGCCTTGCGTCCTATTAACGCCGAACTTCATTTCGTCAGTTGCATCCTGGATGACCTCGTGTAAATCTGGCTCTCATCCTCTTGTCCTGATTCAGGTGGCGGGGCCTCAGCTGCGGCGGGGGCGCTTCTGCCGTGCATTGGGCATTGATGAGGTGGGCACCGGTAAGGGGCTGGTTAACCTGCTGAATCGCTTTTTCACAAGGGAGGAGTACGAGGCGGCCTTGAAGGTCGCCGTGAGCGAGGACCCCTAGCCAAATGTAGGATACTGGTCGATTGCGGCGCTGCAGCAATGTGCTCTTAAATCCATGAGGTTTGGGGCGTGGCAGCAGCAGACTTGTGCTGCTTACTGACGAATCTCATTGCGGCAATCGTTACGGTCTTCCGTGTCTATGCCACACGTGTGGGCCTGTTAATCACAATTACGCGACGAGAGGTGATGCAAGCTGCATTGCTGCGGCACTCTGTATTGGCGTAGATAGCCAGACGGTCTAGCACAAAGAAAATAGTGTCGCGACCAACCGGGTGTGAAGCTCTGGCAGGGTTGCGTAGCTGGTGGTGTAGCCGCTGGAGTTCGCACAGGTGGTCCGTTTTGATCGGGTATCACCCTAGGTAGTGGGGTAGGTGCGCTCGGATGCGCTACGGCCGGTGATAGGATCAAGGCGCGGTAGGAGGCGTCATAACTGGATCATCATCAGGGTCGGCGGATGGCAACAACGAGCCGCCGCTTCTTAGTCATGGGCTCATGCCATGAAGGGGGAGCGGCCACTGTTTGTGGCAGCTGAACGGATTGATACCTGGTCCTGCTAATTGAGTAGTCTGATAATATGGGTCAGCTGCTTGAAACGATTTGACGAAGATGAGGGAAGCTCGTGATCTCCCGGGTCCTTTAAGGAGATGCAATTCGTGTGGATGCACTCATGGAGTTTCACGAGTTTCATCCTGACGTTTTAATGGACGGAGAAATGGTTGCCAGGATGGGTTTTGGGGAGCAGATTGAGAAAGCCACGGAAAGCCACGGCTTGCAAAACTGTGTTATGTGCACCGTCGCAATTGATTTGAAGGAGCCTCGCGCCAACGCCCATACGTTTTAGCTGTGTACCCTGCGGCATGCTAGTGGCTTCCAGCAGGCCCTCTTAGGAAGGTTTTGTAAGTCACATGTCACCAGTTCCCCAGTTTTCCCGTCGTCACATACCCGTATATGCCCGCCGGAACCCCGCCAGCTGCCTTTGGAAAAGCGTGCGGGGCGAATCCAGAACTCGTGTTATACCTTGTGCCTAAAACGAAGATGGGCAGAGCAACCTGGTTTGGGAAGGGACACAAGAGGCAACAGGCAAAACGGAAACTCCGCTACGGTGTTGTAGCGTTCTAGATATCCTGAGAGAACATTATAGGAGATACTCCGGACGTATCTACTTCAATACGCAGCAGGCCTGTTTGCTTTCCAAGGTAACACGGCGACGGTACGGGAAACTCCTATGTCTTCCGACTGCGCTCCCAACTGAACAGATCTTGAGCTACCTTGTTGGCCGATATCCTAGACCAGCAATAATCAATTAGGTGGTGACGCGTTTGAGCTGCAACGTGACGCAGCCTTGCAAGCAACTAAATTCCTGAAAGCTTTTCTGGTTTTCATTCCTGGAAGCGCACAACAACCAACTTATGGAAAGCTTTAACATAGAGTGTTGAGCGCTGCCGGCAAATACAGCTGTGCGGCAGCTGTTGTGGAGCGGAAGCCATGTTCAACTCCCAAACTGGCTTCGTTAGCAACTTTGTTGAGCAGGATGGCTGTGCACGAACTGTTATCGTGCTGCTCTTGTTGACAACAGTCGGGTGCATCAGCTACACTTGGGGGTATTATGAGGTGAGCCTTCTGTAGACTGCTCGGGTTCTAATGTTCAATTTTATTTTGTGGGTGTGGATTAATGATGAAATGCGCAATGCTCTTGGCAGGGAATTGCTAATGCCCAGAGCAACCTCATGCTGGATAAGCTGCACGAGCTGCAGCTACTGCAGATGTCTATGGCTAACAATGGCACGGAACGTAAACACACTGGGGGCCACGGCATGCGTTTGGCGGAAGTTCAGCCTGCAAGGCAAGAAGAAAAGGGCGACGCTCGACACCAGCCAGCAGCAGAAGAAGCCAACAACGCAGCAACAAAGGCGGCTGCGGCTCTTGAGGAGGCAGCAACGGGAAAACATGGGGGTAAGCCTTCGGATCATGCGGCGGGGCAGCTGAGGGGTTCAGCTGCCAGGGAGCAACGGAACCATCCGTCCTTGGAGCAGCGGAGACCTACGCGGAAGGCACGCTCTGGGCGGCATGAAGAGGAGGAGACATAGCTTCAACGGTGCTGCGGGTTGGGTTTATCGTAGCATGCCTATGGAAGCATGGGATGGTTTTGAGGTCGGTGATCCCTTTTGACATGACGAAATAGGTTACACGAGATGGAATGGCGTCGTGCATTGGGCGATTGTAGCCTGCGCGGCTGGCAGGGCTCCGCCACTATGTGCGTGATAGTTTGGCTCTAGACACGCCATTCGTAGCAAGGACGGAGCGTGTCTTGTGTAGGTTAATAGTTGTTCTTGTATATGCAGGATGTATGCCGCCCAGCACGCTGTCACCTCGAAATATCTCTTTGATCTGCCGTGAAACAAGTTTCGAACTGGTATTGTTATACAGTGCATGTAATGCACGTCTAGGTCCGGCCTTCCGTACATGCGGATGCTGGTCGCATAGCTAGCCCATTTGTAACCTTAAAAGTACAACAACCGCAACACTTTGTTACACGTTCATGATGTCCTTATGAAGCAAACGGAGATCGTCCCGTCGCACCATCCTTTCCAACACTATCCGAAGCGAATTTGACCGTGTCCCGCAATACTGGCGTGTGGCAGCTTCGAATCCACATCCAGAGTCGCCATTAGCTCCTCCAGCAGCGTCTTGGGCCGCCCGCCAACTGTGGCCCCTGGCCCATTCATGGCAGGGGCCCCAGTTCGACCGCCCGTTCGGCCCAGCACCTCCTCCAGGCCCACCACTCGACTTAACCCAACCTCCTCAGCACCGTCAACACCACCACGAGCGTGAGGCGCTGACCCGGCTCGTACCATTGGTCGCTTCCGTGGCCCTGCTGAGCCAGATGATGGCGATGCCCCTGATGACCCCATCACTCGCGCCAGTGTTTGCCCCGATTGCAGTTCCAGTTCCTGCCTCTGCGCGGCCACCTGCCGTGTGGCCTCCCGCTGCTGCTGCCGTCGTTCGGCCTGGTAGTGAAGGTGCAGCGCCTCCAGGTGTTGCTCACGCACCACGCGGGCTGCCAGCATTTCCGCTGCACGCTGCTCAAAGATAGGGTCAACCCGCGTGTGATATAGCCCTGCAACGACCCAGGGGTCATGCGCGCGCTGGCGCAGTTTGCCGGTCTCACTAAGCGTTAGCCCCACGCGACCCACCCAGTCGCAGCTGAATTGCTGCAAGTGCAGCGGCTTGTTCTGGTCAGTTGGCATGGTGCTGGGCTCAGCATGTACCAGCATCATCTCCAGGTTGTCGGTCCCTTGCGTGGGAGTGCGACCCTGAGCTATGCTGACGGCCCGGGAAATAAGTCGATCCCGGCCGCATGAGGTCCCCACCGCACCGGCGCTGTGGCTGATCCGCATACTGGGCGCGTGGCTCAGAGTCTGAGGGGAGGAAGAGGGAGTGTACAGGCGGGCGTTTGAAGCCACGCAGCGGGTCGCAAACTGCCAAGTATGTCATTCAAGTCGCATTGGACTTCATAGGAGAGATGGGCTTCAGGCAAGTGCTTTTGAGGTCATAGGCTTGCGATTATGGATCTCCTTAATATTATGGACCCAAGATAATGCACACCTCATCGTACTGTTGGCGCTCTTCCGTTCCAATCGTGTATGGGACAGCCGCCGGCATCTCCACCTCGGATTCGTCGTCATCACCGCCTAGCCGGCTGCCCGTCGCGGATGCCTGGCGCAACCACATTTGCTTGGCGGCTGTGCGGTAGCTGTCCTTGAAGTCCATCGTCGGCACCAGCATCGGCGGCGGCTTGTAGTCGAAGGCCAGCATCGCGCACCGTGCAATGCAATCCGAGAATTCTGTGTGATGGGAGGGCGGAGGAGCAATGGACAGGTTTGTTGCTGTCAGTCAATGGTATAGCAAAGCGTGATGACATGAGCCTCCAAGCACAATGCCCTGTAGTGTTTACTTCCTAAACGCCACTCTCAAATCGCGAAGGCAACTATCGGCATGTCAGATGCGGTACGCGAGGAATATGTCGCCCTATGTTCTCCTTATGTGCCGCTCCACACTCCCACCCCATGGTTTCACCTTGAAAGTTCAGCCGAATCTTGGTGTGTACGTTTGAGTCAATTGGGTCTGCGGCCACTCCGAACTTGGAGCGCTTGAAGGCGTGAATCAGCTGCAGCCGGCTTAGCATGATGGTGGTGATCTCGAAGTCGGATGCGAAACGCAGAAACGCGCTGAGGTTGAGCTCGGTGGGCTGAACAAGGCGGGGCAGTTTGTATCGGTTGTTATTGGATGCGTACACTTCCAGGATTGTGTCAAAATAAGCTACCGGGTATGAAGCCTCACGTTCAAATACCACAAGCCGTCACAGCCCTTAATCATCAGCAGCGGCAGTTCCACAACTACGAATGGAACCTCATGCCGGGGCTCTGAGATCACAACCGCGCCGTGCCCAGCCCGCCCTACTCGACGGCCTAAAGTTCTCTGGCCGGCAACGCGCAAACGAGGCCCTATTCACCCTCTGCACAACACAACCGAATCATACCTGAACTGATTGAAGCGAACCAGACTGTGAGGTGGGGGGCGTTTCATGCGATGAGCTAGACTGCTGCTGCTGTTGTAGGTAGGTGTCCCATAGGACGGTCAGCTTAGGCCGCAACCTCTCCAGGGTCGTCACGATGTCCATGTGCAGGAGCGCCAAATCAATCGGTTCAGGATCCGGCAGTGGCTGATTGAGGCGGGGAAGGATGTACTTCGATACCTGCAGCCAGCGCCGGGGAGCCGTCCAGGTGGTGGGAAGGGATGTCGTGGCGACGGCAAAGGCTTAGCCTGCGACACGGGGCTGCACAGGAGCGGGGGCCAGGTCGCACGCACGCACACCCACCACAGAATCGAACGACTCCTGCACGGTGACTGCCGGACACAGCTTAGTGCCCAGCCCCGTCACCGCCAGCAGGAAGTCAGATAGCGCCAGGCGAGAGGCTGCCCCCGGATCCAAAGAGCCCAGAAGGATCTACACGGGGCCGGGCAGCGGTGGGTTGAAACTCATATGCAAAGGCAAAGTATTAACTATCGTTGTCCAAAGCCGCATACAGGTTAGTGCCTGCGTGGCCGCATAGGAACGGGGGCTCCCTGGGAGCACTGGCGCACTTCTACCTGAAGCGCTCGTTTCACATTTCACAGGGTTTATGCCTAACGCCGGGGCGGGAAACGCATCACAGGCGTCATGCACCGTAACTGCCCGTACCTAATTCAGGAGGACATGCAAAAGCCGCGGCTCAGGTAGAAACCGATCCGGACTGAACTGTAGGCCTCACCCACCTTGTCAAAAAGGCCCGAAAGCCCCAGCGCATCGATTTCATCGTTGCACATGCCCATATCACGCACGAAGCGAATGAACTGTGCGCGGCTGATAAACATAAAGTTCTGCTTGTCGCCCCAGCCACAGTACCGGATGAACACCTCGCGCAGTTGTTGCTTCTGTGGGAAACCGGCAAGAGAATGGTAATAATAAGAAGCTGCGTTTCTTAGTGGAGTGTGAGGGGGGCTGGACAGACATCTGTCAGCGCAGGTGCTAGGGCACCGCGCTCGTACCCTCCAGCTGGTACCCTCCGCCCTGTGTGCAGCGGTGCATTCAACGCTTGACCTGGGCAGGCAGGTTCGCTTCTTTCCCGGTTTGTGGAGGCATAATTATCCCTCTCAGCATCTGTGAAAACTCACGATTTCGGGCTTCATCTCCACCGCCAGGTCTGTGCGCCATGTTCTGCTGCTGGGCAGGATTGGGGGCTTCGGCTTGTTAGTTGCTGCACCGAGAGCAGTGGATAGTTTCGTCTGCAGCACAGCCAGCGCGCAGCAGGCGCATTGATAATCAAGATTAATCAAGCGTACGGCGGAGCGTACGGGTTAACCCTTGTTGCTGAACGACAAACCCGCGACGCACGTACCCAGTCGATAGACTGCGCCCCTCCAAGCTTGATACGCTGACGTTTTTTAACAGTTGTTTCGAGCCTATCGAAGAAATCCTCTAAACACCTGCTCCACCGACCACACAGACGCCAATACGTTGCGTTGAAGCACATGTTAGCGGCCAATGAAAGGTAACATGATGATGCTGATCCATGGCGCACCCCACGCACTTCTTTGCGTTTGCATTTCCCGACGTCGATGGCCGGGCTGTGTCCGTCGTGACGCCTGCGCCTCCTGGAGTAGCCATAAGAGCATATAAATATTTCGGATCTGCTTAAGAGTTTTCATGGATTTTAATATGCTTTGCGTCCATCATTCATTCCATGAATCCTCGAGCAGCAAATGTCATATACTGTAATGAGCGTAAGGCGAAGCGCTGCAGGTATCGGTGGACATCCTATACATGCTAGGTTAATTTTGTGCCACCTAACAAACTTCCCTTCTAAGTCATTGCCGTATCTCAGCTGGTACGGCGTTGAGTCAACCACTTTTGGTAGCATGGCTCAGAGGCTCTATACTGCGTTCCTGCAGACATGTATACATTGTAAATGCGCTTGTAACCGTAAACATTTTTGCAATTTAAGTCAACGATGGCGGACGTTGGCCTAACCGCCCAAGAGCTGGTGCAAGCCTGTAACAAAGTCATAGTGAGACTGCAAAAAATTTAATTGAACTTTCTATAATAGATCTTCTGTGCGCACAAACATGTATAACCATCATTTTCCTTTTGAATGTAGCATCTGATGATATCTTTGACTACACGCAGGTTTATGCTGGATTGATTACACGTGTGGCGAACGTTGAGGAAGTGAGGGTTGTCTGCAGTAGCAGCTCGTTGTTGGTTGCAGCGCTTGAGGGCTTCCTGGGAAGGCGCTTGGAGAACGTGCTGAGGACGCCAGAGACACCGGATGAGAGAGCATACAACCTAGGCATAGTTGTAAGTGCTTTCTTGGAGGTCGGCAGTAGCAAGCTTTTGGCGAAGGCTATTATCGGAAACGTACTTTTAATCCTCTATGGTATGCCCACTTACAGGTGAACGTGTTGTCTCAACTCCTTAGCTGTGATCTCTCTCACATCTCGGGTGAACGCATCGTCGAGGGCTCTATCGAGGACATTGCCAACATGCTAGAACTTCTCGCTGTGGTCTGTCACGGCAAGCCACTGCAAGGTGCGCTTTTGCTCTGCCCCTGGGGTAGGACGGTGATGCTTTGTACGCTGGTCATTAAACAACACAATGCAGGCCCGGCCCCAGCCACAAATTCGCCCTCGCAACGGGACACAGACCGGCAAACCCCAAGCCAACGCTCGCCCACATCCTCGCCACGTTCGCCGGACGATACCGGGATACCGACCCGAGAGAGGCCGGTGAGGACGAACAACCTTGGGACTGGTCCGGCGGACGGCTCACCGCCCGTACACACCGCCAGCAGCAGTGACAACAACGTACAGTCTAGTGATTACGAGACCGATAGCAGCGCCGGACGGCAGAATCCGCGAGCATACACGCAAAAGCAGGACTTGGGTCTTAGCAGCGACGAAGAAGCACGCTACGCATCCCTGCAGCAGCAACAACAGCAGCCCCAGTCAGATCGACAGGAACCGCAGCGGGGTCAAATCGACAACGAGGCGAGGATGCATCCAAATGTATACCCTCAACCACGTGGAGAGCTACACCCAAAAGAAGGCGATCGCGAGCTCAGGCAGGAGAGTCTGGAGCAACCCAGCGACGCCGGAGACTCTCTCCCTCAGGGCGCAGTGCGTGTTCGACCGAAGGGCCCCGGCCGACGCCAGCGTGTCTCAATGCGAAGAACTGTAATCGCCGGGCACGTACCCCTCAGCCCCATTATGGAGGTGTCCAGAGAGGGCTGGGAAAACAGTCGGGTATCAAAGGTGCGGTGCGCGCTTGCGTAGCAACAGTCACACGGATGCAGCCACGCGGGGGGGGGAAGCCACATTCCTGCATTAGCATTGGGACGCGCCGAGCTTTTCGGGGAAGCCCATTTGGGTCATGCGTTGATCCTGTCGCACGTTGTAGGAAAGGCGATTTTGTCCCAGGCCGAGCAGATAAGCAAGGGAGAGCACAGTCGCAAATGCTTGCTCTTGAAACGCATTCCAAGCCTTCCTTACCTTTCCTTGCCATCGGCAGGAGACGCCGCGTGGCCAGGCTTCAGTGGCGGCTGTGGCGAGGTCCTCTAGCAGCAGCTTACGTGCAGCTACAGGCCCGCCGCCGTCGCACATTGCTGGCGCTGGTGTCAAGCAGAGCGCGAGCAATACCAGCAGTGTCATCAGCGTGCCGTCCGTCGCGCAGGACGTCTCACGACGTAGCAGCAGCGGTCCGCGCAGCAGGAGCGATACGCGCAGCAATAGCAGCCCTTGCCAAAACCCCGTGCAACAGAGGCAGCAGCACCAGCAGTTGCCCTTCAGCCCTTCCGCTGCAACCGCGGCCACCTTGTCGCCGCCTCTGGCTCCCTCTTCTCACAGCGAAGGCACATCAACGCTGCTGGAGCGCGCGCTATCTCAGGCGGAGGCGACGCTCCGCAGCCTGGGACGTGAGTACGAGAACTTCTACTACAACGACGATGAAGACGACCTCGCTGACGTGGTCCGGTCAATGCGGCGGCGGCGACGGGCACCCAAGGAACAGCTGCAGCGACAGCCCTGTGCCGCCGACCAAGGCCTAGGCGGCAACGCTGGCCGACGCGGCGCACCGCCTTCCTACGAGCCTGCGCTCCGTGCCCTGCGTGCAGAGGGCCAGTCAGCTCGGATGCGACAGCACCAAGCCTTCCTGAGCCGGGCTAGGCAGGTGCTGGGGGAGGGGACCAGCACGACCACCGCAACCATTAGCACGGGTCTGCCTCCAACCAGCGCGTCGGCTTCCGGATCGGCATTGGGCTTACGGTCATCCTCGCGCGCGTCCAAGCCGTCCCCTATCCGGTCCACAGCGCGTAGATCGGCGGCAGCTGCGCCTACAGGCAGGGCAGCTGCGCGGGAGGACACGAAAATGGACAGGGACAGCAGGGGTACCAGCATTCGAGGATTGAGGGCAGGAAGCGGCAGGGGCCACGAGGCCCTGGTACGGGTCCTGCGTGCGGGCGCGGCCCCGGAGGCTGGTGAGCCGGATATAGGGCGGAAGCTGATGCAGCGTGTGCTGCCCGAGCCGTATGGTCAAGGAGGTCAATATGGCGAGGTGGAGCATTTCGACAAGGAGTCGCTGGAACTCAATCCCCGTCGCCGGCCGGGCTTGCAGCTAAAACCTGACCTCGAGGCAAAGCTAAGACACCTGTATAGGTAAGTTGAAGTCCAATTTCAAGCTCCCTTACGAAATTTGTGGACATCATATGGTAATGTAATGACGTGTGGTGTTTTGCGGCAACGGAGGATTTGCAGATCCCCTTGTATCAATAACTTACAGGCCTGGCTGCTGGTTGGATACCGGACTCGCCGTTTCTCCTTTGCCGCCGTACTATCAATATCAAGTTGCACGCCGACATTACCTTAGTCCATATGCACTCGCGTATGGCATCCCTTACGAGCGAGGGGATATCTAGTGGCTAAGCGGGAGACTGCGCTGTGTGCCGCCCTGGCTTGGATGCACGGAATGCCGTACCCAGGGATCCCCAAAAGAACCGGCGCCTTTGCTATCTCATGCGTGTCCCTTGCCCGCCAGGCTTACGGTTGAGGATCCCAAGCACCGTGCGGCGCGTGTGGCCGTGGAGTCCGTGACGGTGGCTAATGACCTGCTGCGCCAGGCAAAGCGGCGGGCACTGGTGGATCGCCTCAGCAATGCACGGGCGCGACGGGATGCGTCGCTGCGCCTGACAACGGACCGCTTGCGCGAGCAGAGCCGGGTGGGTTGCCGGGTTGCGTTTCCCGCCATCTCCTTTGGGTTCGCATCTACCTAATCCCTATTTCTAGTGCCGAGGGAGGGAGGCGCCCGATAGCTTGCAACACTAGAAACCAGCATCCAGGGCCTGGTGTCCCATGCCAGTTTAGTAAGTCCCTAGCATGGTGTATTGCGTGTGGGAACCTGAGTAACGGGGGGGTACCAGTTCCCTTGCAGGACACGTGTACAGCAGAATTGTGTTTCTTTTAGGATGCCTTTCCGATGAGTTCTTTGCAGCCGCGGCGTTCAGGTGCGTCCTCCGTTGCGCTTGCATCCATGGCGCCAGTTCAGCGGAGCGCACCGCCGCTGCACTGCCGCGTCCTTTGGGGGCTGTGACCTGATGAAGCCCTGTTTGCCCTGCTCGACTTCTGCCTTTGTCCCGGCAAATTCCCATCAGGAGTACAAGAAGCGGGCGGAGCAGCTGCGGCTACAGCGGCTGGCAGCGGAATGGAATGCCACTCAGCGCAGCGCACAGATGCGGCGGGCGCTGCAGGCAGAGCTGACGCTGCGGGACGCGTTCCTAGAGGTGTTGCGGAACGAGAAAGAGACCCTGCTTGCGGAGCGGCAGGAGGCCAAGGCGGATGCGACGGCGGCGTTCCCTATCTACAAGAGGGCTCTCCGGTGCGCAGCGATGCCGACGGATGGTGGCAGTAGCATTTTGTGGTGCATGGCTGTAGCCGGGAGAGGCATGGTGCCACAATGCTCTGCACCTCACAGGCTTCAGACGGCCATGCACGACATGATTCGTTTTCCAGCTCATCTGTATGTTCAGTCACCGTCGAGTTATCAAGCAGTCCTGTCCGATGTGCAGCAGCATCTGCTCTTGCTGTTCTTCCGCCTTCTTCCTTTTCCTTTAGCCCGGCATATCTACTCGCCCCCGTTAACTGATTAGCAGCGCATGACTTGCGGCCAGTCCAACGATAGCGCCATATCCGCCACTGCATCTCGGCGTCCCCCTGGTGCAGTCCCCGACACAATACCACCCATCTTCACCGCACCGCAGTAACACCGAGTGCACCTACCAGGAGATGTTGTCGCTACTTGAGAAGATACTTGCTTCGGAGCGTCAGCAGCGCATCCGCGCGGACCGGGAGGCTGAGCAGGCGCAGCAAGATTTCAACAAACTCGCCTCGACCGTGGTGCATGACCGGATGCAGGAGCTGCTGGCCCGCATTGCGCGCGAGGACGAGGCCGCTGTGCAGCGCCACAGTTTCGCGACGCACCCCAAGGCCAAGCGCGCGCTGACAACCCAGATCCGGCGCCTGTTGGGGCTTTCGTGAAGAATTGAAAGCGGAATCTTGCCAGTTAACACTAATGTACTCGCTCCCCTGCAGGTTTGGGTGTGGCGATTTTCCTTGTGCCGGGCAGGGCCCCGTCTTCGAGTGCGGGTCGAGTGGCAATTATTTGGTGGCCTATGCTCCCGTCCATGACCATGATCCTCTCATTACGACAGCATGCCAGTTACAGAGCTGGTGCAGGGGCATGCCTAGCAGATCCATTCAAAGCATCGGACGGCGAGGCGCCTTTGTTGTGGCGGCCAGGGGCATATCACATGGCCTGCTGGTGCTCCTAACGGAGCGGGTATAGCGCCCGTGCAGAGGCGCTGCATTCATGTGAGCGTGTCCCCTGGATTATGTGTCTCCTGTCGTGCAGCCGTGCCCGTTGCAATGGCTGTTTCATGCCGCGTGTCTTAAATAATGTTCTGTAACATTAGGTAATGGCAGTGTCTCTGGCCGCTGTTAGCAATGTGGCCACCGATTGGGGCTGCTGCACGCAGCAGCGCTCTGCAACTGGAGGATGGCGCTGTTCATCTCTTTCCTTTAAAGGAAGGATCCGTTCATTCATGGACATGACAGCAGTTGACCCCGGGTGGGTGGGCAATGGCTTAAGGTCAATGCAATTTTGATCAGGGTTGATTATCCCCTACTAATTTTGATAGTTTCCGTTTTCAACCCCCGCCACGCGCCCATCTAGAAGCTGTTATTAGCCATGCGCATTGCTACAGATGAATACATGCTGTTACAATGGAACCCTGAATCACGAATTCCCTTGGGCTATTACCCAGACGCGGCCTGAGTGAAAATCCCTGTCATTATCTTTCCCTTCACGTGTACTTGTGCCACGGGTCAACTCACACTTCGCATCACAGCCGGGAGCACATCAGCACAAACTTTCCTCCGTATACCGCGCACCCTCGCGGACAGTTCCTGCATCACCCGTAGTCAACACAAGGATCCCGTTACGCAAGTACGTCATCGCGCGTTGCTCGTCCACGCTGCTCCGTTCCCTAAAAGCTAAAATCTTTTATTGCACCTCTGCTGACCCGAATAAAGCAAATGAAATTCGCATGCGTGCCTAAGCCTCTTCTGACACCTCTCCGTTGCCAGCCCTTCGTCCCTCTTGACACGTAGCACCCGGTGGCTGGCTTCCGGTTGTCCGCTTTATTAACGAGATGGGGAAAGTACGCGCCACGCCCAGTAATCCACTTCAGACATGGCACGGACCCGCAATAACCCCGCATAATGTCAACACTCCTGGACAAGCACGCGTTGAGTGTCTCCCTTGCCAGCAGAACTCCCCACAACATGGATTCACGGCTCACACATTCGCGATTTAGAAGGCTCCCTCATGCGTTAAGTGATGGCAGAACTGCCGCCAACGAAGCTCGCATGGATCGCCAGTTTAAAGTCAGCTCAACAGCTTTAAACCCAGCTCTCACCCCGCACTCAACTCTTCCAACTCCACGCCGCATCATGCATGCGCCTTCCCCCATGAGACAGTGCCACGACAGTGTCACCATTTCAGGGGCAAGCTCAACAGTCCCCTTTTTCGCGAAGCTTTACTTCCTCCGGTGCTTTAATTGCCTCACATCTCATCATCCGAGCCAGCATCCTCAAGGTCCTCGGGTTGCAACTGCTTGCCACGCTCGCCGTCACGCAGGCAGTCCGTCAACGCGGGAAGCACCTTGGCCTCCTTGGCTCCCGTCACCACCGCCACGCACTCACCGCCCCGGTACATGCGGAACGTTGGGGTGGACTTAACCCCCTGGACGGCGAAGGCCAAGGCACGGATAAAGGCAGTTATAGGTTCTTGTGGCGTGCAAGGCAGCGAGCTGGATAAAGGACACGTTTACGAGGCGCGCAATAACACGCTCGCAGTCGCTGGGTTCACGACTTTTATTTCATAAGAGGCATTAATTTAAGCACCCAGCAGTGAGGGCGATGCAAATCGTACGGAAAACGCCATGGAGAGTTGTTGTTAACCGTAAGCGGCGCTGTAGCAACCACTTGGTTTGGGGCCGAACGCCCTCACAGTTCACATACAGCGCCACGAACCACATCTGGTAAACTGCCTTGACTGCCTTGCACAGGGCAGCCCACCCGTCACAAAGGCAATAAGAGACGGCAAGACTTGCTCCCTGTCCCCCCACAGAGCTGTCCGGCGTCCTAAGTCATCAAACTGTCCGCGCACTCTCAGACAGCCCTACAGCGCAACGATAGCTGCCTGACAAACTCACCCACTGCACCATGAGCTTCTTGGTTTCCGCCGAGCTATCCCCGGTAACGTCCAACAGCAAGCTGTCCGGCAGCAGTTCCGCCATCCGTTGATAGGTGGACATGAATGTCTTGCAAGGCTTGCAGTGCGAGGCCTGCGATGTGAGAGGGCCAGCAACAGAGCTGAAGCAGCGACTTCCATGATTATAGCAACTACCACCATGAAGCCAGCTCAAACACCAATGCGGCATGAGAAGTACAAGGCAGGACTTCAGGCACGCCTACGTAAGGGGCCTGCCTAATGGTGCACTTATTTGAGGCATTGCGTCAAGAAAGCGCCCACATATCCAATTGGACCGCATAACCAACTGACCCTACAAAGCCAATAAATGCCTCGACATGAGTATGACACTCTTTCTAGGCGTGTAAAAGCCGCCATTGAAGGTTATCTACCAGGAGCCAAATAATTGTTGCAGCTGTATCGAGCAGGAAATAGCCATCCAAGCGATTTTCAGCGGAACCTTACCCTCAGAAATGGGAAAACGTTCATCTACTGACCCTGACTCCGTGGAAGTTGGTCCCTGAATAATCCACCGCCCCTTGGCTGGAAGACTGGCTAAAGTCGATGCGGGCCTGATCCGAGCTTATTTTACTATCTTCCACAAGCCAGGGTAGAGTCGATTGGATGTAATCCAGAGAGGAGCCTCAAGGTAGACTGCCATGAAATACCACCTTTGAGCACGCAAGTGTATCCCCGCTGTGGAGACCGGCTATCCATGCAGCGATCACACCTTCCCCCCCATCATCAGGCTGACACATACCATCCCACTCCGGGGGCGTGGCTTCCCCTTTGATCCGACTAGCAAATGACAGGTCCGAAGACCCTCGCCCCTAGCCACCTGGAGTATCCAAGGATACCCGCCAAACTCATCCCCCAAATGGATTGTCAATCTGACCCAACCTGATTGCTGGGCCCACTACATATGTGCACACCTTGCACATTATAACGACCAATCGGTCCTTGTGCTCGTTCAGCAGGGCATCCACCTCCTCCGGTGTGTAAACCTGGATGCAACATTTCATCCACATAAGGATGTCCTAATTTAGTGGGATCACCCCCAAATATCCAGTACCCTCGAACCCATCCTCAAGGAGTACTGTAGACAACCAGTGCAACTGCGGCGATGATAAGCAAGCCAAAGGCAACCTTTGCTGTGCGTAGTACACGATATAAGCAAGCGTACAGGCAGCGTTGCGCGACACGTAAACGGTCATATCTTTCCACGACAACGGACATACCCGCCACCACAAGCGCCGCCGAAACGCGCATAGCAATTGCCTAGTGAATACTGACGTTGGATGTAAGCAAGTCGACGCTTACTTCTCCACCGCAATCCGGCACTGTTATAAAAATGCTGAGATGCCGACGCGACTCACCGTGTACACACTGCCTGGAGCCGCTTTTACAGCACGCGGCTTGTTCGCAAGTGGGTCAATAGATGGACGTGGCTCCACAAGTGAGCGAGCGCAGCTCACACGCCTGCCAAGCCTAGGTGCCAAAAAACGTATCCCAGCTGACCGATGCGGCAAATTATGGATGTAGTGCCGTGTAAGCATGATGATATCTTAGGAAGCAACACGATGTCACAGAAAGTAAAAAAAGTGACGTCTTTGTTCAGATGTATTCTTGTTCGCTATCCACGTCTCGCAAAGGTGCAGATGCGGCCTTCGTCCTTTGCAGATCAATCAACACGTTAAATGCAACTACAGCTGGTATGCTTATCCTTAAGAAAGTTGTTTTGGTTTGCTTTATGTCGTACATGTGCATGGCTGTGGCCGGCAAAACAGCTAAGCAGATTGTGAATTACCCCTGCACCACGCAAACGAACAACACGCAGTGAAGTTAAACCTTTGTATTTGATGGGAACTTGCATCCCTGGGCCAAAGCACGCGGATAATCACAGCTACACTCCAGGAACCCAGGGTCACTCTAGCCTTTCCTGGCGAACCCATCCGACCCACACCCGGTGGATTTTCCAGCACGAACTTCATGCATCAAATTGACGCCGATTTAGGGAGGCAAGGGCTTTAAAAAGCGGACATTCTACCGAGTGCCACGCCAAGGAACCTGAACGAGGTGTGCGTGACGATTCATGTCTTTTGCTCCAAACCAGGCACATATATGGATAGTCCGCTGTGTTGTCGTCCAACCGATCCGCTGGTTAGATGCCGGCTTGGGTGCCGGCATTCAACCGGCGCCCAGACCGCTTAAACGTGAGCTTATCGTGAATAGAGGAGGACAACGACACAAGTCTGACAAGATGCTTGGAAGATGAACTTCATCCTCACGAGCTTCCTTCTGCATCCGCAACGTTTGCGAATGGGTCTCATCACATCCTCTGTGTGCATGTGCCGATCACTGGACACCCTTCCCTATTTCCGCAACCCCAGTGCACGTACTTCATTCGCCGCGCATGCCAACGTCCACATTAACCAACGCCTGTATTCCTCATCAGTAGGTAGACCGTGAGTCCACGCAGCTGGCGAATGCCTGCCTCTACGGCACTCGGCTTTATAAGAATTTTCTAGGTCGCGCAGTCTTCTTAGTGTCTATGTTTATCCATCCTAAGAGCTCCTAAGTCGCCAAACCAGGAAGCTATGTGCTCTCATTATGCGATCATCTTATAGTCACATCAAAATCCCGGAAACTCACAGCCCTTTTCTGGAACTGTCAAAGCATTAGGCCTCAAAGCATTAGCTGCGAGGCTTCTCCCACGTTCTCACCGGATACCCTAAACCATATGCATGCTGCAATGACACACTCACAGACCCTCCACAACCACTTTTGCCCTTGGCGCCCCACGGACGGACTGGTCTCCAAGCCTGTCTCCAACCCTCCCATCGACGCCCTCGACCGCTCGCACAATCCTTCTCAAATTGATTGCGTAAAAAACAAGATGTCAAAAAGAACGGAGCTAATTCCGTAGCCTTTACTATGGTCCTTGTAATGATGGTGCATGTGGCGCCGCTTTAGGTCGCGGAGCAGCGGCCCCGGCAACGAGCTTCCTGGCACATGATGCACCATGTAGTGCAAGCAGTCGTACGCGACATAGCCGTAACCCATGCCCGCAAACGTAGCTAGCGCTGTCCCATATGGTAAAGTCAACGCAAGGCTGCAGTACACCGCCGATACGACAACGGCCGCGGGCACTGGCGGGAACACCAGCCGCAGCTTATCCATGGGGTACTTGTGATGGCACCCATGGAAGAGGAAGTGAAACGTTATTCCGAGGCGAGAGTTGAACTCCGCATGAAATATGAACCTGTGTATGATGTACTCCAGGAGCTGCCAGCCAAGGACGCCTAGCAGCGCAAGCGAGATCGCCATGGGTAGTGGCGTGTGATATGCCATCACAGATGCGATGAGGCAGTATGTGAAAAGGGGCAACCATAAAACAGGGACGACCCACCAGGCCGTCTTTGAGCAAGCCTCTACGACCGTGCTGCTGAAGAAGCGCGGCTGACCTGCCTCAGGCTCGTGCACCCAGGTCCAGTAGTCCTGTCCCAGGGTGCCCACTTGCTGCACGACGGGCTTGCCACGGTCAATTCCTGATTTTGTTAACGTACTGCTGGTTATCATACTGTCCGATAGACGTCAGCGATGATTAGGTGGCCAGACTATGACTGGTGAGGTGGATCAGCTGCGTTGTGTCGATTGTGCACACCCACCAAAGACGGGGGATATCCGCGTAATAGAGTGCTGGTCCCAATGCTACACTTCACTCCTGCTTCAGGCCGGCTACTTTACGGGGCTTTGACGGAGTCTCTAGCGTGCCGTAGGATAGGATGGCCTGCAGAAAACAGCGCTCTCAGTCATGGCCCAAACCAGCCAAGCAGCGAGGTGCTTAATTACCAGAAGCAGCAGAACGGCTCCGATCGTCAGCATAACCTCTTGAGCGTTTTTTACTCTTGATACATCGGCGCGGAGCCCCTACATCCCGAAAGGCCAAAAGATGTGGCTTGCTGATGGCAGAACGCTACGGTGCTTTCCAGGCAGGAAATATTTAGTACCGTGACAATGAAAGATGCTCCAGCAACTACAAAGAACCTAGTCCAACCCATCAGCTCAAATCATAGTCGAAACGCGTATTGATTGGTGCCGATCAACGGACTCGCTTGCAAGGTGCTGGGCCTACCAGTTTACAGAAGCGGACTTATGATCTCCAATCCTTTCTAAGTCGTTCTAATCTGAGGTAGCCGGAAACATACGGGCATTGAGTTGGACGGTGTACGACGCCAGTCACGGTTAATCAGTTGATAATGCACAGCTGCGAGTTATGCGTAAAGAAGTTGTATGTATGGGAAAACAGCTTTATGCCGTATTCCAAAGCTTGGGCTTGGCATAAGAGGGGAGTTTCCGCCATGGGTTCCCGCGCCAGACATCGGCAAACGGCATATTTCTGGTTTCGGGAACGGGTCTATTTCTGTCTTCCAATGCAATGGCCCGCGACCTGTTCTTCATCATTGACCGCGGACTAAGGTCGTCTTAGGCGGTCTTCGGGCCGCATAACACCTTTCGTACACGGCGTATGATCCTATTTCTGCAAGCCGGCCGGCTTCGGGAACTCTATTTCTGTTTTCGGTACGACCCGAAACTCCGGAAGCGTTTGCCGTTGTCTGCCCCGCACCAAAGGACTTGGTCATCTAATTGCTGGATTATGACGGCGTGCGGTATTGAGGAAGGTTGTCATGGCACCCTTTTAATTTTAGTTCCAAACTTATGGATATGGCCGTGGAAGGGTGGGTATGGGGCCACAGCTGGGGCCGTTTCTAGCCTTGCGAGTACGGTGTAGGTCGTGCAAGGATTCGCGGTAGCAATATGAGGCAGATTTAGGAAGCGCGGACCGAGAGGCTCGTGGCATACCGGTATGGTACCGTTCGATGTCATTTTGCTATGAGATTGACGCCCAAAAGCTGCTGGGACTCGAGCACGTAGCACTGCCTCACCGCGGGCCGGCGCAACCATTTGGGTTTGGATGGCAAAAATTACGACCCCCAAAACCCTCCTAAGCCCAACGTGTTCTGTGTGTCTGCATGGCCAACGTAGCTCGGTAAACATGGCATATGGGCCACTCCTGAGAGGATATTCCATAATTCTAGTATCAGACCTTCGACGCATGTATTGCTTATACTGCATGCGCATGGCACGCGAACCGTAATTGTAACTCCGTGACCACTGGCAGCATAATGGCCTGATCAAGAGCGCCTTCAGGACTGGACGCGCTGCATCGCACACTACCGCCAACCTCCAGGGCCCCTTCAGGGACAGCCGCTCTGAAGCCTCACAGCGGTCTTCTGGTCCTTATTTAGCTCACCTGGCGGCGGGTATGCAGTTGGCGATGAGGAAAGGCTGTGGCGCTGCGGCAGCCCCTCAGCACCTGGGGCGGTCGCAAGAGGGGACAGCTTGAAGTGCAGCTTCAAAGGGAAGCAATGTGATATTGATCCTCTAGCATGTCTCCAAGGTACGTACTGGGTGCATTTTTCGCGTTTCAAGTAAGTACTATTGACCCGCATTGACGGTTTTCGGGGTCCATGCCACTTCACTGGGTTCGTAACAGATAGCTAGCATAGTCGCAGGTTTAGGGTGAAGTTTTGTGTGGTTATTTGCGCACACGCGCTTCACAAGAAGATGGCTTTAAAACCGGCAGGCCAACTGGGGCGTACGGTACTCAGCCCCAGCTCGGAAATTGCTCACTGGCAACCCAGGTGCCATCCGATGATGCCTGACAGTCTGAATGTAAGCAGCGACTTACTGCATGAAGGACACACCACGATAATAAGTTAAAGCCATTTTTGAAATCATCAAGTGAAGCGATTGGCTCCAGAACTAGAAACCCCCAATGCAACAATGCAACCGGTGGTCTCGGCGCCAGACCTTTGACTCAACCTTGAAAATCAAGCAAGAGGTCGTATCGCTCTTGAAAGCAACTTATGATAGGTGTAGCCTTCTACAAGTAATTTGTGCACTGGTTTATGATGGCCATTCAGGTCAAGCGCACTGTAGTCATACATCATCCTTGCTTATTGTATGTCAGATTTTCATGATACGCACAGCCATAAATCTGTCGAAAATTTCAAAAGCTTAAGGTTGTCAGGGAAGCAAAGCCGTGCAACATGGCGCGGGTAGTTCGGGACGTGCTTCTTGGTTATCTAGCAACCTTTGGTTGCTCCAGAGAGATAGATGAGGCTGTTTTAGAGTACGCCTGTGGCGTGATGCAGAGCATGATCGAGGATGACGGGGAAGACGATGATGGTGCGCGAAACGAAGCAAACTCACGACAGGCTTAAGATCGCCCGGGTGAACCTTGCGTACCGACCTTCTTGACTTCTATGCCGGGAAACCGCTTGGATGCAGGCCCATGTGCCATCGCTAGCGTGCGTTCAGTTACTATTGTTAGTTATGGTTGCTAGGGTTACAGCAACAGTCTGTTTCTCAACTCCTGTCCGATTTTCATGTACTAGTCTATTCCGACTTCATAATGTTTGGCTGCAGAAAGCTTGATCCACCTTGATGCACTTCTTGCGGGTGCGTGTGGTCAGCCCTACGAGCAGTACTCCGAGGCGGAGCGACAAGAGCAGCTGGCGACGATAGTTCAGGAGGTGTGTATTGACGCCTCTGCTTCTAAATGTCATTGGGGCAGGATCTTACGCAAAATACCGCCCCGCTTTAGGCACGCCGCTCCCCACCGGCAGTCTCAAGTCTGCAGCCTCAGAATGCTGGTGCACTGGCATCTCATATTCGGGCAATTGCTCTTTCACCCGGTAATGAGCGGAACGCGGATCGGCGCGGGGAAAATATGCCCCTCGTGGATGAGCCGACTGGGACGGGGCAAGCAGCAGCAGTAGTGAAGGAGCTAGAGGCCCTGTGCTCAGGAGCGGTATCGACTGAGTTCCTGGATTACGCCCTGGAGTGCAAGTTCCATTTTAATGCCGAGGTGCGTAACTTGAGCTTTCGGTTGGCAATCCTCTTAACTTCCTGGAAAGTGGCATAAGCGCACCTGCGGGTGTTTAAGGATGGCCATTGCTCATGCCCTTGCCGGCCAAAGTTCAAGCTACGGGACACCCCTGGCTCTGCACATTGCTGCAGGCGCTGGCGGCATGGCTTCTCGACTCGGACCGCACGGAGCTTCAAAGAACCGAGGCGCAGTGGGAGGAGCAAAGGCGAAAGGGGCTGCAGGACGACGAGGCCGCCCGTCTTCTGAAGGTGCGACGTATGGAGCATGTGGGTTGCCTGTACCAGGGCCAGTGGACGGCTTGCAGGCCAACACGGAGCTTGAGCAGGGCATGACGTCGTCATGCGCTACGAGTTAATGTCACTTCTGTCGGCTCTGTCATGAACTTTGTGTCAACATCTATTGCCGGCTGCATGCAGGAGCGAAACAAACAGCTAATCCTGCAGAAGTTTGATCTGCGCCCGGTAGCGCAGCCGACAGATCCCAAAAAAGGTGGCAAGGGAGGACTCCCGTTGGAGTTGTGGACCGCGAAGCAGGACCAGCAGGCGCAGAAGCCCAAGGTACTGTTAGGTTCATGCACGTAACCTGAATGGGGCTGTCCGGGGCGCATTTGATGTTGTCCGTTTGTTGTTCCACCCAAATTCACAATGTGTGGGCCATGCTTGGGGTGCAGGTGCGCTACCTTGATGGCCGCGTAGTGAGCACCAAGGGCGAAAAGTTCATCATCGAAAAGACGAGTGAAGAATGGGATGGCGGCAGCCGTGGCAAGGTGTACACCAAGGGGAAGCGGGGCAAGGGCTTCATCTAGTGTGGACGCTGCAGGCATGGTACCCCGGTACTGGCTATTCAAGGATAGGACAGGACGCGATTTCCATCTGGGTGAAACTGGAGCGGTGTAGCAGGAGCGCGGTGATAAACAGATGGGAGTCAGTGTGCAGTCAGGATCGGATTGTGCATTCAAGTCAAACAACTGCTTCCCACCTGCATATGCTGTTACAGTACGTGCAAAGGTTCTGTGCATGGTCCCCTGGAAATCTGTCGTGATCAGTAGTCTTGGTCGATAATTAGGTTTAAGATGTTATACCACCTGCGCCACGAGTGTGCATACAATCTGAAAAGCAGAGGAGAAAAGGCTTGCTGCTGGGGCGCATGATTCCTATTTCTTCCCCTCAGTCGCACATGCTTGACGACAGCACCTTGTTTACGCAGGATTCCTGCACAATATGTCCGAGCGCACATGTTTGCCTGGTCGACGGGTGCATAACCCCTGTGCCAGCAAGCTTGCCCAGTACGAGCCGCTCCAGGGCGCTGTGGGATCCAGGGTTTCCTACTACCTGTCAAAAGCGCTTGATAAGGTACCGCACAGAAAAGGAAAGAAGATTAGAGACACAACTCCAAATCTAAAAGGGAAAGTTAATGGCTAATGTTCAATGCAAAATGTCAGCAGTCTGAAGCGTCTCTATTTGTCTGCTGAAGCAGAGGGCACCCATTCCTCATGTTGCCATCGGCAGCAGCAATTAGCAGTACCCGCCTAGTCTGCGAATAACCAAGGGAGCCTGCATAGCTAGCTTGCCACACTTGGAAAGCTACATTGACGACCAGAGGGCTCCTGGCTCCCGGTGGTTCATTGTGGCCTATTACCATTCGCCGCTTTGCTACCCGACCCAACCCGGCCCAGGCATTCGAGCCCCGAAAATTCTGTAAATGTCCTTTGCAGTGGTCCCAGATAACTCGTCCTTTTGAGTTAAAGGTTCCAATCCACGCGGTCTCAGCGCCTCAAGAAAAGGCATACATCCAAACAAGAGCATGTCTAAAGAACCGTCGCAGCGCCTTTTGGAAGAGACAAGTTCATTCGAATGACCCGCATGGCCGTATGTCCGTCTCTCTGATCCTGCGCATGCACAATACACTGAGACGGCCCCCTATCATCAGTCTATTCCTGCATCGCGCTGTTCCTTCGCTGCGCCTCCTGTTTGACGACCGCCTCCAAGAAGTCGGGTTCCAGCATGTCCCTGAGCTCCACATTCTTGTCCATCGCTGCCTCATACACCGCCATAATGGACGCCGGGTAAACGGGCATGTAAAGGCGTGTCAACACGCGGATTGCATTCGCCATGCGGCACACGACTTCCAGCTGGCCTTTGCTGGGCGGGGGCGCCACCGGCGCCTCGGCCGCGGCGTCAGCTGCGTCCGCGCCTATGTCTGCTGCGGCCGCTGCAGCCGCTCGGTCGGGCCGCAGTGGCGCCACCCACACCAGGCCATTGCAACCGATAATTAGCTCGACCCCCAGGGCCTCTAGCGTGTGGAAGTGCTGTTTCTGGCGCTTGATGAGGTTAGGAGGCACCTCCACGAGCTGCCCGTGCGTAAGCTTGCCGTACTTCGCGCTGCGCGTGTGCAGCGCGACGCTGCCATCAGCGTGGACGGACTGCACTTCTGCGCTAATTAGCTCTCCTTCGCGGAAAAAGGATCGCATGTTCAGCTCGTCCTCGGCATTGCGGCGCCGTTGTATACCACCCGGAAGGTGCACAGCGGAGAGGAGGAGCTTGGATTCTTGGCGGGACTTGAGGTCCACACGCCAAGCCTTCCCGGCGATGTCCGCGACACGGCCAACAACAACATCCCCCTGCTCCGCGTTGTAGCGGCTGTTTAGCGTCCTGACGTAGATGAGTTTGTTGACCCGCTCGACGACACCACAGACGGTAGCCACCAGCTTTTCGTCAACCACTTGGGTGCCATGGCCGCGAAGGAAGCCTTCCTGCCCTTCAGTACTGATCTCATCGCCAATGCAAACAAATGTGGTGCTTATTGGCGCATCGTGTACACCAAGCCCGCGCTCAATCAATGCAATATCGGCACCAGGTTGGTGCTGCCGGACGCGGACGGCGCCGGCGGCCGACATCTGAAAAGCTGTACCTTTAGCTACCGGCAGGTCAAGTAAAGCTCATTATTTGGGTTAACCTAACCAGAGGACGTTTCCGAAAGCTCAGCCGAGGGCTTAGGCGAAGTAAAGCGAACTAAAGTGTTTCGTGTCCAGGAAGCTTACACTAATCAATTAATGATACGCCTACTGACAATTCTGATGACTTTGGAAAAGGCCTACGATTCGAAATTCCCCGACTTTTCATGGTTTTTTTAATTTGGGCAGTGCCAGTATCACAATGCCAAGTTTGCAGCTTTGCACAATTACAGGAAAGGCTTTTACTTATAAATCTCTATGTTTCAGATGATCGTCGCCATTCCCACCTCGTAGCTGAAAATACGATCGTCAGTTACGCTGGAACCCGCCCCGTCCCCGAATCTGACAATACCTGTTCAAGGACAGCCATGATGGCTGAGTCGACAGCTGCACATATACACATGGAAGGAAGACCGACGCTCCCTGACAGCGCACTGAGGAGATATCCGGGGTGCTCGTGTATCATGTTCTTCGCGTGCGTGTGAGTCAATATACGGAATCTGCAAGACTGCCTTCAGCTCATCGATTGGTGGTGTACGATCGTATTTAGCACAGTGTCAGACTCTGTATAATGATCGACAATTTTTCCGTTTAGCCGTAAGGCTGCTGTATGAGCTTTGTTACAGTTATTGAAATAAGCAACAGCGGTCGGCACACGAGAACGGAGAAGAGAGGGCATAAGACTTCCCATCCGCCTGGTCACGGCTGAGTAGGTTCGATTAGGCAAGTCGTGTTGCCTCCTGGACTACTGATGAGGCCATGGGTAATGGGGGCGTGGGGAGAGCCTCAAGTTAATATGAATGAATGAGGAGGTGGAATTACCCTCGGCGCATGGCATGGGGAAAGCCTATCGCACGGAATGTGCTAATACAGTAGTGCCAATGAAAACACACAATTGGGATGCCGTCACCAATGTTGTAGCATGTGTAATTGTCTAAGGCTTTCCCGGTTCGGGCGTCACCAATTGTACGACGCACGGCAATTTTTAACAACTTGTACAAAGCTAACACGGTGCTTCGGCCCTTGCGTCTGTGGCGGTACTTAAGTCCTTAGGCCATTTAGTACTTGCGCCTGCTTTTGTACAGAACGGCCTTAACTGGCCTAGGTTTGCCGCAGGCAAAATGGTGATTAGCAAAGGCCAAAACGCAAACGATACGACCGGACTGTCGCGCGGCCGTCACCAATATTCGTCACACAATCGCAGAACGATCTCCGAGCCATCAGTAATTGCAAGAATCATTGCAAATTTTCAGTTTTCTTGAGTAGTTGCCTTACCGCTTAGGGTTCGTACAGACGGAGGGGTACCTGCAGTTGTGCTTGCTTCCGTGGGAGGGGGCGAGCCTTGTTACCGAGCGACTTCCCACACATCATCCCAGACCGGGACTCTCGCTTCACAGGAATTTCTGGAAGGAAACGTTTCGCCTTTTGGGACACCCACCTCTACATGAGCACAGCCTTCCGCAAACGGACGGGCTAACGGAACGCATCAATCGCGTTCTAGGAGAGACACTCGGGCATCACATTTCGCCCACTCAAGGTGAATGATATGTACACATAGTTCTAGTCTACGTCAGGGGGTTCCCAGTTTAATGGACAATAAACATCGCACAGCCCTCCTCTTTCTTACGCTGTGTACATTTAGTACTAAGATTACGATTATTTTTACAAAAAGTAATAATTTTAGGTTGTATTGTTCAGCGTAATTACGCAAAACAATTTGCCACTGATTGAGTTTGCCTTAAATAACTCAAAACAGCGAGCAACGGAGGCAACTCCCATCTCCCTTAATGGTGTCCGCCTCAATCTGAAACCCTAAGTGCATGACGCTCACAAGCATGAAGTGACGATGCACGAGCGTATCAACAGAGCTATAAATTGTCTCCTGGCTGCGCAGCAAGAAGACGCCGATACGCATGTGCGCTACGAGGTTGGGCAAAAAATGCTCTCTGTGTGTGTGTGTGTGTGTGTGTGTGTGTGTGTGTCTGTAACGGACCAAACATAATATCTCGCCTGGCTGAAACGCGTTATAGGTACTATACAGCATTCTCTATTGCAAGGTATTTCGCATGTAGCCAACAAAAATCGTATGAGCACAAACAAGTTTGGCTGCCTCAATTGACCGAGGCCAAAGTCACATCAACGCCTCTCGAGCTAAATTTCATCCCGAAAGCTGCCGCGTATCTCATAATGGAATTCTGAGATGACGGCGTATGATAACTCGAACACCCAGCTTGCGTTACCATTTGCCGGCATGGGCAATCCGACTTGCCACCTGCAGGCCAACATAATTTGCTTTCAGTTCTCTATGAAATACACAAGCTGCTTGTTTGTACATTTACTTTGGCCAATGCACGGGGCCTCCGAAGACTTGCGGTGTGCCGCGATGAAGCTCGCGGCTGTGGGGCGGATTGCTGAGGCCGCTGGCGCTTCGGGGATAGACATCACAGACAGCACCGAACTTCACTCAGCTTGCGTTACCAATTTGCCCGCACGGGCATTCCGACTTGCGGTCTGCCGCACTGTCCATGCGGCATGCACCCGGGATGGATGCGATTCCCGTGGAGCGCGCAGGCGGTGCTGACGATTCCGCCGGTGCAAGCTTAGCTCCCACACCATCAGTACTGCTGCAACAAAGCACATCTCCCACCGCAGTGACACTACCCATCAATTGTCACACGTGCCGTGCTAGCTACCGGCCTGTACGGATGCAGGGGGGGCCCGCCCTTTTTCCGGCTTCGAGGAAGCCGACACCCGACTTGTCATCCTCGATTCGGCTATTAGTACCACAACAGCGGCAAAACCGCTGCCCCCTGGGGACATGGTACTTGCCTCTTCGTGCTCTGTTTGATTCCAGAGCCCAGCAACATAAACGAAACTGCATTAGCTTACGATGTGCTAAACGAGGAATGAAAACCTTAGCATGTGTTGGCCACATGACGGCTGCGGCTCCCGAAAAGGGCAGCCCCATCCAGTGCTTATACTTCGCCATTTGCACTCCCGGTTGCTTCCCATCTGATGGGTACTCCTCTGGCAAGGCAGTCAGACGAGTATGGTCCCAGCCGCTCATCAAACGCTCTCTTAGTGCCGTTATCATCGCTCCTTCGGGTAGAGGCCTACTCAACAACCAGTCAACACGCTCCTTTACCCCCATGACTTCTTGTGGTATTCCGCTCCAAATATTGCATTCCAAGAAGGAACAACAGTCGTAACATTGAGGTTCCCCAACCCTCCCATTCCGGGTTGGTCAGGGCATCGGTTACCTCCTGCCGTAAAACTGCATGAGCAATGGACCCCACTTGTTTTTGAAGGCGGTTCCAGAAACGGAGGATCATGTGAAGGCATTTTGTGTCCCGAAGCCAGACAGTGGTTCTTGGCGTTTGGTCATCAACTTGAAGAGGATGAACATCGCGCAGAAGGCTTATAAGTGTCGCTATCAAACCCTCCGCACCCTGCGGCGTATGGGCCTCGAGGGCTCTTGGATGGTGAAGGTGAATTTGGCTGACGCCTTTTACCACATTCCAATTCGCCCAGCGGATCGGCGTTTCTCCATTAATGCGCGCTTTCAGCTGGTTAGCTTATCTTGTTTTTGTTGTTGAGCGCGCGCCCGCCCGCCCGCCCGTTCACGGCGCAGCCCGCGTTAGTTCAGTTGCGGTGTCGCTTTCTCCATTCGTAAGGCCCGTCTTCTTCGGGCATGTCAGTCCTTTTCTCTCTTCCATTATTTGCAACAGAAAATGGCATTTACCTATGGAGCAACTACTAATGGCGTGTATTCAGTTCGTATTCAGGCGGTTTTAGGATGATGGCTGTGTTCCACGGCATCGATTATCGCAGCCTCATCGCCGGAGGAACTGGCCACTTAGGACTTGACAGGGCTGCGCTTAGTGGGCGTGACATCCCACTTCCAACGCCGTTTATGCTAGCTGAGGTCTTGGACAGGCTCAGGAGGCGGAGTGATGCGAGTAACCTTGCAGAGGGGCCCTTCAAGGCATGCCTAAAGGACCTTCACAGAGCAGTGCAGCTTCAGATGTCTTTCATGCGGCAAATTGTAGGAGCTGCCAGACCAACACACCGCCTCCTGTTTGCAGAGCTGTCGCAGCTACCCCTCCAATACCACGTCTTCAAGCAGGTTGTGAGGTTTTGGAACAGTGTCCGTTTACAGCGTGGGTCTGTGGCACACCAAGTTTTGCGACAGGAGGTCGCTGAGTCCCTCTCCAACCCCGAAGGGGCCGGATGGGGGACACTACTACTCCGTTTTCTATATTTTCTGGGGCACGACGTATGGAAAGAGACCCCGCAAGGGCTACACGAGGTAGACGAACGAGTGGAGTGGCTGATGAACAGGCCAATGCCAGGTGTGGTTTTGGGATTCAAGGACCGATTAGTGAGTGGTTGGAAGCATACGCGTTTAGATGTCCAGCCTGACGTGTACCCGTCAGACGGCAAGAAACCAGGAATTCACATGGCGAAGTATAAGCATTGGATGGGTCTGGCGGCCGAACAAGCGGGCAGGAAGGAGGTGCTCCCGCATATCACAATGTTTATCCCGCGTTCAGCGAATCGCAAGCTTATGCAGTTTAGGCTTTGCTGTTGGGCATTGGCGGCTAACAGAGCGCGTAAGGGACGGCGTTATATACCTAGGGAGGAGCGAGTATGCCCTTGCTGCGGCACTGATAGCCATATCGAGGATGAGAAGCACATTTTGCTGGACTGTCCGGTGTACGACAAAATCGACGACAAAATAAGAACTGATATGGGTTTCCCACGCTTCGAGCATATGAAGGACGCTATGAAGTGGGAACCTGAACGCCTGGCAAGGATGCTGGAACGTATATGGTCCCACCGCAACTCTATCGTTCCCTTTGGTCGTTAGTATCCTTCATCACTTGTTTCGTTGGAAGTGCGAGGTAGGATAGTGCTTATAGGCGATCTGGCAGCCCTTGAGCCCTCGGCTCGTATTAGGGTGGTTTGCAGGTACGGGGAACGCACCCACGACCATGTAACAACAACAACAACTTCCAACTCCACCTTCTCATTTCCCATGTTCGTGCGCACTGCGTTGGCACTTTCGGGCGCAACACAGATCGCACATTCGATTTGTAAACCGCAAAAAACACTTCGCCTCAGCCAAGGGAAGCAGAAATGGATCGACAAGCTTCGACTTCTCGAAGCGAAGTATGAGTGTAGAGATAGGCAAGTTATTGCGAAGGAACTGCCGTGGTGCGTGGAAGTAGGGCGCATGCATGCATGCATGTGCCGGACCGCAGTACGGCAGGGGACGCCGAGCTCCTACTTGGGTCCCACAGGCGCGATATGCATATTGTACACAGGCATGATAAACATAACAGGCATGCTCACAGGTGTAGCATGGCACTGGTTTCATACTGTTCATGCCACTGGTCAAGGCTCCTCGTTTATCATTTTTTACTTTTGTCCTTGCCTATGCTACCCAAACTGTTGAACTACCATAACCAAACTGGTGAACTATTAATGATTGCGCCCAAACATGAGAAGTACTGCAGAAATGATAATGGAAATGGCTATCCAATTCCCTGCAGTCCCCAGCTTCCCCAACCCCTCTCCCACTGCCTTGCCTGCAGCCTCCACCCCCTCTCCCACTGCCTTGCCTGCAGCCTCCACCCCCTTCCCCACCCCCTCTCCCACTGCTTTGCCAGCAGCCTCCATCCCCTCTCCCACTGCCTTGCCTGCAGCCACCACACCCTCTCCCACTGCCTTGCCGGCAGCCTCCATCCCCTTCCCCAACCCCTCTCCCACTCAGGGCTCTTCACCCCGATTTGGGCCGAACTTTTCTGAGATATTTCCGTTTTGCCCGAAAGGAAAACTAGTGCACCCCGGAGCATTCCAAACGGATTTGGGGCCTTTTGGAGCATTTTTTCGGGGACCCCACCGAAGCCTTTTGAAGGCATTTTCGGAAAAAACCGAATGATAGTTCAGTGTAAATTTGCATGTTTTTGAGCACAGACGGGGCCTGGAAACTGGGCTTGCCGTGTGCAATTCGGCTGCTTCACAGCTGTATTGCAGACATTTTCATACATCTAAGCGAACTTGATGTTTTGCAGAAAGAGTTTTCAGTTATGAAGTCTAAGATGGCCTTGCAGTTGGAGCTGGGCCGCACCTCCTGGGAGCAGGCCTGGGCTGGAATGCATTAGTGGGTCCACTTCTTTCCATGCTTGATTCAGTAGGTGTATGTCGCTTGTGTTTTGCCCACTCAAACAATGTGTGTTGAGTGTAGCTTTAATGTCCACCGCATTATCAAGAACAGGCTGCATAACCGGGTGTCTGTCCCGTCCATTGATTCCCTTATGCGTGTTGGATTACTCGGTCCAACCGTGGATATGAAATGCAAACCCCTTGTGATAAAAGCTGCTGAGTAGTATGTTGCAAAGAACCCGGATGGGCTCCTGCACCGTGTTCTGCTGACTGTGTTCTGCCTGATGAGAGTGTTGATGAGGGCAGTGTGGGCACTGAAGTTGCTAAGGCCTACTACCCTTCTAATAACGAGGAGGTCGAGAGTGTGGCAAGTGATGAGGTGTACCTGCCTGAGGAGACGGATGATGATGTGGCAGGTGTGGTGGAGGCGATTGCTGCAGATTGCCTCCTTGTGATTGCCTCCTTGGTTTTGGGTAAAATCCTTACTGAAATATTTCTCCCAGGCGCTATGTTCCAAAATAAAGTCAAACACCTTTTAATTCAGCCGTCCTAGCATATAACGATAGAATCCAGCTAAATTTTACCCTGAAAACCGCTTCAGACAGTTTCAGGTTACCCGGAAACACTGTCAGGCTGACAAGAAAATTTTCAGGGAAGGCCCCGGAAGGTTATTATCTCTCTTGTGCTGCATTAAGTCCTTCCAACATGAAGGAAGAACCAACACCACTACCGGGCATTGACATGCCTTGTCAGTACCCGCAGCCTTGCTCGAGAAATATGCTATCTGTACATAGGAAGTTTAAACCCAAAATGTCAAAATTTTCATTCTCACATTCAGATTGGCTGCTGCCGAACAATCTCGGATGCGTCATGCGTTCTTCATGAAGCGTTTTCGATTCCGCAAACGGTGTCAACTACCTGGCAAGGTGCTTTCAGGTTATATCATCTATAAAGTTCCACGTATTTTCCCTGCCCGCAAGCTGCGCAAATTGTGGGTACAGTGAATTCTGTGTAAGTTGGCATCAGAGGTCGGCAGGGTCCTGCGGTCCGTACCACAGTACCTGCAGCCGAAATTCGGCTTCAGGCCCCGGCTGCGGGTCCCTAATAACCGAAATTTGACCTAAAGACGTGGTTGCAGCCTCTATTGCGGCCCGTAAGGCCGCGCGCTGGTGTGTTTGACTTTGGATTTTTCTTAGGTTAACTGAGCAAAATTATGCCCTCCCGCACGCAGCCGTAAAAATCGATTTGCTGACCTCTGGAATGAATGGTTGGTGGTTAGTACAACGTCAGTTGGAACTTTATGTCCATAAAACGATTTTAGAGGATGGGAGAGGCCGCGGCATTTGTAGGAGAGTAGATACCAAATAAACAAGAAAGAGTTATACAGGAATAGACCGTCTTCGCTCATTGCCATGATTTTCTTGCCAAATTTAGCGCCGCGAACAAACGACGAGATTTTCAAGGAAGGCAGCGAAGAGGCATTAGTTGCTGCCCTTGAAAAGGAGTTGGAAGCGAAGGTATGGTCCTCGCCATATAAAGCCATATTCCAGTGTTCTCAAGAAACTCGAATGGCTGCAGAACGCAGCGATACGGGATTGGCAGAGAACTAACCCTGTAGTTGGAAAGCCTGACCCGCCAACCGATGTGCGCGACGGGACTGAGGAGGACGGTACGTGATTCGCGAACGGCGGGAAAGTCAGAGAAGGCAGCCCAACCTAACATGTGGCCCTTTGCAGCAGACTTGAACGAGGCATCCCTGGATGACGAAGAAGACGTGGATGGCGACGAAGACATGTGAAGTAGGAACCAGCTGACAGCAGGGCGTGTTATGGCGTCCCAGGTGACTCGGTGTATGTACACCTTTAAACTTTTAGAAGCTCGGGAATAAGGACGGGGCTCACGGATGCTTGGCACGTCACCTGGAGCTGCACGATGAAGACCAGGGGACGCCACGATTTGTTTTTATATGCTCGTACATTCGCGTTGCAGGTCAACACGCGCATTACATGCTAAACACATGCGTATGGCCACGCAGGTTGAATGCATAAAGTGGGTGCCTGGGACGAACTTCCTGGTGGATGGCTTTGCATTCAAGAACCCCCGGTGTTCGCATTACTTCTTGACTCACTTCCACTCCGACCACACAGTGGGTCTCAATAAGTGAGCTGGACTCCCCGATTAAAGAATCAGAGCTTGGGAAGACTTCCACTCTGTATGGGGGGCCAGCAAGCCAAATGTAGTTGTTGGTTTCGTGGATCTGTTCTTACTTGTCTGTTCTTATTGTCGTCACCTCACGTGTTTGAGGCATTCAGCCTTAGAACCCCATCCCATCCCGCCGTGTCATGCTGTGGGCCCCACACTCTTAGGAGCTTCGATGGAGGCGTCATATACTGCTCCCATGTTACAGCCCGGCTCCTGGTGCACGACATGGGCATCAAGCCGCAGGTACAGCCTTTTTGTGGCACCCAGGTGTTCCCCAGGGGTTTCTCCGATGGATGCTTTCCTTCAGCGGCCTTGACCGTCAAACACACAACCAACAGTCCCAGACCATATTTCCAAGGCTCACCGAGTCCGCTTCCTTATTTTGGATGTCTGGTGTTGGATGTTGATCTGCTAGATCTCATGCAACGGGAGGCACCCGCGGCTTCGCTTGCAAAACGGAGCACATCCTCGTCCACCGTGCACCGCAACCAAGTGTACTCATGTTGGGATGTCATAGGTCGGCTGTTAGCACATAAACCCGCGCGTTACTATTCCGTCCGTTTCAGACTAGTTGGCGGCAAGCTGGGTTGGCCTTTTTGGAACCCCCCCTGCCAGATAACACAGGTTGTGGGGTTCGAAACGAACTCGCAGGTGGTGAAGCCGCTCGCTGTAGGCGTGGCTGTGATGGTCCAGGGGGTGCGGGTGACACCCCTGGATGCCAACCACTGTCCTGGCTCCGTCATGTTCCTCTTCGAGGTGCCCGCCACCGCGTTGACCAAGTCCCGGTCACTCGCTGCGACTGCAGCGGCAACTGCGTTCCGGGGTTCTGCCAGCCCCGTATCCTCGTATCAGAGGGCGCTGGTGCTGCCATGCCCCTCTACCAGGGCCCTGTCACCCGGTGGTGCTGCTGTAGACCAGTCGGCGAAGCAGCAAGGAAACGAGGGTAGCGATGTTCGAGTTTCAGGGCCCAGCTTGGACGATGTGGCAAGGAATGCAGCGCGGGAAGGAGAGACTTGGGGATGGGCGACTGTACACGAGGAGGTTCCCGGCATGGCAGGTGGTAGCCAGTGCGGCGCCGCGGCTGCCACCCATAACATTCTCCACACCGGTGACTGCAGGTGATTCAGATACCTGCCCAGACAGACCCCGATTCGGAAATTGGGTAAATCCAAGTGTACACCCAGAACCTATAATATTTGGTATCAGTCCTGGTGTATGGGACTTGACTCCTTATAAGGAGTAATCTTGCACACAGTCAGCTCTCAGTCACTGACCAGATTTTCGCCTCCGAACCCCTTCCTAGCATTCAATTGTCCTAGCTCCTGTGACCTGCCTACCCGAGATTACAGCCCATCAGGCAGCAGGCGTGTTCTCGTGTCAGTGGCGCACGCACTTGTGCCGAACCTCCTATTCCGACGTTCAGGTGGCAGCGCTGGATGCGGGACCAGCCGGGACTGGCTGGCGTGCGCGTGGACACACTCCTCCTGGACACCACGTACGCAGCGCCCAAACATACACTGCCACCTCAGCAGGAGGCCATCGCTATGATGGTCCAGGTAGGGACTGCGGTAGGGGCCGCGTGCCGGCACGGCATGTGGGGTCAATGGCAGCCGTAGTGCAGGCCATACAGGAGGAAAGTGCTGCACCAGCGCGCTGCAGGTGTTGCACGGGTGGCTCCTGACTTACCATCTTTAGCGGTTTGCCAAATGAGTTTCAGATGGGTGGCGATCTGGGTGCAGTAACTACTGTTCCATGCTTCGTGTCGCAGGTGATGCGGGATGCCCTTGTTGCGGAGCCTCAGACGGTTTTCTTGGTCGCCACGTACCACATTGGCAAGGAGAGGGCGTTTCTGGGGGCCGCGCAACAGCTGCATGCCAGGGTGAGCTGGTCAGCGCAGCCTAGCACACGGATATGGGTTAGAGCGAAGCTTGCTCACCGGGTGCTGTTTGGTGATGACCAACGGGCACAGTGGTGTTACATTGTCTCTTTCCGCGTTCACCGTTCGCTGCATTCCTCCGAATTTCGGCAGGTTATGCTTTTGAAATTTGCAGTTCATGTGTTTACCTTTACCTTTAATCCTTTTTGCTGTAGTTACTCTTTTGGCTTCTTGTTGCCTCTCTTCATGCGCGCCAGCGGGAGCCCTCTCCTATGCATGTAGCCTAGGATGCCGCGCTCACGATGCGCGGCCGATTTATTCCCAAAGCACCTGTGGCCAGCTCAGAGGTAGGTGTACACGACATGACCGCTCTAGTGCCGCCGGGTTTACGGCTGCAGGTGTGGTCCAGCCCCGCCAAGCGTTCCTTGCTACGGCTTTTGGACCTGCCGGCTGAGCACATGGCGCTGCTGGTGGACGACCCCCGGGAGGCAATGGTGCACTTGACGGGCTGGGGACTGCGTCCGGAGGACCTGCGGGCGAGTTGTTGGCTGCCGAGGCCAGGCTGGGGATTGAAGGGTGCCAAGAGGGTCTGCTCAATGCATGCTGGGCAGGCATTTGAAACAGGGAACAGGACATGGAAAAAGCTGTAAATGTCCGTTTGCTCCACAGGCCTACTTGGAGCGGCATCTGGGCGTGTGGAAGCAGGCCGTCGGCATCCGTCCCACGGGTACGGTACACGAGGTACTCGCATCCTGAGTCGGTCCCGGCCCGCAGCTGCGGGGGAGTGCGGTAACACTATCTGGTTGTTCTTGGCACTGTTTGGTTTGCCGTTTGCATGGGCGATGTCATGTTTCACATAAGGAGCACTCGCAAATGACCGGGAACGGCATGTATCGTTTATTGCCCCGTGATGAAACTGCACGGTATCTCGGGCTGCACTACGGCACAGGCCAACGGTTTGCGGCCTGCACGAACCAGCTACTTGCGGCATGGAAACGGGACACTTTTTGCCTCATTGCTCTCTGTGGCGACAAGAAAATTACCGTACCCAAGCTCAACATGTCCCTTTATAATGTTCTTGTGCGTACATGTAACTGTAAGTGATGTGAGTGTCCTTGATGCACTTCTCTGTCCAGAAATCTTACCGTGCCCCCTCCGTCTTGAACACAGGCTGGACATTTCGGCGGGGAGGTGGGGTGTCCATCCGCCGCGAGGGCAACGTGGTCGTCGCCGGAGTGCCATACAGCGAGCACAGCAGCTGGAGTAGGTGCTCAGCCTTGGCCAAATGGGTTGGGGTGAATAACATCCTGTTTCGCTGGACCTCTCCTGTTCTCCTGCCCTTGAGTGAGGGAATTCACTGCTGCTACTGCTAGGGTACCTCGACTGCACCACTTTCTATGCCTAAAGAGATGTATTTGCGCCTCGCTAACCAGTATCACCGTGCGGTGTCCTCACTTGCATGTGTCTATGGCCCTGGCCCCCGTGCAGCCGACTTGTGTGACGCCGTCTCACAGCTGCGCCCACGGATACTCATCCCAACTGTCAATGCCTCCACGCCCGCCCAACGAAGAGCCCTGGTGGACCGCTTCGCTCACCTAATGGACTTGAGTGGCGACCGCTCACGGTAAGGTGCCGACATCACGACTTGTGTCGCGGTGCAGCGCTTATGAGACGCTAAGTTGAGCTTGCGCCCGACACGTGCTGTTCGGTTACTTTTGCCGTGTAGTCGAGGCATGCATGAGATACAGGCAAAGTGCATTCAAAACGGCTGCATCTCAAAATATGTGATATGCTCCGTTGTGCAGTTACACATCCCCGTCTGCCTTAATGGCTTAATGCACGTGAATGCACGTTGGCTTTGTATTTGCAGCTCGCACGTGCCCATGTGCTTGGTGGTTAAGAGGGTCAGCATATGCGTTATGGCGACCTGGGGTAAGGCCTCGCCCATGACGCTGTGTACTGGTGCACTGCATGGAATTTGTGCAGACTGGATGTGTACCTGGCTCGCGGTACTCGAGAGGTGGATGGGAAAGCTGCTGGAGGCTGCGGCATGGGAACAGGTGCACCAAGTCAGGACCAGGTTGAGCGAAGCGGCAAGGCTGGTAGGGCAGCTGCAGCCCCTGATGCAGGACTTGCTGGTGTTGCACCTGTCGCACCTATCAACCTAGGCGCTGTAGATGTGGCAGAGCAGGAGCGCATCCTCGCAGACCTGCAGCGGCGCCGCGAGCTGCTACATCAAAGGCAGTGGCAGCAGCACTTCAAGGTTAGCCAGAAGCAGGGCCATCAGCAGCAGCGGCGACGTAGTAAGAGGAGTTTATGCGACCCCCAGGACGACCTGGTATCCGAGATGATGACTAGCGCTGGCAAGCGGGTGCGTGCAAATGGGCTTCTGCAAGCTGTTGCGGAACAGCAGGGTGGTGCCGGGCCCCCTGACCCGAAGCTCGGGGCTAGGGTGGAAGGTAAGGGAGGTTTGGAACCAAGCCCTGCCGGAGCACCGCAACCAGCAGGGTGTCAAGCGACTGCCGCTGGTGCAGCAATTAGGGACGTGAGTCATAGTGCAGCGTCTAACGGCAATGGCATCAGCAGTATGCCGCATCGGGCCAATCAAATGTGGCAGTACCCGGAAAGCGCCGTGCGCTGTGGCGCCGGCAAAGAGAGCCGCGTCTGTGACATGGACATCATCGATCTGAGCCTTGAGGATGAGGATGAGGGCGGCGGCAAGGGGCCTGTGAGCATCAAAGCCAGCGGGGCTGCAAGGTCGGGTGCGCCCCGTGGAAAGCAGATGGGGTTGGGTTTAGCTCTAGCCAGCAGTGGGATGGCCGATAACTGTTCAGGGTGTACATGGCCGGATCGGGGCGGCCGCGTGCCAAGCAGGCAGCAGCCGGCACGGCCTGCAGCAGGGCCATCGCCTGTGGCGTCAGTCTTGCAGAGCAGCATCTTGCGGTTCTTCACGCCAGTCGGCGGCGTTGCGGCCGCCCTGCTAGCCAGCCAGGCGGGAACGGTGTGCAGACTAGAGGCCTGAACACTGTCTCTTTGTGCGGTTGTAGGACCTGGGTATAACTGTGAGCCGGATGAAGTTGTAGGGCTCCCGCTCCGGTGATAGGTGAACTGGGGACTTCCAAAGCCGCAGTTCCCGAGTGTGACGCACTAGAGAGGACGACATGTCTTAACAGACTACCGAGAACCACGTCGGACTTTGGCAAGTTGTGTGTGGTGTGGTGCCGTTCCGACTGGCAGTAAAGCGGACCGTTGCGGACACGGACACTAACGTAGTCCACTTGTTATTGTCATTGTGTGTCGGACAAGTATGCGTGTACTTCTGGGAAATGGAGATCGAACCACGTACAGCTCGTGTAAGTACGAGGCCTCAAAAACGTTCATGGCAGGATTGCAGGTAACAGCAACTAATCTCTTCATGGCGCAGCACTGAGCCGTCTTTATAGTTGTCAATTGTATCCTCGAGGCTCGCATCGAAATAACTGGGCCTGACACACCGCGTGGCTCGGGGCCTCACGAGTACACCAGGATGGGTCCTAGTGCAGCTTTTCCTAATCTGGCCACGAATTGGCGATAGGCTATTTGACGCACATTGCGGCTGCGTTCTCCTGCTAAACAGGGAGATAACGGTCATTAGCATTAATAGTAGCTGCAGACGGCTCGAGCGCCAACCGCACAACTAAGCTGTTAACCTCCCCGTACAAGGCCACCGGACAACAGTTGGAGACAGGTGGCCAGGTGGACTGCAACATGCACAACGCAGGCAACACGCCACTGTTCACATCACAGTTGTTACGCAAATATATCCAACGCATATCTGTGTACTTTGAAGGCTCTTGGAAGAAACGTTTAAGTGGCATACATACGGGCGACACTTATCGAACGATTTGGAACTTATTTTGTAGTCGCTTACATATGAAAATATATAATATTGCAATTTCGAACCAATTCCGAGAGGCATAAGTCCAATTCCCTCGCTTTACTCCTATGAGCGCCAAACGAGGTCGCTGTCGATAGCAGCTCTCCATGGGGGCAGGTGTGGACGGGAAATGGTTGTGTAGGTTCCCGCAGCTGGGAATCCTACTCGTCTGGAACTTATGTGTTGTTCTGCACTCGAAGGCGGTAAGCCATTTTACTAAACGTACTTCTTACGTACTTTTGTCAATGTAACCTAGTTATTAGCGCTTAAAATGATGCACTATGCAGGCTGGGCAGATTGTGAAGCGGGTGCCCGACAGTGTCTGGGCTGAACAGACTGTCGTTTCCAGCTTTTCCACTTACACAATTAGCAGCGATGGGTACACGGCTATCCAGGCAAACCTTACCGGCTCGGGCTGCCCGATGGTGAGCCGTGTTCCTACCCTACTCTGCGAGGGCGTCCTATTTTGTTTGGTTCGTCACTCCAAATGGTTACGTCGCTCATCCTTTGTCTGGTGTGCAAGCTTAACCGGTCCGTCGTGCCTTCTTCAGGGGAATCTGTCGCTTGTGTTTCCAACGGCCACCCCATCTAGCCGGGACATCGCTGTTCCGGGCAATATGGGTCGTCAATGCAAAACAGTTAACTTCCTTACAGAGGCCACGGCAGACTTCCAGGACATCAAGCCCGGAACCTACCGAGTGCGATTGCAGCTTGGCCCTGCAGGCCGCACCGTAAGCTTTGCAACTGCCCCTGGTACCGATACCCAGGGAAACGACAGCAGTAGCGGCACTAGCCTCGGCATTGTGCGTGCCAACACGGTGAGGAGCCGTACCATTTGTTCCTTTAAAGCCCTGCCACGAACCCGTGGGCTGAACATGCTTTTCCCCTCCCTGTTCCCCCTTTCTCCTCAGACCCTGGTCACAGTTGTGAAAGCTGCGGTGCCTGGATTCCGCAACCAGTCCTCTTCGACGAGTCGGACGCGTGCAGCTGTGACGCTGACAGTGGGACTGGATGGCCCCGTGCAACTTCCCACGAGCTTGGGCCTGCACGTTTGGGACGACTCAGCAGTTGAGGTGGAGCCAAAAATACAGACCTGGCGAATTGGGGAGTCGGACGCCAGGAATTTCACCCTCCGACTGACTCGCGCAGCCCCTTCTGGGCAAGTGGTTCCTTGGGCGGAGCTGGTGCGCGGAGAGAATGTGCTATTAAAAGCCATATCGCCGCCACGGCTGGAAATCCAAGCGCCCAGGCCGCAGTTCAGAGTGGCCCCGGATCAAGTATTCTATCGCGATCCCACTGACCTGGTCAGCAGCAGCAACGGCAGTAGCAGCGTCCGTAATCGCGGCAACAGCAGCGACGATGGGGGAGGAGTCCTTATGCTATCCACACCCGACAGCATATCACCGAGGTTGGGGACGGTCACTGTGGCAGTTCAGCGCTTGAGCTCTAGTCCCTTTGGCTCGACACTGCAATACAAAGCAACCGTGTTGCAGGCGACAGGTAAGACGCGTTCGCGCTATGTGGGCTTACATCAAATGTTGGGACTGGAGAGCTGCTTTTGGGAGGAAGAAGGTTACGATCGGGAAGATGGCTCCCGTGAGCCGTTGGCCCATCGTCTTGAGGGCAGATGGACATGAACGTTGATGCACTGTGCGACGCGCGGCTTTACATCGTCGTGCTTGCCTTAAAAACGGTCCCGCATCGCGGGTCTTGCCGGCGGGGGCAATCTGTGGAGGTATTGTGCACCTCGCGAAGCACTTGCTAGCAAAGCCGCTAGGCCTTTGCCTAACCCTTTTTAAGGGCGTTCCTATTAGGGCAGCCCAAGACAGGATGTGTACTGGCTGGCAAAGTCGTGCACCCCTGTCCGGCTCCTTGCACAACGGGTGGGGCCCATTTGGAGCTCTGTTTAGTTGGGGATAAGTGCAAGGGCACCGCGGCCGTCCATGATATCTCCTTCCCTGTGTCTTGCCTCCGTGCCTCCGGCGCCGGCTCCTGCCATGGTCCCCAGGCTGCAGCTTCCCGGCGTGCATGGCGGCTGTGTCTGGCAGCGGGCTTCTGCGATTTTTCCCCGACAACAGCAGCATTCCGGCGAGTCTGTCAGTCAATTGGACGGCCCTGCCCGCGGAAGCAACCCTGGGCATCCGGCTTCAGCTGACGCCTATTGACAATGCAGAATTGGTCGACATGCCGGACAATACCACGCTATTGTACATATATGGCACGACGTACGGCACGTGCCCGGCAGGCACAATTGGGCCCTGGCGGGAACTGACGCTGCCGGTTATCGTGCCGGTGGGAACCGACGGGACGCTCACGCAGCAGAAACTGTCCGCTGCAACGTCTATGGGGCCACGGAGCAAGAATGCGAGTGCGTCGTCCTCCCAGCTGCCGACCTCCTCGTCGCCACCAGTGTCCGGCTTGTGGCCCCCTTCACCCCCCAAGGATCTCTGTAATGGTATGCCCGCGGTGTCGTAATCGCTTCTGTGAACCTCCGATCCACAATGTTGCTTGCTGAGGCCTGGGCCTGGCCCTGGATTTGGAAGGGTACAGTCTGGAAACACCGGGCACAGCAAGCTGGCATGTTCACTCGCACCTGATGCACGTATTTCGCGCCTAAATGTTCTTGTCCGGAAAGCGCTTGCCGGCCGTGGTCCAAAGCTTTATGTGGCCCTAAGCTTCGTCCCTGTCCATTTCAGACGGAACTGTCCTCTGAAGGTTTCCATCTGTTGTCCCGGTGCACCTTTGTAACATCCCTCAGCGACCGTAATGCTGGAGACAGTTCTGGGATATGACCCAACTGCGGCGATGCTGCCTGTGCTGTCAGGTGCGTCTGGAGGCGATTGGGCTGGGGAAGCTTGGGACAGGAGCGGCGAGTAGTACCTGATAGGTACTGATTGCCCTTCCTACCTTCGCACGCGTCACGATATCCGGCCCATGCTTTGATGCTTGTCAGCGTTTGTAATCGACGGTGAATGAGCTGACTGAGTCCTTCACATACTGCCTCCGTCCGCAGCATGCGCCGGGGGAGACGTATTACCGGTACATCCTACTACGGCAGCGCCCACGCCCACGGGTCCCCCTGGGTCTCCATCACCCAGCAGCAGCGGCGTGCCCGGTCCTCAGACGGCCACAGCCAACGCACCTACAGGAACACCACAGCCGCAGTCCACACCTGCTGCATCCGACATTTCTGCCATGCCAGTGGAGATACTGGTGCCGTACGACCAGGACGCAATCTCCTTGTTTCTCCCGCTGGAGAGCACCAACGCAACGGTTGTGGTTCTCAATACCACCTGTGATCTAGAGCCCAAGCTAAGGCACGCAGCGGTGCGCAACCCGCCATCAGCTAGCGGCGCTGCCGCAGCTGCTGCTGCTTGGGCGGAGCTGCCGCTGCCGACGTCCCTGCAGATATGCTACGTGCTGCTGCAGGTGTACGGTTCAGTGTGGTCTGGACAAGCAATGGAGCAGCAGCAGTCACAAGACCTCGGGGACATTCCGACAGATGCAGCGGTGCCGTTGTCGCCTGCAGCGCCCCGCAGTGAGCTTTTCCCTCTGCAGAGCGTCGTGGAGGCGGGGAACGAGGCTTCCATTCTGCAATCAGGAAGCTCCAGCGCCATGAGCCCAAGCCCAGCTGGCGAAGATAACAATACCACTGCCAGCCACTCTTACCCTGTAAGCCTCTCTACCTCCGGACCCGGGCCTCCTGCAGCCTCGACATCACCGCCGCCCTCGGTTAGCAATGATGGCGGGGTCCGTTTGCCTATCCTGAGCATGGTGCTGCTGCGGACCTTTAACGTGACAGTCCGGCCCCTGAGCGACCCAGACATCTTCTCTGCCGGCGCTCTGTCTCTGTACCTGCTGCACCGCCCCAGCGGCCGCTGCCTGCCGCTGTGCGGCCTCCCTCAGCCGATGCTGCGTGCCGCAGCGGCGCAGGTCTTCGGGGACGACTTCGATGCAGCCAGCCAGGCGGATATGGACGCGGCAGCGGAGACGCTGGTGCTGGCGATTCGTGGGGACCCCGCTGCATCGGCGCTGTTGCAGGCAGCGGTTGGGACGGACGGTGGCAGCAGCGGTAGCGGCGGCGCCTCTGGTTCTGGCCGTCGCAGATGGCTGAAGGCCGGCAAGTCGTTGCGGCGGTGGTTGTCTGGCTGGTTGCCGGTGGGCCCACGCGAGGTTGCAGCTCCCGTTGGCGACGCTGCAGCTGCTGCTACGAATGGTAATAATATTAGGGGCGGTCAACGTGCCAGGGCTGGGTCGGCGGTGGGCGCCAGGCGGCAGCTGGCCAGCACGATGTCGCAGCGACGCATCCAGCAGATGTCCAGCACCCCGCCACCTGCGCCCACCTCTGCACCTGGGACTGCACTGCCGTCTGTAATGGCCACCCATCTGCCGTGGGCACAGCCAAGCTCCGTGGATCCGGCCCCGGCTTCAGCGCCGGTCAGCTCGCCTGCAGGGGACTCGCCGTCCCGGCCGGCCTTAACCCCGCCAAGTTGGTTCACGAGCACGTCCCTGTCTCAGCAGCCATCGCCTGCGTTGCAGTCCGCAACGCTGCCGGGACCTCCTACTGCCCCGCCCGTGCCTCCGGGTTCTAAGCCATCCAACAGCGCGGGACCTAGTCAACCTGCGGCTCTCCCTCCACCAGCTGCGCCGCTGGATGGGTTCGACCTGGCTGGGGGATTGGGCGGCAACGGGTCCGTGCACCTGCTGTTCAATCCGAAGTTTGTGGAGTGGTGCCATGTCTCGGACGGGCAGGTGGTGGATCTGGCGCTGCTGACAGCACCCTATGACATGGAGCTTGTTGCCAGTAGCTTAGGACTGGAGCTACAGCCAGGCGCAGCAGGTGGACAGCGCGAAGGGCCCGACAGTAGGACGGGGGAGGTTGCGCCGGCAGCGGTGACGTTGGGGCCCGCGATGCGCCTGGAGCTGCTGCGTCAGAGAGAATATGCATCGGCGTCGGCGGGTGAAGATGGTGGGCGCCTCGGTAATGCCACGACGGCTCCAGGCGCCGCTGCCAACTGCTCGGCACCAAACCCTCTGCTGGAAGCAGACAAGAACATTGCCGTGTTGCTGGTGGCCCCTGACGGGGTGAGCACTGTCCCGCTGGACCTGCGCTTGTTCGCGGATTACCAGGCGGCTGAGGTAGCGGCCTGGGCAGCTGCCCAGAAGTGCCAAAACAGCAGCCGCAGCAGCTCCACCGGCGAAAATGGCACCAGCAGCGGCAACAGCACAAGCGCCAGCGGCACTGGTGACAACGCTATCAACGCCGGCGCCAACAATGTTACGGGCAGTGGCAGCGCTGGCGGGAACAGGACTTCCTCGCCCACACCGTCCAACTCAAGCGCCGTTGCAATTGCGGCGCCGGTTCCCCCGCCCGCCCCGCCTACTAGCCAGGGGCCCGGCTCCATCAGCCACAGCTCAGTGTACATGGCGCTGCCGGGCCTCGCACCCATAGCCGCATGGTCTGCCTGCCAGCCGTGCGGCCCTGGCAGCTTCAGCAACACAACAAATGCTACCGTGTGTCAGATATGTAGCCCGGGCTCTGCCAGCAACGGTACCCACAACAAGGAGTGCGCACCGTGCGCTCCCGGGACGTTTACAATGCAGACGGGAAGCTCTTCTTGCAGGTACGCATCTCCGGCACAGCTCCATGCTGTTTGGGGGCACACAGCTTCATATTTATTGGGTTTATCCTGCTGACGCTTCAAAGCATAAACATCTTCAAATGAGCCCATATACAGATCTATGACCACCTCGTGGCTTCATATTGTACCTGCAAATTATGGTACTCTTCATCCGTCCTCTCCGTCGCACCCCACCTCGTCCCCCCGGCCTTCCTTGTCCATACGTGCCGCTGCAGGCCGTGCTACGCTGGCAGCTATGCCCCTCGCTCCGGCTCCACCGTGTGCACCGTATGTCCCTTGGGCACCACCTCTCTAATGGACGGTGCCCGGGAGTGCGTGGTACCGCCACAGCCTTCCAAGGGCGACACGGCACTGGTGGTGTCGTTCCAGGTGCTGCTTATCTCCGCGGGTACCAGCTCTGCAGAGCAGGCGGCCCGAGCCACAGGCATGTCCGATGCGTCCGCGGATTCAATTTTCAGGATGCTGATTGCGGCTGATACAGCGGCGGCGCTGCGCATTCCGCCCACAATGGTGAGGAGGGCTGAGGATAGGGAGGAGGATGCAGAGGAGGGTTGGGTTGGGTCTCGCAGGGTGCAGACGGGTCTCACACAGGTGACTCAGGCTGTGTGGCCCCTAGCCAAAGCATATACACACGTACGACCACATTCCACAGGTTTATTGTCCACTGTGGCGAGAACCCCAGCGTACGCCAGCAGGGCCTCATGTCAAACTACCCCACCAATCCCTCAACACGTGTCCCGCACATCGCAGGTGCGTGTGAGGCTGATGGAGGTCAGCCCCTCCACCTTCCTCGTCAATGTCTCCGCCACCATGCCCTTCACCCAGGGGCCCAGCTCCGGCACCTCTACAGGCGCTGGCAGCGGCGGATTCCCAGCCGGCACCCCGGGAGACTCCCCTGAGATGGATGCGGACACACTGATCAATCGGCTGGTGGACAACCCAGACGACAGCTTTCCACGCACCAAGGAGGCCACTGGGGGCTCCCTGCAAGTGCAATACGTGCAGCGGCAGGTCGTCGTGTTGGATGAGGGAGCTGGCGGCGTCAACCCGCATGTGGTGATATGGCCAACGCTGGCGGGTACCGGGCTGCTGGTGGTGCTGCTGGGCTTACTGTTGCGACGCTGTTGCCGGTGGCGGAGGGCGCGCCTGGGGCTGAGCTTGCCGCCCATCTCGGACGCGCTGGGCAGGTGAGTGGCAGGCTGTGGCTGGGACAGTATTACGGTACGGACTAACGGCTGACGGAACAATCGGGGCGATCATGCTGGGAGGTAGATGTCCGTCGGGAATGTATGGGTGTTGGGCGGCAAGTGACGGTAATGGAACCCAGTCCGAGTGTTTCCAACATGGTCGGTCCTACAGGATAAGTACCGGCTCGCCTGTTTCCCTCCATGGATGCCTCACCCTTCTGTGCTACAGATTGTGCACCTGGAAACAACCTACCAGCCCACAGCCGGTGGCGTACTTTGGGTATGGCAGATTCCTGACGACGGAGCTTCAGGAATTGCCCTCGGGCCTGACGGCAACAACGCGTCATCGTCCTGGGCGAAGTAGTAGCAAATCTAATTTGCCGGTCCTGGCCTTGACCCTTGGATCTGGATCATCTGATACGCTTAATAATACCAACACCGCAACGGATCTGGACGTAATAGCTATGTACACTCGGGAGGCTTTGGCAGCAGCCCGAATATAATGGCAGCGTTGAGCTATGTACACGAGGCTTTGAATTCGTGCCTTGACTTTTGACAGCAGAGTGTTGCGACTCGAGAGCAAGTACGATCTTTACCTGACAATAACGTTGCTGTTTTCGCTGCTTGAAAATGCAACGTGTCTACAAGTAAACGAATGAGAACAGCTTGGATTACGGTTTATTTATGATCGGGGGGCAGTGTAGATAACATTATTAGAGTTTTCGTAACGATGCATGTTATGGAATATTGTATTATAATTTTGAATGACGAGTCAGTTTTATTATCTTTTTACATATTTGTCCTCGTGCAAACGCACCATTTCATTCATGGACGTTGCACTAATGGTATAGTATTTAAGTGTATAGTTCCTAATTCCTCTGCTTCATCGCCGTAACCACAACAGCCTGAGTGCTTAAGATGCACGGCAACGGAACAATGCCGTTGTGAAGGTAATCTCCTGGTTTGGAGACATCCGACTATCGATCTACACCCGACAGAACCAGCTTCGTTCTTGGCGTAAATTTCATGAGTCTCTTCGTATCTCTTCATGCGGACAGTCCCGAAAATAATCTTCTTGGACACGAGGTGCCAAGCCTGCCGTGTCAAAATCGCATCCTTTCCCTTCACCAGGCGATGTGGCGCCATTGCTCGCCAGCGTACACGGCATCCGGACCCAGTTCCTCCTCGATGCGCAGCAGCTGGTTGTACTTAGCATTGCGCTCAGAGCGGCATGGCGCGCCGGTCTTAATCTGGCCGGTTGCCAGACCGACAGCCAGGTCTGCAATAAACGCGTCCTCCGTCTCACCGGACCTGCAGCGCACGTGGACAAATGCGAAGCTATGATACAGTCTCATTCCTTCGTGCGAGTAAACACCAGCCTATGAGATTATGCACCTCACCCCGAGCCAGCAACAAGCCACACATTAAGGCAGGACGAGAGTTGCTCGGACCCATTTAGCTGTAATTGTGCATGACAGGCGCCTGGACGCCGGACATATCAACACGCGAGCTTTGCAGATATGCAAGGTCATATGGACCATGTTGTCTTCCCCAGCCCGGAGCACACGTACCGATGGCTCGTCATGACACCCCAGCCAGCCTCCTTGGAGATGCGAACAGCCTCGATGGACTCGGTGACCGTACCGATTTGGTTGACCTTGAGCAGCAGAGCATTGACCGCCTTAGCTTCAATGGCCTTCTTAACACGGACCGGGTTGGTTACCAGAATGTCATCACCCACAACCTGCAATACAATGCGAACACGCCATTGTGGCGAACCAGCAGGTCGCAAGAGGGAGAGACCATGATGGGCAGGGCAGCAGCTAGCTATGCCCACGTGGAAGGGCCTGTTGGGAACACAGGATAGGGAACAAAGCAAATCAAGTTCGCAGACGCAGACTTGGCTTGTAGGCTGCCTGGCACCTCTACCTTGAGCGCCAAAAGATTGACAACCGACCAGGCACACACCTGGCAGATGCTCTCTGCAGTGAGCTTGCCGCACGGCTCCCAGTCGTCCTGCTCGAAGGGGTCCTCAATAGTTACGATCGGATATTTGTGGCAGAACTCCTTGTACAGCTCCAACATCTGCTCCCTACGGGGAACCCAGTCAGGAGTGCCATACGGCTCAGGACAAAAAGAATGACGCAAAGCTAGCCGCCAGCGCCAGATGGGACACAGACAGGGCAAACGTGCATCACCCTACTCCACCTGGAGGGTACATGAATGCGCAAACCTCCCAACTCAGAAGAACTTAACTAAGCCTTTGAGGACTTCGTCACCCCATGAAATCTAGCAGCAAATATTCGGTAGACAGGATACCCAATGGACTCGCTGTCCTAGCCACGTGCACGGCGTGGTCAACTATACTTACTTCGTCTTCTTTTGGGAACCGTCGTTCGGCTGGTTCTTGAAATCCAGATCGTACATGCCGTCCTCGGTGTAAAACTCGGACGACGCAACGTCCATTCCGATCTTGACCTGTGCAACCACACCCCATGCATGCTTGATCAAAAGCTCTGTCAAAAGGAAACTGCCACACCTGCCAAACGATACCGCATATCGCCGCGAAAGGACCTGAGCTGCTGATACAATCTGAGCGGATTGAAGTACTTAATCATCCTAAAAGACGGTTGAAAAAGGACGCAACCCTGACACACCCTTACATTCACCTACGTACATTACATAGAGCACCCATCACCGCAAGCCCCGCGACCCGTGCCCATAGTCTATCAAGGCTAACCTTGCCGGTGTACCCGGCCTTCTCGATGGCCTCGTTGACGAGGTTGAGACCCTCCTCATTGGAGCCGATGTTGGGCGCAAAGCCACCCTCATCACCCACGTTACACGCGTCCTGGCCTGAGTGTCAGGATATATTGGATAAGAGAGTTAGGGTATGTGACGTAGGTAAGAGCTCACAGGCTTTAAACACGACGCGCCGAGTACTAGACCCAATTCCCAGTGTTGAACGCTACATAAAATCTTTCGCCACAACAGCCATGCCTTGGAAAACCAACATGTAGAGCTTCGCACTGCGGCCTTATGGTCCAGGACATTTTCCAGCATGCTCCACCCCTCCATGAACCCGTACATGGCACACCTCTAGCTCCCACCGACAGCGCCAATTCAATACGCGCCTTGGATTTCATAGTGCATACAGCTTCTAAATCCGCTTACCGTACTTAGACTTGATCAGGCCCTTCAGAGCGTGATAGACTTCGCAGCCCATGCGCATGGCCTCCGCGAAGCTTGAGGCACTGCAAAAGAAAGAACCACAAAACATAATTAAGGGTCCCATGAGCAGTGTCCAACATGTGACGTCGTGATTGTGAGTGGGTAAGCGGCTAGATGGCCATGTTGACACTGGACACCTACTCACTTCTCTCAAATGGCTGCTCAATGTGCACGAAACTACAAGACTATCAGCGATGCATGCACTGCAGATGGCGGCCCGTCTGTCTAGCTTCCATACACCCGGAGCACTGGCTTCGGTGTTGGAACACATGTCGTTAATTCCAGGTACACAGCGAAATGAAACTAAACCAATATTCATCGGACGCGCCATAGTGTGCTATTGAAAACCCGCAGACCACATCGTTGTTCAATTACCGAAGGACGACTACTTTGCTCCATTACACAGAAGGCTGTGCCGTAGCAAATCAGATACTATTTACCACGTGGTAGACCTAATTAACGCGGTGACCCGACAACGAAGCAACAGTAGAGAATATTCCCCTCACCCGACTGGCAGAATCATAAACTCCTGCATGGCCAGCGCGTTTCCGGCGTGGCTGCCACCGTTGATGATGTTGAAGGAGGGGACAGGGAGGATCTGCAAGACCACGGACGCGGCGAGTGAATTCGCATGACCACAGGCATTAAGAGACGAATTGGGAAACGGATTGGGAGAATTAATTGAACTTTACGACCAAGAAAGATTTGAAGCCAGTCATGATCTGCAGGCGACTAGTAGGATCCACACAGGTAACACTGATGGCCAAGTGAAGCGTATCCACTCATTACAAGGTTACAGCACTCACTACCCCCAACCTGAGCCGACAATGAGTACCGCACAACGGGACGCGTTGCACAATTGCTCACCAGCTTGCCGTTTCCGGCCAGGTCAGCGATGTGCTTGTACAGCGGCACACCCTTCTCAGCGGCGCCAGCCTGAAAGGGAAGTATTCACAGGGTCAAGGGGATCTCAGACCGTAGGATGGAACAAGGGCTGCAATGACAGTTAATTATTACCATAGATTAATCGGCTCGATCCCTGACCTTGCGATCTTCCTACCAGACACTCCTTACCTTGCAGACAGCAATCGAGACGGCCAGAATAGCATTAGCACCCAACTTGCCCTTGTTGTCCGTGCCATCCAGCTCCTTCATCTTGTTATCAATCTCAGTTTGATTGGTTGGATCCATACCCTGCCCGACAAGAATTACAGCGGTGTAACGCACGACGTGGTAAGGCGGTGGGCACGCGGGACGCGGAAATACCTAATGGCAGCAGCTACCGAAGGCAAAGAGGACGACAACCTCACCTTGAGCGCCGGTGCGATAATCGCGTTGATGTTCTCAACAGCCTTTGACACACCCTTGCCGAGGTACCTGGAATTAAGCGCATGCGAGGTCAGCGGGCGATTTGGGTTTCGGGTAAATATCCATGCCGATTGCACCTACTTGGACTTGTCCCCGTCCCGGAGCTCCACAGCCTCGTGAACACCAGTCGAGGCACCACTAGGGACAGCAGCACGGAACATGCCCTTGCGAGTAAACACATCCGCCTCCACGGTAGGGTTGCCGCGGGAGTCGATGATTTGACGGCCTACAACCTTAACTATCTCCGGCGGCGAAAGCTGCTGAAGGGCCTTGGCCTGCGTAAAATTATCATATATGGCAGAAACAGGGTCAATAACGCATTAGAGACGTGTCGGAACCACGTCCTGGCCAGGACGCCTGTGTCAAATTAGTGATCAAAACGCACCATAAAAGACAAGGGCTCCTCGGGCTTCTCCTTAACACAGAGATTCAGAACCTCCTCCACCTTCTTCTCTAGGCCATGCTTCTCAATGTACCTGTGCGGCAACACAGCGCGCGGAGGTGACCCAATGCCGGATGCTTCCGAGGGAACCGCGAGCATGCAAGGGCGAGCGCTACCATCCCCACAGTGAGGATAATTGAGGATTATCCGTCCTGGCGAGGGCACCACTTACTCCTGAACGGACATTGTGACGCGCGAGGAGTTGGCGACGGCTGCGCGACGACTCTTGGCAAAAGGGACAGAGGAAGCAGCAACCCGTTTACACTGAATGAAAGAACAGCAAGGTATGGCGCGCGAGCATATCATTTACCACGGCCGACACATCGTGGGCATTATTGTCCTTTTGGGGAGTGTCGTGCAGGGCCCTGCTTTTTCGTGCAGTCACACAATTCAACTATGCCAACCACTTAAGATAGCCTATAATTTCAGGGATAAGGACTACTTCACGTGTTTCGCATGCGCGTCTTGCCGACAGTCGGCGAAGGAAAGAAACGCTCACGCGTCCCATCCGTAGGCGTTGGAAGCTTGCGCGTTGGTGTCACGGTTTCAACAGCTATTGTAATAAGCTTTGTAAACACCTGCCACTTCAGCGCCGCTCTGTAGGCCTTTTGGAACGCAAGACCAAAGGAGGTGTTGCATAGGATGTCTGCACCGTTGTGTACACTGAACCTTTGCCGAGCAAGGCGTTGGGAATATGTCCATGTCTTCTAGCCTTTTATGCATCGGCATATTAGGCTGCTGAATTTCGTAGCTTTGAATTGCTGGACCTCAGGTAGGCTTCTCTTGCACGGGCGGGTCCCGACACTACGAGGCAACGAGACTCGTATATTCGGAACTGCTAGCATGAACGCTGTGCACAGGCGATCACTTCGATCCATACTAACGAACAGCCCCGAACACTTGGTTCTAAGGACTGATGCACGCCATTTCACATTGCTTCCGTATAAGGTAACATATCCCTCCTTACAACATTTTCGGCCCGACTATTCGCTATAAAGCTGGTTAGGTGAGGTAGACGTCTCGAACATTCCCCTCATCCCTCCCTAGGTGAACACTCTTAGAATCTGATATGTATTGATGATACTCCATGAGAAACCTATCATAATTGCGTTCTTTGCGAGCCATCAATAGCGGCTTTTGCGCATTCTTGTGTACTACGTGCATTCTGGTCCTAGTTGTTGTGCACTTCCGCCGGTGGTGCCTACAAGTGCATGCCTGCGGGATGATGTATGATCCAACTTGAGCTGCCTGGAGATGGTTTGAATTAATTAACATCTGCCGTGCTGATGTGCGCCGTTCGCTCATTCTCCGCATCGCAAACTTTGACTATTTACATGTGAGCGAAAAACGTGGTATAGATATACGTAAGTTAGGACTACGAGAAATCAGATAGGCTGCTATTGGGAAAGGAACATTCAGCCGTCCAGAAAATACCAGTGCTTACTTCAATCCTAACCAACTAGGGTCCAGAAATGGCGGATGATAAGCCCGCTGAGGTAGAGGTAGCAAAGGCCACTGAAGAGGTGTCAAAGCACGAGGACCGAACCGCGTCGGCTAGGAAGAAGAGTCTGGGGGGGCTAGACACCTCCTCAGTGCTTTCGGGGCCGCGTCAGCGCAAGAAAGCGGAGCACTTCCAAGTGGAGGTCAAGGAGAAGCCGGAATTCGTGATTAAAGCGGTGAGCTGTCTACCAAACGCGTATTGAGAGTCGGATGCGTCGGTCAACGCAAGTCGCCCGCCCTTGCAATTATCTTGCGTCTAATAGGGCAAAGGAACAAAGCTTGGCGACATTCCCAATGGTAAGCTGACTAGTAAGCCTTCTGCGGTTTTGGAGTGCACTGAGTGCTCATACGCCCAACAGTCCATTACCTTCTGGGGAAGCTAAAGACCGATGACGAACTTGTGACAAGCTTGCACAACCTGCTTTTTAAGCGCCCGGGGACGGTGAGTTTGAGGCGGGGTCGGGGCCCGTGCACAAAGAGTGCTACTTTTTAGCTTTGCCGTCACTGTCCTTTGCAGTCGCACCGCCGCAAGAAGAACTTGTACGAGTTCTCCGGCTTGAGTTTTGATGACGACGAAAAGGTGCGGTGCCGGGACGCTGAGGTGTTTCCAGCAGCTGTCATACTTGTCCCCGTGTGCAGCAGCGGCTGTGAAAAGGCTGTGTGCCGCTGCGCTAAGTTTTCGCGGCGAAACCCCCTTCGCGCTCCTTATGCGTTTTGACTGACCTCTTGGACCATCAGGAGAAGGAACTCGAGAAGCTTCAGGAGCGGCTGGGCAAGTGGACGATCCGTAAGTGGTTTGCAAAGAGCTACTAAGCCCCAATTTGAACAAACCAGTGGCAGTTACAAGTTCTCCGGTACACTGATGGATGGTAACATGAGGGTTTTGATGTATCGTTGCTACCCGTAGCGCTGCTGAACGGCGCTCTGGACGTCTTCGAACTGCCCCGTGGGAATGGCGACGAGGGAAAGAAGGTAGGAGCGATACAGTGTCCCAGCCCGTGCAGCACATGCACACAGGCCGCATCCTTGTGTACGTCTGGCCATGCCTCGGCAAAGCCAGAGCATGTACACCCATAGCCTTGCAACGTGCTTTGGGCTCGGGATGGTGCAAGTTTCCACTTCGTGGTTAATGACGCCGAGTGTTTCGGATGTTGGTGTATCAGGAAGCCAAGGTGGAGAGGCTGCTAAAGTTCTTGGAGGAGCCGAAGAAGCTGTCCGAGAAGGATTTGGCGGCGGAGGTATGTTTGTGAAATGCGTGCTTCAGGTTGTCCTTAACGAACAACAGATCTTGGCCGAGGGTTGGGGCATAGTCACGATGAAGCTCGCGTTTTACTGGGTCGATTTTGCATTGGTGTATCCTCTGAGCGTGATGAAGCGAGGGGCAGTTGCAATTTCTTGCATTTATCAGCCTGTGCATCGTGTGTCCTTTGTTGAACCTTCACACCAGTCCCCCTATTGTGCAATACGTGTTTAAGGCCCTCAAGAAGAAGGACGCTGTCAAAGCTAAAAAGGAGAAAGAGCAAAAGAGCAAGACGCCGAAGTCGGCAGCCAAGGGTGCCAAGAAGTCAGAGGGCGCTCAAGAGGTACGACATTTATAGAGCCTGCATCTATGGAAGAGGCCTGTCCTGTATTTTTGTTTGGTGAAACTGGCCAGTCACTGCTTTGAGTGTCGACCTCTATGAAAGCCGTGGTAAACGGCTGGTGTTGCTTGTCTGGCCTGCCGCATGCAGTCTGGGAAGAAGAAGCGCACCAAAAAGGCAGAGTCTGACGAGGAGCCGGGGGAGGCGGCTTCGGAGGAAGAGGAGGCCGAGGAGGAAGAGGAGGAGGCACCCGAGCCAGAGGAGCAACCCAAGAAGCGTGCTAAGAAAGCTGATGTCGGACTGGCGAAGAAGGCGACGGAAAAGACCCCATCGCGGAGGGCGTCCGGCAGGAAGGTGAGAAAGCTGACGCGTCTGTGAGGATCTGACCGTGTGGTGTTCTGGCTTACACGTCCCGTGGCACGCTACAGCGCAAGGCGGGTGAAGAAGAGGCAGCGGAGCCAGTTCTGGCTGAGGAAGCAGACGAGGCCGACAGCAGCATTGAGCTTCCAAGTGATGAGGAGATTAAGGAGGCTGCCATGGAGCTGCTCAAAGGTTAGTGCACGAATTCATGTCTTTTGCGCCTTGAGGAAAGTTGCGGCGTCCTGTGTGGTGTAATTCCTGGTTATTTATCAGGGTCATCGTAAGCCGTGGCGCTATTCCATGCTGTGCAGTGTCCGATGTCGACCAAATCACCGTAAAGATCCTGCGAAAGCAGCTTGCGGAAAAGTTTGGAGTGGACTTGTCAAAGAAGAAGGCGCTCATAAAGCGCTTCGCGTTCGAGTACGCCAAGGCGACGAAGGCTGCGGCACCAGAGGAGGCAGGGGACGAGGGTACCGGTGAAGGTGTTGAGGAGGCAGTCGCGGGGGACACCGCGCCACCCTTGAAGAAGCAGAAGAGCGATGTGCCGGAGGAGGGGTCGGGTGATGCGGACGCCATCGATGCAGAGCAGGTGGGAGCTTTCTTGCCTTCTTATCAGGGATGTCTGCGCTGTACACACCTAGCGATTATCCGTGTGCTAAAGTGTTTTTTGGTAGAATGTTAAAACACAGTTTCTCAAGCATATCAGTTGGACTTTCATTTGCACTAGTGCCACTGCAGAAGCGGTGAGCCACTTGCTAACTTCTCTTCACCTCTAACCCTTGTTTTGATACGGTGTTGTCCTACAAGGCATCGGGTGCGGTTGACGCCGAACCAGCGGCTGAGCCGGAGGATGCCGAGCCAGCGGCTGAGCCGGAGGATGCCGAGCCAGAGGCCAAGGAGGCCGTAGCTGATGATGCAGCTCATCCCGAGAGTGCTCAGCCAGAGGACGCCGAAGCGCCAACCGCTGACGCCACGGAACCGGACAAACCGAAGGAGGCAGATGTTGCTGACAGCCAGGCGGCCGAAGCAGCAAACGGGAAAGCGGCCGGGGCTGGCGATGCGGAGGATCAAACTTAATGGATTTATGAAAGGGCGCGTAGGGTTTCCAACTTGCGTTTGGGACCTGCTTTGCAAAGTTGGATGACATGTTGAGTTTGACCGGGGTGTTGGAACGGTTGCGAACGGGATTTAATGTATTCAAATGAACGCCTGCATTGCGAACGCTTTTCGTGGCAATAGACAAGCATCATGGGGTCTCCTTGGGACGTATAGGAAAACGTGGCAGCGGCTGCTATGCTTGGACAGAGTACGGGCACGGCCAGGACTTGCATGTCCTTCATGGCTTGCTTGAACGCAGCTCTTCTACCAACCTGAGCATGGCTTTGTAACGAAATGATGGGATATTTAGTACTTTAAATGTAAGAACATATGTACGCCGATTTCACTCCAGGCAGGAGATAGTTACACGTGTTTATCCACACGTTATCAGATGCGCAATTCATTGAACCCGCGGGCACCTGAGTTCTACACTCCTCCCAACAGCTCAGTTGTATGTTGGCCCCCGCCAGTTCACCCGTCCACATTTAGATGCCCAGGCAGGTTACAGGGGTCGCGCTATGGCCCGCATGGATACCCCAGCTGCGTACGGCTTGTTGGACTTAAAAGAAGATGACTGGAGGGAGCTAGCTCCACGTTGGCCATCCGTCAGCCGAACGCCCTGAGCCTGGTTCATCGCTCGCACTGCCTGCTCCGTTAGCGCTGAGCTGCCGCTGCCGGTTGCGGCTGCTGTAGTTCCCGATCCAACAGCAGCCGATGGCGGCCCACCATTCGGCTCAGAGCCAATGTCCTGTCTGCTCCCTGGAGCTGAAGCCGGGCGTGACCGTCTCACCGGCTCCCCATTAAGGCTTTCGTTACTCCAGCTCCCGGGCTCCCTCCCGTTGCCGCTTCCATTACTGGTGGTCCCCCTGCTGCCGTTGTCCCAACCAGCGCTTCTTTCGCTATGACCGCTGCTGCCGCCATCCTTACCGTTGCTGCTCTCAGCGCCCGTCCCCTCAGGGGCCCATGCCTCCCGCGGTGGGGTGGGCGCGAATCGAACCCCCAGGCTGGCCGTAGGGCCTTCGATTCGAGTCCGACTCGCAGCACCACCGCGCGGAGACGCGCTGCTCGGCCCCAGGTACCCGGTGCCAGGCGTTGTATTGGTAACACTTCCTGATCGTGACCCGGCGCTGCTAGGTGCCCCGGGTTGCTTATTGCCCGCCTGCTCGGCCTCTGGCTGCTGCTTTGGGGCCGCCATTTCCGCCAAGGTGGGCAGCGCGTGTGCAAGGGTCCTGCCCGGCCGCGTGGTGATGGTGTTCAGCATGTCGCCATGGAGGGCCGATGCCAGGAAATGGCGTTCCCGGGCAAAACTGCGTTGCTGCTGCGAAGATGTGGCCTGCAAAAGGGGCAAGTCCAGCCATTTCCAAATTAGTTAGTCTTCGTCAGCCAAGGCAACCACCGGGCAGTATGTCCGAGAATACAGCAGCGGCAGGTAGCGCCATGATGTGACGACTTTGGAAGGTGGTGGTATTCGGATTTGTCGTACTGCAAGACTACAGAGGAAAATGCGCCACTTGTGGTCCTAAAATGCCGGGTCCAAATAACTCCATCCCCGAGCTTTCCAAAACCTTACAGAACAAACATCGGGCATAATGTGTGTAAAAGTAATGTTTTGACATCGGCCTGCGCTTAGCCGCGTGCCTAAACAAACCCAGCAACTTCTTCGAGCGCAACCCCGGTGCTCTATGCAAACAGCATCATAACTGGACCCAGACCCGTACATAACACCCAACCCACGCACACACGGCCACACGCACTCAATCCATAGCGCCCGCCGGTACGTACCTTAATCTTCCGCTGCAGCTTCTGCAAATCGACGTTCCGTGCCGCCTCCACGTCTCGTAGCCGCACGTCCAATCGTCCCTGTAGCACCTCCAACTCCCGATGCTGCTTCGCCAGCAGCCGCTCCTGCGCGCTGTGACATTTGAGCAGCCAAGACATGTGCGCACTGCAGGCCTCGGAGTTAGCCAGCTCGTCCGCGTGGGCCTTCACCTGACGTCGTGGGTCGAAATGGCGGCCAGGCAACGCACGTTCACAGTACTTCCATTAAGGGTTGCATCTGGTTGCAGGGTTAGATGTGAAGAGCACGGAGGTGAGCGCGAGGGGGCCGAAGCATGTGATCCTTGCTCTCACCTTGGCCGCTTCATGGAAGTTGTTATTCGACGCCAGCACGGACTCGCTGCGGCGTAAGTTGAGCAACTCCTTGTTTCGCCGCTCAGGGCGAATGCCCGCGTCCCGTGCCTTGGCCACCTGCGAGCACCCGTAACAGCACCAGCCCGCCAGCACCCCCATACATCAAAAATAGTTATGCTCTTGTCTTGTCTGCCGTCATCGTCGCGAACCCGACATGCAGTGCAAGCGGAAAGCAATCCGGCACGCAGCTTCCTTTAGCCGTAGGGGCACCATAGGCACTTGCCGAAAGCAACCTGAGGCATCGCAGCCCCTTCTGGGACAGCTTCCTGCCGAATCTGGGAGCCGCATGCATACGTGCTGCTGAGCAGACATGCAACCCCACCTCCTCTGCCGTCCCAGTTCCCTAGCCCTCCCCTGCACCGCTCTCCTGGTAGAGGAAACCCAGCCATTGTTTTGCACATCAGAGCCCGAGGTGCAAACCCCCCATTCCTTCAGTCAGTCAACTCCAACAAGCTATTTGCACTGCACACCCGACCCATATGGTACCTGTTCAAGCCTCATCTTGTTTAACGCCTCTTCGTGTTTCTCTTGCAGCTCCCGCACTGCCGCAAAGGCTTCTCTCCGTAGCTGGTCCAGGTGCACGTTCCACATGTTGTCCACAGCGGTGAGGGCATCCAGCGCGGCGGAGTCCGTCTGCACCTGCACGTGAGACTGACCCCGCCGCAAAGCCTTCGCCGCGGGGAGGACAGTTGCACGCACACAAGGGCAAGTGTCTGCAAGAGCCGCGGTTCTATGGGTTGGGAGGAACAGATATGACCCGTCTGTGTCGTGCGAGGCGCGGGAATGTGTGTAGGGTCCAGGGGTTGCAGGTGGCGGAGCGGGAGGGGGGGGGAGTGCAAGGACAGGGAATGGACTTGGGAGCGCGGGGAAAGGGGAGGGACTGCCGTACCGCGAAGGTTTGTGTTCAGGGGATTACGCAGCTGACGACGCATTCGGTGACTGACGAATGATGAATACAACAAAAATTTATAACACCCTCGCGCGTATCAGACGGATGTTCGATAGGACGGGCATGGACGACTGGTTTAGAGCTATTGTGGAAAGAAGCACGAAAAGCATCCAGGTGGCCAGGAAAATGCGTTCGGGAAGCACGGCCTGGCACTTATAAGCACAAAAGGCATGGCGAATGAGATGTATATCATGTTTCAGGGTTTGAGGGCCAACATTTTTTGTCGAAGCTCGGGTCATTTGGCGTGGGGGCCCAGCGTGGACAGCAAAACCCTAAGCTTCCCCACCCTTCCCGTTTCACCTTAACGGCGCCAACTGACTCCTGCTGCTTCCGGGACAAAAGTATGTCCTGGGCCGCGCCAGCCATGTCGTAGTGCGCCAACGTCTTCGCTTTGGCGCGGATGGCTTCCAGCTCGTTCGTCGACCGCCATGGCGCTGCGACAGCAGCGATGAGCTCGGGGGGCAACTTTGATACTGCCTTTGGTTGAGAGTCTGATATAGGTGCGTACCAGTAGTTCATTTTCACAATGGTTCAGGCCTTTAGACACGTTGGGCCATCCATTGCCGCGGTTACAATCCAGACAAGAAGGACAAAACGCGTAATTACACTAAGCGAGAGTACATAAGTTACAGCTCATAGATTTTGAAATTTCCAAAAATATGGGCTGGTGTATCCTGTGCGTTTTAAAAGTTCACTTGCACTGCCGTACTTTAACCGCCGCCCGCCCAACGACAATCATGCAATCCACTAGCGATACGTCATGCTAATCTATTAGGCTATTAATGAAAGACCTGTGAAAGAGGACTTTCCCAATAGGAAATTTAGTTGGTAGAAGATGTCTGCAAGTGGAGCTAGGCCCAAGTCGGTCCAGGATGTTAGGAACCTCTTGTATAGGAGGTTTAGGGTAGGTTTTACTATTACTCGATTGCACTGCCATGGCTGTGAGCATTCCTTGAAGGTTCCTAGCCGATTCGGCCACACACGGTGTTCCCTGTGCTGTAGGTGACTCTAGTGTCTGGTCGCGTTCTGGAGGGGGACTTTACCTGCTTAGACAGGCAAGGAAACATCATACTAAGTAACACGTTTGAGCAAGTGACCACAGCACCCGGCAGGGAGGGAAGGCACATGGGCCTTGTGCTAGTCCCCACCAACCAGCAGCAAAAGGTCGAGCTTCAGGTGCGGCTACACTCCTAGCTTCCGGGGTCTTATGTCCCTTGAGATGGGAATTGGGATAGCCGACTTTTCTGCTGTGGGACCTAGACCTGCGGAAATAGACCTCCAGGTCTCCCAGTAAACCTGCATGCGTTTCCCGGGGCATCTATGGGGACCGCATCCCGCCCCGCAGGCAACTTTGGAGGAGGAGATGTCGATGTTGCAACTGGTGGAGAGCTACGCAGCAGCGCCACGACAAGAGGCTGTGGCTTAGGTATGCGGCTGTAGCATCTGGACAGGCATCCTACACGATGCGACGTCGACTGCGGCCATGGTCCGGCCGCCAGGGCCCATGGCTGCACCCTCGGATACCGTGCCGTCCCACGTTCATGTCATCTTGCATTCATATGGTATAGATGAGAGGACAAGTACTATATACATTACCTCCATCGTCGGGGGAAACATCGGGGGGAGCGTCTGCGCAGCTAGGCCATAAGCAGCCCGGGAGGACGACGATGTGCGCACTCTTGAGGCTCCAGCTGCCGGCCAACCCAGAACTGGCACCGCTTGCCCGGAATCTTGTGGGACGGCTCCAGGGGCTGCTTCAGGCGTGCCAGGGTGCCTGGGAAATAGCAGGGATGCTAGCTAATAGGGTCGGTGGGCGGCCGGGAGCACGAGGACATGCGGCGGTTGTGTACCTGGGTGACCATGCGGTGGTGACGTGTCCATGCGGTTCCGAAGCGAGACAGTGGATATAGGGGGGTTCGCAATGGAAGTTGGAACGGAGTCTGTTGCACGCTGGATAGGCGGATGGAAAGGGGTCCTCTACCGCATGTGGTGGGGAGGTTGGCACTGACAGGCGCTAGTTCGTGGGCTACAGCTTGGGGAGATTGGGGGGAGGGCTTGGGTGAGACAGCCCAGGGACCACTGTAAGCAGGTTCTGGCCATGCGCTCTAATACGCTGTTGGAGCTGTAACCACTGCCGTACCATCACGTCCGTATGGGCTCGGCCATAACAGATGGCCATACGACTTCGCAGCATGATTAGCTTAATGTAAGTTGCGGATGCTCAGATCGTCGATTAGTTTCAAGGTGATAAACGCCACATGCCGGTATGCCGGTACATGCAGGTGCGGCACCGTGCCGGCTGCATGGCTTACTGGTGCCCCGCCTGCGGCTCGCGAAATGTTCCTCTGCCAGTGTGCGTGTATGTGGCGGTGGGGGAAGCGGGTATCTGTAAACAACCCCCGAGTCTTGCCGGCCGAGGCCGGGGATGTTTGCCTTACAGTCAGTCCCTGCATGGCACCTGGGATTTCTGTTGACGGAAGGACACAGCCCCAAGGGCTGTGGGGCCAGCCCGCACAAGGCACCGGAGAACGCGGGCTTAGGGACCTTTAACCCCATGCCTTCACAAAGCACCATATCCATGGCAGGCGGCTGGCAGAGGTTAAGGCCTGGCTTCTGCTCCCGTCGCGTCCCAGCGCGTCCGGGTTCAAATCCGCCTGCCGACCTCTCGGGGTGTTTGAGAGGTGATGAAATGGGAGGTGGCCCCCCATCTTGTGGACGGTGTAGGACGTGATAAAATCAACTCGCGAGCTGACCAGGAACTAAGTTGACGCGCCGTTGATCCGCTAGATTTGGTTGGATGCTGGTGGTGAGTTGCCAAACTCAAAGAGTACACTCTGAAGTCGGATGGGGTGAATGGCTTAGGGTGCCCCTCTAGCAGGGGAGAGCAGGGAACTGCCTCGGGAAGGAGGCCACTGGTGAAGCTTAACCACCCTGTAACAACATCAACCATATCGCATGACACCACGTCATGTGTCACCGCCGCAGCAGTCCCAGAGACACCAGGCTGTCGTACAGCTGGGCAGGTGCACCGTGTTGGTGTTGGCTCTGCTGGTCGCATGTGGTCGCTGCTGCTGCTGCACTCGCGGCCTCCAGAGCCTGGCTGGCAAGAGGGGTGGTAGTGGCAAGAGGCCATGTGGGTAAGTGGCGGCATGCGGCTCCGGTCCATGTGATCATGAGCACCGGGTTACAAGGAGGTTGCAAGGAGAACTGTGCTGGGCCAACAAGGTGTCGAGTGCTCACGGTGTATGGCGCGCAGGCAGCAAATTTTGAAGTGGTTCGCAGTGAGCACTACTTGGGTGAGTGGCTTCTGGATACAGACTTGATGGAGGAGAGGCCATTTGAACAGATGGCTATTATACAGATTGGTTAAGCAACGCCAGCAAGCTGCAGCTGTCAAAACGATAGTGAGATGTGGCAGTGAGCAGGGATGAACTTCGAAGGTCGCCTGGGTGAGATTACGCTCGCGGTCCTTATACTTCCCCCGTGCCAGGTCTTCCGCGGGCTCTATTGGGGCGCTGCTCCCATCCGGCTAGACCGCCATACTGTAGTCCGTTCCTTGTGTAGTAAAACCCATTTTTCACACACATACACGTGGGTTTTAAAGACTTCACTTTCGCTTGTTGAGTAAAACAGTTACGAAGAAGCCAGATGTACATACAGCAGCTCTCAAGCGGCACAGTGCAGAGCAGCTGCGAGACGTCCTGAGGGCGAATGAGGAAAATGTACTGAAAAAAGCATCCAGCCCAACCGCACCATGGCAGTAGCACTCCCTTGATGACGCCGGGGCTACAGCTCCCCGGAAAGGAGAAGAAATCCCACGTGCGGCCCCTTACTGGTGGCCTTAGAGGGCGTACCAAACCCCCAACCCTCTTTCAGCACCTGTTGGAAAAAGGGCTGCATCTCCTCGGGACGCAGGTAGTGCTGCACCAGCGTATCGGGGCGGAAGATGGGGATGGGCCTGTACGGCCGTACGCGGTCGTCATGTACGGGCGTGACGGGTCCATCCTCCAGTATGCACAGTCCCGGGGGGCCGCACAGGTGAATACCGAAGGGCGGGTCCTGCCCGGTAGGCAGTGAGCGAGAGGAGTGGTCGTACATCAGCAATGGTGCATGAATGCAGTGCACGAGTCCCGTCAGTCAGTCCGTGTCAGACCGGGGGAGGAAGTACGGGGCACCGGGAAGACACAGCCCCCTTTATGAAATGCAACGCGGGAGGGGCCTGAGGGAGGAGACGTGGGGCGTGTGGGCCAGAGGGGACAGGAGCGACAGGACCGCCATGACACAAGTATGCGCCGACCGCTACCCGCTTAGCCTTCTCACGCCTCGAGGTAATAGAAACCCGACGTGTTGCACGGAGTATGGAGTGTTGCAGCCGTTACCTGCGCAGCTAAGCCCAAGCCCCACACCTCCCTCTCCCGCAAGGGCCATCCCGCCGCCCACCAGCAGCCGGTAATCGGGAAGCGGAGCTGCCACCAGCGCCCTCACAAGGTCCCGGGACAGTGCGAACCCGCAGCCGCTGGCGAAGGGCGGGTAGTAATCGAGCGAGTACTGCCGCACGGAAGGGTGAAGGGACGGAGTGGTGTGGGTCATCCCTCATGCGAGCTGGAGGATGGAGGGGAAGTAAACCAGATGATGATGATGATGCAAGAAACAAGGATTACTTGCCGATTGACGTCCAAAGTGATGTGGGAGAAACGGCCTGGGGGCCCCCGAACGGGGCTCCCGGACGCATGCACCCTGAAGACGGTTAGTACGAGCCCTACGAGGAGCCCTACGAGGCAGCTGCATACAGTGGTCACATACTTGGATGGGGCGGTAACGAGGGCTTCCCGTATGCACCGGAGCTGTGCAACGAGTTGTTTTTGGGAGCTGCGTATCTATCTAGTGCACGAGCAGCATGATGTATGATCCCTCGGCACCGGCGTCCCTTGCCAACTCAGGTTGCCCGGAGCCACCGGAGCGCTTCCGTGTGCATCTGGCAGTTCGGGTCAATAACCCGCAGTAATGCGAGCACCGGACGAACCATTCGCCGCAGCACGCCGGCGCAGGCCAGGCCAATTGGAGTGTGGGCAGCGGCCGGCAGCGCCCGTCCCGGGCTCCCCTCAAGGCCGCACCTGCTCCTCAGGCATGTACGACTTATTCGCCGGGTTGCGGATGGGGGCCGTGACCCGGTTGCCCGTGCCGTCCCAGATGTAGCCCCAGTACAGCCGCTGACGAGGCCAGTGCATCTGAAGCAGCGGCAGTAGCAGCACCAGTAGCAGTAGGAGCAGCAGGCGACAACACAGCGGCGCCGGATCAGCATCACCCCATCACCTCGTCAACATCACACCAAGGCATTTGGAGGCGCATCCATAGGAACAGGGGACTGCTGCTGTGGCAACTCCTACTGTCGTAATGTTGAATACGTGGCACGTCGCGAGTGGCAGCTTTGATAAACTTCCATCCACGGGAGAACCCTATGCCCCTCAAGTGGTGCTACCGTAGCTGCCGACTCCTTTGGCTTGGCATAACTGTCCTCAGCCTCATCACTATTCTCATCATCAATCATCAACCTCCATTTCAACCAGCCACACCCCACAGCCGCCGGTCGCACCAGGAGCGGCACCAGCAGATCCAGGCGAACGAAGCTGTCGTCATCTGCATGCATGACGTAGTGATACTCCTCGCCGTTACCCGTGGCACGTTGCTCCAGCCAAGACAAGAACGCCAGGGCCTGCAGCGGCAGCAGCAACAGCAGGTCGTTAGGCCGTCAAACAGGTAGGACAGATCGCTGCTACCATGCTGCCGACCGGGTGGAACCGTCTCCCTCCTACCCTTTCCCCCTGGATTTCAATTACTCTACAACTGCAGGATGATGGACGAATGGTGCGGAGGGCAGGGGCTCTGGGGCTTCGTCAATTAGATACCTTCCTCCATAAATTCTGGTAGCCTTGAGGGGCATCGACGTAGACGATATCGCCATACTGCGTCTGCGCAAGTAGTTGGGTCAGCAGTTGCGCAGCATTGGGGAATAGGTCGCTTAGTCGTCGTCCTGCGTGTCAGCACGCACGGACATGAAATGCGCGTGAAAACCACGCTGCACTCGCGGCAGGATGGTCCTCGGTCCAACCCTTCCCAATATTGAGTGGGTGGGCCATTGCGCGACCCTGGTGAGACCGAAGGCGATACCTGTGTGCATGGCGAGGCACCCAACGCTCAGCGCGTCAAGGTCTCCTGCCCTGCTCTAGCGCCCTACCTCCTCAGATGCAAGCTCTTCAGATTGATCTTCCAAAGACATGACAAATTTAATTGTCACATTCTTGCGGTATCGCTGAGGAAGTGGACTTGAATCTTCAAGGTACCGGAACCAGCTGATGGACGTAGGCAAGTCGTTTATAACTCCCACATCGTTGCACACAATTAATCGCCTAACGCATTCACCTTCTCCTTAAGGAATGACGGCGTGTCACATTCCCAGCTGCGCTACTGATGAAAATGCACAGCCACGGCACAGGAGTTGCCGAAGCAGAGGGCTCATCGTCGACATCCATCTGTGTCAGTAGTTGCCACGCTTGTAGAGATAAAGTTCCTTGATGTTCAACTTTCACAAAGGAGGATTCCTTCAGCGGCGCGGCCACATCCCCAACCCAACCGCATATGCTGTCTAGGCGCGCTTGTCAGGAATGCTAGGTTTACTTATGTTATTCGTTAAGGATAAAGATACAAGAACTATCTTCTCATGTGCCCTGTCCATGCGGCCCATGCGGGTTAGAGTAACGCCCAATGACTACCGGTACTGCAACCTTCATTACTCATTCCCGCATCCCACTTCACGCACGATATCGCAAAGCTGTAATCCCGCAGGCTCTTCTGACTTCTTCCTTTTCGACCTGAGTCCGGTCCACATTTCTTCAGCTTTTACATGGAGCCATGCCCAGAAAGGCTGATGTGAACCGCCTCATCAGTATGCCTTCGGAGCCGAGGTGGTGTACATCGTTTAAACCCGCTGTCTTTCAAACTAGCAGGGTCAGCCAGTAGCCCAATTCCATAGATGCATGTCAGCTGTACCAAAGTTATAACAACTTCCCAGGCCTAGGCGCCTGGGCCTCTGCACACATGTGACATTTCGCAGCCCTATTCCACGGCGGGTACGTGCCACTTAACATGGCAAGAGCGAGCCCACGTCCTGGGCATAGTGGAACAAGCGCCTTTTGCTCGTGCAAACTGCGTGCTGCAGCCGTACAGTGGCAGATATGGTGCGCATCAGGTGAAGACCTGGGAAAAAGCGTAGACTTCTCGTTGCGAGAAGGCGGGTTCTTGGACGAAGACGTTACTCGTTGTACTTGTCGTACTGTTTCAGTATGGATATTACACTGAACTGCGTTCTGTTTTGGCTATTCGCCGTTTCGTGACCTTAGGTTCATACTGTCATTAGGGCAGACGAGGAGGAGGGATGGATACGCTTATATGCAAATGCCCGGTACTTTCCGGGGGTTTCGGCCCTGTTCGTGTTGATGTCCGAGCTCTTGGTCTTTTTTGGTCTTGGGGGCAATATGCCAGTGGTTCCCGTTTTCTTTGGGGTGGTTCCATACTAGGGCATCCCTGGCCTGCTCCACCTTTGCTGTTTCCATAACCGTACACTCAGGAAAAGGAAGGCAGGAGGCAAGGATGAAGCTTTATAAACTGCGATCATAGAGACCATGCCAGCGGTCGATATTGCTTTGACGCCCTGATCCCGAGTTTAGATTCCTTTCCAGCTAGGTGCCTTTATGAGCCAACGGCAACTGCCCGCTCCATTGTAGCCGAGACGCGCTCGTAGAATTTGATTCCTTTTCTGTCTGCTTCTGTCTACGTACTATGGGCTCACAATCCAGGACAACACTCTGGCGACCTAGACTCTGCACGTTGCCTTCCACACAGCACAGCTCAAAGCATGCTTAAGTCACCTGGATCTTAGGAACGGAAAGGACGCCTGTGGTGGCTCGGTTCTCATATCGGTCGCAACAACGCGTGGAAATTGCCCGACCCTTGGGTCAGCAGAAACACACTTGAACACTGGCAGCAAAAGCGTTGAATAAAAATTACTTGGAGGAATTTATAATTAGATAAATCGGCATGAATAGCATCATGTTTCAGTATCATGCTTCCCTAGCTGCGAAGCTGCTACGTCGAAACCGTACCCTACCGTACAGGCATTCGTTGCTATACTCAAGCAATTCGTCACGGAGTGCGGAAAATTACACCAGGTTGAATTTATACAAGAGTTTGTGTGCAAGAGTGGCAGCCCAAGAGTAACTTCTTGTCCTTAGACCGAATTTACCTTTCATAGCAATAGTTAGTTCCCATATATTTACCTTATGAGCAAATATACATAAGACTAGCTTATTATCACTCCAAAGTTTATGCTGTAGATTAGTTCCTCAGCCTCGCTGTGCTAACCGGGTTAACTCTGAATCATGCAAGCATGGGAGGAGCCATCACCACCAGGTGTGAATCAAGGCATTAATAAACAAACAAGCATTTGCATCGGCGATAGGTGTATACCCGCAATGATGGGCGAAACTCTCCGCGTTGCAGCGTTCTACGATACGGACGCTGGCCACAAGATGTCACTTGCAAAAGGAGTATCAGGTAGGTATCAGCCGTCCGAAGGTATGCGCATGTTGCCGCGCCTCGTCCTCATGGCCTCCCCTGTCGGCCCGCAGTGTCACCGCATCGATACTCGGTTATGAGGTCGAATGCTCCACGCCTGGCAGAGGCGCCCCGGGAAGTGGTCCCCTTTGGCGCCTATGACATCGACACCGGACGGAAACAATCCGTAGAAAATAGTTGCAGAGGTGGGTTATTGGCATGGACAGCATGAACTACCGGCCCGGTCTGCAGTCGTGGCCACGGCGCACGGCAGACTTCGGTCAGCGTACCGACACGTGGTTGGGCTGGGAGGGAGCCGTCCGACGGCACAAAAGTCAGATGGATGCTGCAAAAGAATTGTGTAGGATGAACGACACAACAAAGTTGCATATGCGTACGGATGCACACAAGCTATTACCTCGGCTATACGCGGCAGTATTCTCGGCAGCGCTCGGGGGTTACTCGCATTGACGATGGACCGGCCCTCGTCGGATCACGCGCCGTGCTGCGCTGTGTCGCGACCATGACCGAAAGCAGTGGCTGCACCACTCTTGAGACCTACATCCCAGGTGGCACATGTGGGTTCCTTAGCCGGGTTTGCCAGCACCGGCCGGGGCCTCTTTACTGCAGCCGCGTCAGCTGCGTCATCGTCGTGTTAGAGGCGATTGGTCCATCCTCCCCCACCTTAGCTGGTGTGTTGTGCACTGCCGGACAGCGCATGCATGCCTGCATGTATCTGTCTGCACGGCGACCGGGATGCACACACTTGAACTTGAACCAAATGCCCACAACGTGTCTGGCCCCCTCGTGCTGTCGTGCCTTGCTGTTGCAGACTCCCGGCGGTTTTACGCAGCTGTGTTTGAGAGCCATGTCCCGCGCTTCACGAGGCCTTGGAGCTCGCCCGTCACGGACGTGTTTTACGACCCGGAAAGGTGAGTGGGACATGAGCTGGGCGGAAATCTCCCCACCCAGGGTGTGCATCAGAGGGTCACTGAGCTCGGGAAGGCATCGTTAGCATTTGGAGTTGAAAACCCGCTGTGTATTCCCGCTTTGGGGGCCCTGGGCAGTAGTTTTTTAGCCGGTAGGGGTAGCCGGTAGAAGGGGTAGAAGGAATCGCCCAAGTGTCAGAAAGGGCTAAAGGGCGGACCCGGCCCAAGGAGAAGAGAGGTCCTGGACTGGCGGAGGGACAAAATAGAGAGCCATGACATCGTGCTCCATGGAAGCGGGGAGGGGGACTGCAGCAGCACCTCCAATACCACAGGTTGCAACAGCATGTCCGAGGTGGTATAGTGCACAGACCTTTTCCTCCCGCCTCGTCTCGACGAGGGGCTCTCTCCCGACACCGTACCGGGCTTCGCCCTCCGTTGGATGGTCCTCCGCAGGCTTAAAGACCACGCTCCTGTAGACCTGGCCAAGTCACTAGGAACGACTGCCATCAACTACTCCATCCACCGTTCCCGCTACAAGCGCTTCCCGGACCGACCACTCATGACCGAGTCGCCGGACGTTGTGTACGACGTGGACTGCCACTTGGCCAAAAATAAATGTTCCTTGTACACATCCGTTGTCCATTCGCCTGTCGTCTACAGGTAGGTGTGTCAGGAGGCCACGGATCTATTTGGGTCCTGCTGGGGTTAACTTTTGCCGGGAAGGTATTGAGGTGCAGGAGATGAAGACGGATGATGAGTTAGGAGACGCAAGGCGCTCGGTTTTGCCCGGGTGGGGGTGTGGCATGGGCACTGTCGCACCACCCCCGCTTTCATCAACTTCGCCTGCCTGTGTGCCTTGCATCTCTGCAGCAATATGAGCTCGACGCCCAATGCCCGGCCGTGGGTGAAGCCAGACGACTACAAGGTGCAGCTTGGGCCCGGGTCGTACGATTACAAGATCGCACGCAGTGTCTCCGTGTCGCCCTCCCTGGACAGCCGACCACTCAGCTCCATGGCAAGCACAGTAAAAAGGTGCGGAGGGGCAGCAAGGGTAGAGGCCAAGGCGGCTGAATTGTGGACATCCTCTTGTCAAGCTGCTCGCTCCCATCCGCAATTGGGCATTCAGGTGATGGCTGACAGGTATAGGGATCACACGCCCATCGCATCCTCGTTTAAGCGCCTGGGGCGAGAGGCATGCTGGCAGCGGCAAGGAGCTTGGCTTCGGAATCCGACCGCGTGCTGTATTTGTCGCTGTGACCTGCTATGTCTCATGGCGCGGTTCCCTGCTGCTGTATCATTGCGTACCTTACACCGTCTGGTGGACTCCGCATGCGGCACTGGCCATCTCTGGTTTGGCGCTCCGTTATGTGACGGTCTATGTGCCTGGACTTGCGCTATTGGCTACAGGTTCGGCAGCGGCGAGGCCCACCGGATGATCGGGCAGTCATGGGGACCAGACAGAGCCAACAAGCATTGGAGCCGGGGCACAACGATCAGCAAAACAGAGTACTTGCGGCCACAATACCTGCCAAAGGCGTATGAGGCGCCCAAAACGCAAGCAAAGCCCGTGCGGACGGAAACGTGACGTCGTGTTCGGTTGGCGGAAAAAGCGTGGGCTTAGGCAATCAGGCGGTTTGCAGGATATTGAGAATCAGGGAAAGAGGTATTGCGTGCCGTCTTGATTTGATTGGCTTGTTGGCGTGCGTGTTTCTGCGGTACTTTGGCTTTGGTGTGACTACAAGGTGCAGGACGTATGTAACTGCTATCGCGGATGGGGGTGTAGAGCCAGGAGGCTAGGCTTTGTCTTGGCTGGTTTATTGCTGAGTGGCGTGGCCAATTCATCAGGGCCGCAATTTTTTACTGAACTGACTGGTAAGTGGGGTAGCGGTGTGCAGATGCAGACACGACAATCTGGCGGAGCACGGGGCATCTGTAACTTTCAGCCCTGTAGAGTGGGCGTTGTGCGGTCCTCCCGGTCCCGAGCTATTTTGTGTAAATGAACTTTTGATTCATGACACGGAGGTGTGTTGACTGTGTGTGTGTGGGGGGGTTGCCCCATCCCTCTTCCGCCGGATGGTGGGTTGAGCTCAGGCTTGGCAAGGGCTCATAGTAATCTGTTGAGGGAAAAGTGCGCCATGGACCGCATTGCGCCCTCCCATGTTACACGGGTTTTAAGAGCGTCGATCACTCTCCAACGGGCAACATTCGGAGCCGCCGTTGGGTTAAAAAGGTGGTCCGCGAAGGTCCATACGGCAGTTGCCTCATTCATGGCTTTCGTTTGACACGGATACTGCCTGTGGCTTGTCGGGCAACGTGTATGAATGGGAAAGGTAAACCCTAAGATGTAGCTTTTAATGATGCGGACGATTGTGGCGTAATGGCACATTCAACATAACATACGCATGGTTTTCGTTGACACGGGGTTTACTCCGTTTCCTACAAGGAACTGCATGGTCACCTTGCCATATTGGCAAACAGTACCTAGCGCGTATCATAGCATTCTCACTACCAAGCAACCTCAGAGCGTCCGTAATGTACTACACTCTTTTGAGCACTTGTCACTTGCCCAACATATACCCCTTCCCCCTGGTATCCTTGGGCAGCCACACCTGCTGAGGACGAAGCAACCCAGAAGGGACAAACAAGACAATTAAGAATGCGCATGCCCCCAAACCTCCAAGACCTATCCTGAAACGTAATAACAAGGATGTTTCCAATGCTTCCGAAACCAAGTTCTTGACCATATTGTTCCTTGGTTCCTTCAAAGTACACACCACCACCAGATTAAACCCCAACAGTTCCCAGGTCTACACAGAACCTCTACCTAGGATCGATTGATTGATGGATGGATTCATTCCCCGCAAATGCCGAATCGCAAGGTACACTGTTATACCAACAGCGAGTGCTCCTGGTTTACTCGTGTCAGTTATGCAGCGTAATCACCGACAACAGCTCCTGATGCCTCGAAGATTTGAAAGATACGGAAGGCCAGCAAGGAGGGCAGGTGCCCCCGCCAGTATACATACTGCTGGTTGAGAAATAATCACTACTAACCACCGCACCAGACGATGACCTTTACGTTGCGCCTAGAAACAAAGGCTTATAATGTCGGCCGTGATGGTTGCCCACACCTGCAGTCATGTTCCATGCCTGCGGTACCGAGCACCCTTGCGCGCGTTTGTGCATCAAGAATCTTTCACTTATGCTTCTCCTTGAGGTACACCAGGATTGCACCGTGCTAGTCAACCTGATAATGCCATCGGGTCACCAATGGTCACTAGACTCTCCCAGCCAATCGCTCTGCGAATGTTCTACGTACACACCGTACGGCGATGTGCCAGCTTCCACCACGTCCCGTCATTCCGTCCTGCTCTACTTGCGGTGTCCCGGGGGCCCCGTACAATACGACATAAATAAGAGAACTATGTTCGCATTGCCGCTCGTTTAATGCAATGCGTGGCCCCAAAAATTTAACATAACATAAGGACCAAACACGAGAGAAAAAGTTCGTCACCAAAGCTTTATTTTTGGCATGGGGAAATGGCCGCTGTGAACCCATCATCCCTTGTACCTGCCATAGGCGCAGAAGCCTGCTGTTCGGCCACGTGCAGCCCCGTACCAGCGTATACACCACCACATACACTTTGCATGGCATCTTCGCCATCCGCCATCCATAGTGCCTCATCCGCGACACTAACCCCCGTTACCAGCCCTGTTTGAACCGCCCCCTGGGGGACAGCTACCGACCTTACTGCCGGAGTCGCGAGCACAATAGCCGCCACCATACCGTCAAGCTACAACCATCGGCACCATGGCCCTGCCGGCATCGCCGCTGTGCCAACTTCATCCTCTTGTATCAATAATCCCAAATCACTGGCCTCGCGGACTGCGGCCTCCCCACGAGCTGCAAGGCCCGGCTCATTCCTCTGGGGATTATGGCTGCTGCCATTCTCGCAGGTAATTCCACTGCCATTTCACGGGAGAGGACCGGTCGTCAGCCGTGCAGTCCCACACCTCCTGTTTACCATGACACCATCAGGGCCCGAACCATACGGTCGCCGTCTCCGCAGTCGCGCTTGGCAATCCCTGAGGAACCATGTGGAGTTTCTGCCCGGGGCAGCGGAATGAAAGTGCGTTCACCCTCCTCCAGCGCAAACTCCAGCTCGCTCCGCCCGTCTGCACGGCTTAGGAGAGCGCTAGTGTATATGAGCGCCACAGCGGCACTGCTGTGCATAACTAGCAGCAAGGTAAGCGCAGTTAAGAGCGCATTGTACAGCTTGGAAGCATTGTCGTACAAACCCTGCGGTGAAGACGTGTACGATCGATTGCGGGTTCGCAGTGGCAATAGTAGCAGCGGGGGATCGTTGTGCATCCGAACAAGCGGCATGCTGCTGCTGATGTCTCACCTTCATCCTGCTTCATCCCCCCTCCCCCATGGATTGAAGGGTTCAAATTAGCTATGAGACAATTCGATATCCTTCTCACGCCGGGCACGCCAGAAGGGCAGCCAAGGTCAACAATTCCTGTCCCCCCGCCCCCTAACTCGTGGTCAATGGATCAGGAACCTGTGGATATAGCTGGATACATGCCCTCCCCTTCATGGCCCCACACAGCAACAAGAACAATCCCGCTGTTACTTCCGAGGGTTTCTGGACAAGTAGTACATGACGCCAACTCGTCCGGACAAGGTGGTTGCGATAGACTTCCCACCTCCCGGCTATCAACCGTCTTTTATAATTATATTCTCCTACAGTTGTGTTTCCTTCATTCAATTTCCTTCTTTCAACACTTATCCTTGGTTGTCTCTCTCTTGTGGCTCTAATCATCTTTGTGTGTTCAGGCTCCTGTCCATACACCCGAGGGAGCGTCCTCATGCACCGATGGTCTTTTCCAAATCGGCCAAATCAGGATTTTCATTACATAGAGCTCTTAGCTTGTCCTCAAGCCCCGGCTTACCATGAGGGCGACGCGATCGCACACGCACGACGGCGTTTGCAAGGATTTCAGGTGCCGCAGATTGAGGCACGCTACTGGGCACGTCCCGTACACGTCGCTGCTGCTGTCATTGCTGAGGCGGAGGCCGGTGAGCCGCCTTGTCCCGGATGCCCCAGATCGATTCACTGAGGGAGTGGCACCGTCTGCGGTGCCTCCATCGCCATGGAAAAGCGCCGAATCCGCGGCCTCCGCCACCGCCAAGGCGCCACCCATCCAGCGCGCATACCAGAACACGCAAGTGCAAATCCAAAGTAAAAACACTGCAAAGACGATCTCGTTCGTTGTGCATAGCGCCCGGCGTTGACAGCGTGGTTCCGTTTCTGGGCTCCTAAGCAGTTCCCAGGACGAAGGAGCAGAGATCCTAGTTTCGTTACCATGACCAGATCCTGTTAGCAACAGTATAATGCTGTCAGCAGTGAAATACATTAGACAGTTCTGATGCAGGTTTAAAGATGGACAGGCCCCTTGCAAACCTGCTACCAACGTACCTGCATGTTCCTTTTGTAAAATCTTGTAAAAAGCTATCCCAAGAAGTCCAGTTATTGTCACTGCAAAAACCAACGCTATAACCAAGAAACAGAAATGCACAGCGGCCACGCCCGAGAGCACGATGCCAAATCCTTCCTCGGCATCATGCACAACCTTGATTGCACGACTACTGAAAAGGACCCTGCAAAGAGCGAATCATATTGAGCACTGCAGTGGCATATGAAGGTGCAACGAAAGAACTTCTGTTGGTGCCGAAACCTATATTATTCAGGCCCTCAACCCTGCCTACCAAGGTACAAACGAGCAGGCATGCACGAGCCATGCTATCGCTGCACGCTGTGCGCTTCCAACCACGGTGTGCTTCAAGGAGCTCGAGAAGGCATACGAGTTGAGGTTATTCATGGCATCTTGTATTCAAAATGTTTGACATGATGGTTGTTGAATGATACCTTTCATGGACTGCTTCTATATGGTGCGGCTAGGTCACGGCCGTAGTCATCGAATGGTGTTGTACACGTACACTTCGATGAAGCCACGAAAGCTGGCCTTTGAAACGTCAATCGTGTGCATCATCTGCTGTATTATCCAGTAGTAGGTTTCAGTAACATCAAGATGTCAAGTCTGCGGCACCCGGTTATCACTGTCAGCCTCGCAACCCTGCGCACGAGTGTTTGCTTCGAGATCGTAATGCTTCGACACTCCCTCTCAAAACGCCATCCAATCACGTTGGGTCTTACTTTGAATGCGCCCCTTGAAGTGGCTTGCACTCTAACCGCGCAAAAGGGTTTGGGTGCAGAGCGTGTGTAGGCATTTCACGCACAAAGGATACAGGATAGTGCAGTTCCTCGTCTACATAGTCCATATCCTCGTCAATATGTCGGGCTGGAAGGGACTGGCAGCGTGCCAGGCATTGTGCAAACTAGCAGAGTCCTCGGGGAAGCCTACACGAGGCCGGGGATGCCCTTGGGGTCAGGTATCGCCGAGGAGTTCCAGGATGGCGGTGTAAGCTGTAAGCTCTGGCCGAGTGGTTGGGCCAAAGGTTCAGGTGATCACTCACTTTGCCCAGTTTTAGGGTCTGACCGGTGGGTCGCCGCAAAAGTCTAGGGCGCATGAATGAACGGCTGGCATGCTCTAGGCCGCCCATCCTGCATATGGGCGCATACTTATGGGCGCCCATCCTGCATAGCAAAGCCCTTCGAGAGCCATGGGACTTCTGCAGCATTGTGGGTGTTTGGGTTGTATGTGACCAACAGAGGGTATCGGGGTAACCTTAAGATGCCGCATCAGGGACCGTTTCCCTGAGCCCCGGCCGCCTTGCTGACCTCCTGCACAATGCTTGGGTGCGGTCAGCACTCGTGACCCAGATCGAGTCCGCAGTATTATCACTCGGGAAGTTGGGTATTTATGAAGGTAAACATCAGTTACTTGCGGTCATGCATACGTCCTCTGGTCGTGATAAGGAATGTGGGCACGCGTGGGTAGGAGGGGCGCAAAGCGGCACCACATCCTCGCATCCTGTTGGTTGGATCCATCCTGCACCACCACCACCCTTTTCACATCCTCGAGCCAAACATCCCGCATCTCGGTGACTGCATCACCCCCCTCCGCCATCCTCATCCTTGGTGGGCTGGCGTTGACCCCTTTCCGAAT